CACACACACACACACAGAGACACACACACACACACAGACACACACACGGAGACACACACACAGAGACACACACACACAGAGACACACACACAGAGACACACACACACAGAGACACACACACAGAGACACACACACAGAGACGCACACACACACAGAGACGCACACACACACACACAGAGACGCACACACACACGGAGACACACACACACACACACACACACACACACACAGAGACACACACACACACACAGAGACACAGAGACACACAGAGACACACAGAGACACACAGAGACACACAGAGACACACAGAGACACACAGAGACACACAGAGACACACAGAGACACACAGAGACACACAGAGACACACAGAGACACACAGAGACACACAGAGACACACAGAGACGCACAGAGACGCACAGAGATGCACAGAGACGCACAGAGACACACAGAGAGACACAGAGAGACACAGAGACACAGACACGACCGGGGGGGGGGTCCTGTTCGGGGATAAGAGGTGCTTATCTGAACTGGCGCCCGCAGTTGGGGTTGAGGCGATTTGGACAATGTTTAGGGCTGGGGAGCTGAGACATTGACGGTGTTCTTTCTGAACTGCCTGTGCAGGCACGGACATCTCCAGCTTATTTGCCACGCTGGTTGCGCAGGCCCAAAACCCGCACCCTGGGTCGGGCAAACTGACCTTCTCCATCGGGGTTTTGTTTGTCGTTTATTTCGGGTTCTCGCTGCTCGGCCTGCTGGCTTGGGCTTCTATTCTGTATTTTAAGACTGGATTGCGATATACAATGGATGAGGAGGATGGAACAGTTGACCTGACAGACAGCGAAGACGACTCCTCAGAAGAAATGGTTTCCGTCAATGAGTCAGATGGAGACAATGCCAGGGAATGCGCCGTGGCACATGCCAAGAAACGCGCCTGCGATGGTTTCTCGGTTCCACGGCAGCTAATCTTGCCAATTTTGTTGGCCACAATGTCCCAGGTCGCACAGTGGGGCCTTGCTCAGGCCGTGGGAAAGACAGGAGCGATGGCCACCGACCCCAAGTCATGTGATGGAGATGTGGGGGAGAAGGTTTATCGCTTTGCCTTGACCAGCTCTCAGGTCATGGTGCCCTTGGGCTCCGTGTTTTCCTCCGTGATGCCCTGCCCACGATCCGTCTTTTACGTGCTCTCCACCGTGCAGCTCACTGCCGGCGCGCTGGTCACGTCGGCGGCTTTGGGGCTGCTCGGATGCGACAGGAATGTGTTGTTTAACCCTTCTCATGAAGCTCATGACTCTTCCGAGTTTCTTGCAACCAAGACTAAGGATCGGATTGGACGCATGGAGGACGCGTGTTGACGATGCTTCAACAACGGGAAGTGTTCATTGCTCTTGGTGGCCGTGATTCAGCGTTCTCGATTGCGTGCGGGTGGGCTGGGTTCCCTATGCTCTCTAAGTGCTCGCAAAGTGCTCGGGTCACATCCTGTAGGGCGGTGAGGCCACAGGTTGGTTTTTTTTCCAGGGTTGACCTGAGGGTTGACCTGAGAAATAGGCAGAGAAACAGAAGAAAGCTTCATTTGTGGGACTTGGGGCTTTGACGTGTCGAAACCTCGGCGAGATGAGAGAAGCTGCGGGCTTCGTGTCTCACTGATTCACCGCTTCCTCTGTTTCTCATATTAGCTTCTGTGCCTGGAGGACGGATGCCGGCCAGTCCACCTACATCTGCAGCTTTGCCCTGACCGCCGGCTTGGAGGGTTACTTACTCACCATGGCCTACCGCTACATCGGTGATGCGGTAGATGTTCCTGGCCGGCGGAGGCTAAGCTCCAGCCGTGTCTTGAGCCTGCTTGGAGTTGTTGTGGTTAATCCCATCTCGTTCGTCCTCGGATACATGATTCAGAACGACCAACTTCGCTGCATAGACCCGTAATGAGCGGGTGTCGATTGGTTCATTCATTTAACCCGTCAGTACTTCACTTGCCGAGCATCTCCAATGGAGAAAAAAGCTTTCGCCTCACTTCTTTCAAGAGAGACTGTTCTTTTTTGTATCGCCCTCTCTTTTCCATTTCTGGCTGCGTCGGCTTTGGCCAGCAGTCCAAGGCCGGGCAACCAGAAGAAGGGTCAGGCCGTGCGGCATTGTCTCAAGATCTTCGCGGAGCAGGTCGCGTTCACTTAACAGCTCAAATAGATGACTTGCTTAGCTAATGCTCAAAAGGAGCCCTTGCTTTCATGAGAGCCCCTAGTTCGAACAAACGTTGCCGTTTTTCTGTGCTGAGACGGAAAGACGAGCGTGGAAGCTGCTGGTCCAGGCCTTGTTCTGAAGAGTTGACCGAAGTGCATCGCACTGAAGGTCGCGCATGCATTAGGGTTTAGGGTTTAGGGTTTAGGGTTTAGGGTTTAGGGTTTAGGGTTTAGGGTTTAGGGTTTAGGGTTTAGGGTTTAGGGTTTAGGGTTTAGGGTTTAGGGTTTAGACTTTTCGGACTCTTTCTTGCCCTGTGCTTCCTGTGCTTGAGCGGGGCAGGCCATTCCCGAGAATGAAGCCACTCAGCTCATGTCGCTATCTCAGCTCCTCCAGCAGTTCCCACGCGGCTACAGTACCCACACGTACTTTACATGTACCCACATTTTTTCCCAGAGACACTACAACTCATCTCACTGAAGCGCATTGCAACAGGTGTGGGAGCTGCAAGATGTCGATGCCCGGGCTGCAGAAGCTACAGCAGCAACTAAGGCTGCTCGGTTGCTCTCAGTTTCAGAACACAAGTAGGAAGTAGCAGCGATTGTTACAAGCCTGCGTATGCGCTCGCACTGAATCTCTTAAGCTGAAGGCTCCCACAGTCGCTTTTGCCCTGAGGAAAGAGAAGCGCAAAGACAACTTGAAGGATGCGGAAAAGCTAGGCCAAGCAAAGGCCAAGCAGAAGCAAAAAGCTCCCAAGAAATAGCCGCACCGTGCCGCACCGTGCCGCACCGTGCCGCACCGTGCCGCACCACATGTACAAAGCGGCCATACGGCTATACTACCGCCAGACTAAGTTCCGGAGGAAATCTCCACCGTCAGTCCGGTGCCAAGCGAGGACAGAATGAGCACCGTTCTAGAAGAAGGAGCATCTCGTGCCCACGGCCGTGGGCTCTGCCAGCGCTGCCAGCTCTGCTGAAGATCTGCATTTGGGGGCGATGGCGGGTTCTGTTCTACTGCGGCAGTACAAGCTGCTTCGGTGCCTCACCAGATGCGCATGTGCCGCTGCACGGAAACTGCTCGTTCCATGAGAGAGAGAGAGCATTAGCTTTCGCAGCATGTGCAAGCATAGCAGGCTGCAGGCATCTGACTGCCCAGAGAGGTTTTGCCTTGCTGCAGGTGCCGGCTGACTTGGAGGGACTGCTCTCCAACCTTTCTGAGTTTACGAAGGCACCCCATGACTAATCTGAAGCGATCTTGATCGACCTGGGGCGAAGTATTTCTCTGGACCATGGTTAGCTTACTCTAGAGCTGACTCTAGACTGTTGAGAAGTTCGTCTGAGTAATTTTGAAAAGCACGGCGTTGCCCTGACGGATGTGCTTCCAGACATTGCGCTGGAATCAGGGATCAGGGCGCATGTGCCATGAATGAAGGCTGCAACCGTTTGATGTGCCAGTCAGCTCGACTCGCGCTTGGAAGACTGGAACCAGAGAGAAAAGACAAGCTGCCAGGTTTTTAAGCAGCACTGGGACGAAGTGAAGAAGAATACCCAGCACTACGAGCGAATCTTCAGTCGATGCCTGAGCACCGAGGGTCTTTCGCTCTGCGATGCCGTGCCTTCGCAACGCCTCACACCCGAGTTCTCGCAGGTACAGATGAGCCTTCTGCAGCTTGCAAGTGATGGGGTACGTGCCAAAAATTAAATATGCTGCCGATCAGGACAATTTCCTGATGTCGGAGAGTAGTTGGGCATGTTGCCATTTTCGAATCACGTGCTGCAATAGAGCTTGGATGCTCATGCTCTCTCCAAGCGTTGGCAGCTTTCAGGAGGTCCGTCCAAGGGACGGCAGGTACAATATGGTGCCAGGATGGTGCCAGGAGGAAAAAGAACATATCTAACATGGCACATTGAAGCTGTGAGCAGCTCATAGTGTGTTGAAAGCCCACCTGGCCGCAAAAATCTTTTGCAACCGCGGCCACTGCGGTCTCAGGCTGATGGCCGAGTTTCACTGCGTTGTGGAAAAGCTTGCCGCTTGCCGGCTTCATGCACAGGGCTCATGTGCATTGCTTTGCCAGTGTTTGTGGTTGCAGTGGTTGTTGCTGTGGGTCGCTTGACCCGTTGCGCTGCGGCTCAAGTTTTAGATAGTCTTTGTCGCTGTAAAAGGGGGAACAGGGCAAACCATGCACTGCTGATCACCGGTTTTGTGGCGAAGCTCTTACATTGCAGCACAGCTTCAGAGGCGATGCACTCGTGCTCTTCTAGTTCTGCAAAACAGAGCACTCCGACTGTGCACGTCACGTCAAGTAGTCTGTTCTATTCTAGGGCCATCCAATGCAGTAGATTCTGAGCCTTGTGACTATGGCGCTGCTGGAAAGTTCCTTCGACCAAGATGCACATGTTCGGGTAGCGATGAAGTACCTGGAAGAGAAGAAGGTGAAGACGTTGCTTCGTGATTTAACGCAGTCGCTTCTCCTCGCTCAGCCAGCTGATCCCAGAAAGCACATCTTGGAAGAGTTGTGGGAGACTTCGGAGACTTCGGGCAAGTGCTGCAGTAGCAAGAGCCTGAATGCCGCAAGTGCGTTCCTGAAGACTTCAGCGACGTCTGCTCGGCAAGCTGTGCACCACTTTCTCCGCAGCATGAAGGATGCCTTCGGAGATGTGCAGAGTTTGTCCTTCTTCTCAGCTCCAGAGGGCCGGGGCCGCCGTGTCCTGGGGCTGGGCGATGCGCAGAAGCTTCTTGGCCCAGACTTCTTCCTGGTGGACAGTAGTGACGAGCAAAGTACTTTGGGAGAGTCAGGCGCGAGCTTGCACAATGCTAGCAGCTTGAAAATAAACAGAGCATGTATATCTTGCCCGTCGCCTCCACCAGCTGTATCCGGGATGGTGCTTGGCCAGGTTCCAGCGCGGTTGCGGAATGTGGCACGCTCAGAATCATAGTTGGACGGAGTGCTCGGCGGACTAGCCTGGACTTGTGTTTTTAGAGCTGCGATCTTAGCCATGATGCAGATTGGAGGCGCAGCTTCAGCCAGCTGGCTGACCGTCCCTACCTGTTCCCCTCCGCCCTACTCCCCCCTGGAAGCCTTGTATTTGTTGATGGATATTCTCCCTGGCACGTGCAAGAACTGCTTATGATGATGGTAGGTTTAATAGTTTCACAGATGCGTTCCAAGTTCAGCAGAGCTGCTTGTTTTCTTCTTACTATTATTATCATTGTTATTGCCATTTAACTAGTACCTTTTGTTGCTATCTGTTATCGGTCAACAATGTTGTTCGGATTCTGCCAGTTGGCCTTTCTCAGGCCTGGCCTCTGCACTGGCAAATGGTTCTGCTGCTGCCGGGACGCGCGTCAGTGCCCTTAAAGACAGAAGGACTTGTGACCGCCCACCCCGTCATTTGAAGTCTGGAGACTCTCCTGGCAGTTGAGGCAGCATGGGCCGTGAGGAGTGCGCAGGGTGCGACACCCAACACGGCATATCACAGCCCATGGCCGTTAACACCCAAAGGCTTGCTTTACACATGGAGTCAGAGTGAACCGACGACTTGAGACAACACTTGTTGGGGCAACTGCAGCTTTTCTTGGGCTCGAGTCCAAGTCTTAGCTCGGCTACAGCTCCATGCTGCCCCAAGCCGCTGGGCTGAAGGCTAAAACGTGGCATATGAGCGGGTTTAACCTACTCATACTTTAGTAAGGACCGCGTGAACTGCGTGAGAAAAATTCGAGAACGGGCCTCATACTTGGCGCCTTGCAAAAGAGAGGCAACATGTGCCAAGTATTCGTGCAAGTGCAAGCTAGGCTCAGCAGCAGTTGCTGGAGCAGCTACGGCAGTCCAGCGCGCTTGCCTGAGATGTTCTCCCGGGGGTCCCAAGGGCCCACTGTGGTACGTTGTACGTTGTGTTTCCTTGCAGAGAGTACGTCAAAGCTCGAGATGTGAAGAGTCGAAGAGGATGGCAAACCTCAGCCTCTAGAAGCTGAGCAGAGACGGCTTCCCCCAGACGCCCTGCTTTGTTTTTTGTGCCTTTTGAGTCAACTTTTGAGTACACGTTGCCTGACTTGTTTGGAGGGTTCATCTGAGTTCACCGTCAATAGTTCTTTTCCTAAAGAGGAATTGTCGACATGGAGACACAGCTTGGACACCTCTTTGCCAGGATCTCAGCAATCTCGCAAGCCCTCTCGAGAGTACAGCGTGGATTTTGAACAGCCCTCCGTGTGAAAATGAGAATCAGTCGAAGGCCGCTGGTGGCCGCCGCGTGCCGATCCATGATGGTCCGAAACTTCTGCGCAGCCGGACTTGGGACCGTGCTTCTGGTAATAGGCGCGGAGAGTGGAGTCGTCTTCATCCAGTCACTGAGTCACCTTACTCTCCCTCTCTCTCTCCTTCTCCCTCCTTGCTTTTCAGCACAAAGACACACTGCGCACCTGGGCAGAGGCTGTTGCACCGGTGCAAAGTGGCCAGCACTTTTCAGCATTGTCCTGCTGGCCGCAGGGTTCAGGCACTGTAACTCGCAAGAGCACCACTTGAGTCGGACATGAAAAGACATGACGTTACATCGGATAGCTTCAAAGGGGTGAAGAGCTGGACTCAGGGGCCTGCCTGGCGGGACTCCCTTTCGAAATGCGGAAACAGAGGACCGGACCGGGGGGGTTGCAAGTTGCAAGTCTCGGTAACAGCCTGGCGGTAACTGTAACCGTACTCGAGGCCGGGTTCTATGCCAATGTTGGAGGGGCACAAGCGTCGCGCAACGAGAGAATTCGCCGGGCAATGCAGGCTTCTCCGCAGCAATCAACTAAGCAAAGGTGTTTTTTTTTGTGGAGTGTTGTGCGAATGCACATGTAGCTACACTTAAAGCTGCAGCTGTCTGCACAGCTTGGAGGCTTGGATGCAGAGCTTTGTTCCATGTCCGTGGCAGAGATCCGGTGAGCTTTGCACGATCTTGTGGCATCCTTGGGGGGCTACGGGGGAATTTTCTTTGGCCACATGGCTTGGCCGTGCGGTGAAGGGTGCCTCCTATTTTTCTCTAAGCCCTGCGATAGTTCCAAGATCCAAGGCCGTACATTCTCAACGGCGAGCGGTTTGGGAAGCTGCGCCGCCGGCTGGTTTTGAGCCATGCGCCCTTTCCAGAAGTGGTGAAAAAGCTGGCCAGCTTGCAGGAAGTATGAGCGATTCTGGCTGTCTGGCGATGATGGCGAAAGCTTCGCCAATGATTGGGTCTTTCCTCCTGGCGGCAGGTACCTCAAAACTCCCAAAACTCTAGGCCGTCACAGGCTGTGTCACATGCTGTCCCTCTGCCCTTCTCTTGCAAGGCTTCGACCCGGCTCGCCCTGTTGTGGTGCTCCTCACTGGACTTGTGTCAAGGCTGCACCTGAGATAGAATGCTGGGCGGCTGGTCGCTCATTTGTTGCTCATTTTGTAGCCCTGCAGCTGTTTCCTGCACCTGCAGCCGCATAAGGCTCCCACGAAACACTGGACAGAAGCAGCCGGCTTCATTGCCGACGCGGCAACTTTGAAGCATGCTGCTGCAAAATGTTTTGCTCAACACAAGCAAAGTGTGGCGTGGCGTGGCGTGGCGTGGCACTCAGGCAGGGCATCTATCACACCGTGCAGCCCTCAAGGTTGAGAGCAGCGGACATTTTGGAACACCCACTTCATACAGTGGTCTTTCAATAGCGACATGCCACAGATGCCAACAACTGTGGTGCACGTCAGCGCGAGTGTCGTGCGACGGTGGGTATTTTGGGCGGTGTGTAGCAGGCGCCCTTGAGGCAACCTTAGCAGGTGAGGAGGAAGGATAGATGGTCTGCAGCCTGGATCTAGCCCCAGGTGCCAACATCACGGTGGTTATTTTGGTTGCTCGAGGTCGGGAGGGTCGCTTGAAGTACTGTAAGTCGTGTTTTCAACTGGCCTGGTCAGGAACCATGGATACCCAAGTCAACGCAAATCTGTTTCATGGCGCTCGTCTGACGGACCTCCGGCGCCTACTTGAATGCGTGCAGCTTTGTGGCAAGAGAGGGTGTGACTTCAAAAGGCAGGCAGCGCATCAGCCCTTCGTTGTTAGCCTATGTGCGTCAGAGTCAATCAAGGGGGGTCCGAGAGATGCGTGGGTGGAAGGAGGTTGCACGGATTTATGCTTGAAGATCTAAAGCGCCCACATGTCTTAGTGTCAGTGAGACTCAGAAAAGTTGAAGAGGGCTAGGGGGGGAGGGGGCTACGCGCACCACCCATCCTCTCTGGAAGTTGCTCGTTCGTGTGACTCAGGGTTTCAGTTGTGTGGTTGATCTGGTTGTTTGCAGGACATGCATGGGATGAACAGGACGGCACCTAACCAACGACGGGGGTTCGATTATGAGTATGATGGGTGAATGGTATTTAATGGTTTTGGAGTCCTCCTAGACAGAGCGGAGGGGGAACTTGATGCATGGTTTAGTGGGAGCGTTGTACGTTTCTGACGCACCTAGGGTCATTTCAGGTACGAATTTCAGGCCCGGTGTTCGGGATCCCGACAGGAGACAATTCAGAACCATACCGGGGGCATTTCAGACGCACACATGGTGCATTTCAGGCGCAGTGCTTGAGGTTTAGGGTTGAGGGTTTAGGGTTTAGGTTTTAGGGTGTAGGGTTTCGGGTTTAGGGTTTCGGGTTTGGGGTTTAGGGTTTAGGGTTTAGGGTTTACGGTTTAGGGTTTACGGTTTAGGGTTTAGGGTTTAGGGTTTAGGTTTAAGGTTTAGGGGGTTTAGGGTTTAGGCTTTAGGGTTTACGGTTTAGGTTTTAGGGTTTAGGGTTTCGGGTTTAGGGTTTCGGGTGTAGGGTTTAGGGTTTAGAGTTTAGGGTTTAGGGTGTACGGTTTAGGGTCTACGGTTGAGGGTTTAGGGTTAAGGGTTTAGGGCTGATGGTTTAGGGTTTAGGGTTTAGGGTTTAGGGTTTAGGTTTTAGTTTAGGGTTTAGGGTTTCGGGTTTAGGGTTTCGGGTTTGGGTTTTGGGTTTTGGGTTTAGGGTTTAGGGTTTAGGGTTTAGGGTTTAGGGCTTAGGGTTTAGGGTTTAGGGTTTAGGGCTCAGGGCTTAGGGCTTAGGGTTTAGGGTTTGGGTTGTAGGGCGTTGTAGGGTTTCTGGACATTAGCGATCTTAGGGGGTGGGGGGGGGGGGAAACGCGCTTCCACCCTGCATAGGGCCGCCCCCGCAAAACAAAATCCTTCAAGCTGACTGCTTCAGGAGTCCACATGACAGTTCGCATAAACCCTAAGTCCACTCAAGCCTAAACCCCTAAATCCTAAACCCTATAAGTCCTGGACCCTATAAATACAATAAACCCTATTACCCTGAACGCGGCCTGACATGGCTTGTAGCGGGTGGCTTCAGGGGCTTCGGACTTGTGGCTTTCATGTCATGGTGGTGCCGGACCTGAAACGCACCTTGGCCTGTACGAAACGCATTCCAGCTGAGCCTGAAACGCACCTCCGCGGCCACCGCGGCGCACCTGAAACGCACACCCCCGTTCACGATCGGGCGGACCCGAAACGCGTTTCGACCGGTTTAGTGGTGTATAACTGGTCTAATGGCTTTTGGCTTGATTGTTCAGTGAGCCCGTATGTGCCTGGCAAACATTTAGGGGGGTTGGGGAGCAATAAGCCCACATTATTGGCTCGGCCTACACGCTGTATCTATGCCTCTTGAAAGAGCGCGTTTGACAACTGTATGCAACATATGTCAACATGTCTTAAGCTTGTAGCTGAGGAATCAGTGCCTGGCTGCAGTTTCTGGTGCACTAGGCGCGGCGTACATTCGTTGTCTTTCCTTGGGGCGTCTTGTTCGCTCATCTTCAACTTGACAGTTCGTTCGTTGCAGGTGTACCAAAGCCACCTGTGTTCGCAGCCGGTTATTCCATGGGCGCTCAGGACTGTAAAGGTGGTTTAGGGTTCAGGGTTTAGGGTTTAGGGTTTAGGGATTAGGGTTTAGGGTTTAGGGTTTAAGGTTTAGGGTTTAGGGTTTAGGGTTTAGGGTTTAGGGTTTAGTGTCGAGGCCACATTGCTGTTTGTTGGATCGCGTGGTGGATTTGCAAGATTGAGGTGCCATCATTCTTTCCAATTACTGTGGACGCTTTGGTCAAGATCCGCTGCTGGAGGGTGGCATCCATTTCTCCGGCATACATGATGCCGCAGTTCCGCTGCAAGCAGCAGAGGGCGGCTTCGCGCTTCGTGCTTTGCCATCTGGGTACAAATCCGGCCTCTCACAATCTGCACAGTGCCCCAGGTGATGAACATGAAGTTTGAGTACTCCCAGGACACCTGGCAGGTTCCTGCAAGGGAAGAGCCTTGTGGGCCACAGGTTTTCGTGTGCAGGCTTTGGCTATCAGGCCAAGGAGACTGGATTTTTTTGATGGAATTTCTCTGGGGCTTCGTACCGGTGTGCACCTGGCAGGCTGCCTTGGCATTCAGCTTGAAGAAGACCTTCTTCCAAGCCAAGTACATCGAAGAGGCGCGGTCTTTGCTGAAACACGGGTCAAGCACGATCGCAGTCAGAAGATGTCAGTTTATGTGTGTCCCTGTGAGCTACGAGCCCTTACACCGTCACATGCAACGAGAACTGTTCTCTATGTCAAAGACACTGTTACACATTGGCAGGCCGAGGGGCCAACACATAGGCTAGCTGGAGCAGTGCACAGCACGGTGACACTATGACTAGGTCGCAACTGCAAATGTCCATCAACGCAAGACATGCTTCTTAGCATAGCAACCCTACACAGACTGGCTTCTGTGCCTGCAAGCAATGGCCATGCGCCTTTGCCGTGCCGCGCAGCTAGCAGCCTGCATACCCGTCATTCTTCCCGCAAGTACAGTTGCACAGGATGTTCGCTGCTCAGAACGAGCAGTTTCGCTGCCGCACCTGTCACTGCAGTTGCGCTTGCGAGACTGGATCCTCTTACGACAGCGTGTGTCCATTCTGAGCAAGGGCTTGACCATCACTTGCCTGTAGGTTCGGCCATATGTGGGTCTCACAAGCTTTCCGAGTCAGCCCTGGACTCGGACGGAATAATCCAAGCAAACAAGGATGTTCCTAAACTGCAGAGGTTTCTGTGGCTCTAAGCAGGCTGGGGGCGTCAGACGCACCCCGAAGGCTCAGACAAAGCCGAGTTCAAAGGCAGGGTGGTTTTCATCATGTCCTCACCCCACGTCTGGTAGGTTGACTGGCACTTGATGGCAAAATCCAATTTCGCAAGAGGTCACAGAGCGCTCCGCGCTATGAGTCGGGCTTGATCCCCACCACGAAAGAGGAGATGATACAGCAGTATCTCGGCCATGGCACCCAAAACATCCAAACCGAGGTTTGGGGTTTCTCCTTCAAAGGGCTCATTTTCTTTAATTTTGCAGCCCGTCCTTGTTCGAAACCAAAAGTTCAAAACTCAAGAAGACTCGTGCCTGTTTCTGTCATCTCCTGGAGCACCTTGCAACCTTCTCCAGTCCCCAACCAACTCCCCCTGAAAAGACGTGAGAGATTCTGGGCAGGCAGGGGTGGACATGGTGGACCGTGCTCCTCAAGGGAGTCCGCGGAGTCCCAACTGTGGGAAGCCTCGCCTTTCTGGCTGGGCTGGCAGAGGCCGTTTGCTTCACCAGATATCGGTGCTTCTTGGCCGAAACGTTTTCTCGCATCTGCAAGCCCACCTGAGAGCACGCTAGCATTCGCTACAGGTAGCAGGCGCGATGTCTGGTATCGTTTCGAGAGCAGTGATGCATTCTGCCCCACATTTCGTGCAATTGCAGGGCTTGAGGGCCCGAAGCGACGATCCAGTCAACAGAAGCTTCTCTAAATTGTCCTCACAAGAGTTCGAAATTTTGTTCCTTTGTTCCTACAACCCCAGAGCTGCTTTTCTCGTGTTCCGAAGAGAGGACCCATGACCGAAAGCAAGAGAACTGAGCTTCAGGGCCAAAATGCAGCAGAGTCCTATGTCGCAGTTCTAAGGCCTTCGGCTTCTTAGATGTTGTACCTACTCCGAATTTTTCAAGGCATGAGCAGAGTGGCTCTACTGCCACAAGGAACGCAGGTTCCCCCGTTGCCCCTTCCCCCGCTGGCCGCGCGTCCGAAGTTGTTTCTGCGTCTTGTGCCTGGCTGCGCTGCCAGGCTACGTCAACATGATGACGGGCAACACGGAGCCTCAAACTTCATCTTCCAGCAGCTTTTCCTTTTTCTTGTCTTGTGATCATCGATTCTGACAGAGTTCTTGCAGGCTCGTTTGCAGTAGCGACTCAGGTCATGGTCGGAAGTGCCCTGGCTGCTGCCCAGTGGGGCAAGCTGGCCTTCTTTTCCACCTTGCTCTTTCACTACGCAGCTTCGCTGCGCTATGCCGCATATGGCACGCTGCATGACCGATGCTGCACGTGCCACAGTTTTCACCCAGAAGTGGGGGGCTCGTGTCAGGGTGCTTTGGCTCCTCGTTCTTGTATTTCAGGGCCCATTCCAGATAGACGGGCTGCACCAAGGGCGGGCATGAAGAGGAGGTCACTCAGGTCCCTTTACCTTTTCTCTGATTTTCTTCGTTGTCTGGAAGAAAAAGAGCTCGTACCAGAGGAGTGATGTGTGAATCAGAACCAGAAAGGCTTGTGAGGGCCTCGCAGCCTCGCAGCTTCCCTGCCCCCCCCCCCCCCCCCGAATACCGTCCTCTCACTCGAGAGCTCTGCATGGTTTGGATATTGCACACCATGCACACCCGAGGTCGCTGGAGTTGCCGTGTTTCGCCTCCTCGATGCGCGACTGGGACCTCGGAGGGTGGCAGCAACCGCCCCGCCGCTTGGAGCCATTGTACATTCCTTGGTACATTCCTTGGCCCTTCACAAGGTGGCACGAGACTAAGACAAGGGGTAACGGTGCGCGACTTGCTCGATCTGCGAGGTTGATCCTTCTCATCCACTGCGCCTTTGATGCTTTGCAGCTTGGATGTACCAAAATGTCTTCAAGCGGGCTTCCGAGGAGAATGCCCCATGTATCTTTGCTTCCGCAACAAGGTTCTCCAGCCATCCTCTTTGCCCAAGTGCTCAGCTGAGGTCTTGCAGATTCGACTCTCGTTGGCCTTTGCCTCTTTGGGCGCTCGGCTGTGGCTTGGTGAATGCTTTTTCATCAGGCAGTCCTGGCGTGGTGCCCCTGCAGCATCTGTCACATGTTGCTGTTTGGAGTTAAAGCCGACAGTAGGGATACAGCAACCTCAGCAAACCTGCAGCACTGCGGCATTGTGCCAGTCACAGTCGTGGCGCAGCGTGGCAGGTGACCAACATGCTGACAGGACATTGGCACACCCTGGCTGGCTGGACGGCTGATGCGATGTCTGGCCGTTCTCTGGACCGTACCAGACACAGCATGGCGCGACGAAGCTTAGGCACCGCTGCACACGTGATTTGAGGGTTTAAGCCGTTAAGCATTCTAGGGCCACAATGGATTGCAAGATCAGTGTGTCCATGTCTTGTCAGTGTAAGGTGGAGCCTTAAGTGATGCTTGCTGCGTCTTGCTTCTGGCAGCACGTCGTAGAACGTCTCCTCTCAGAATATTAGGAATATCAAGAATGTTAAGTATATGAATAAAAAAACTCAATAATTATTATAATGTTATCTAAATATTAATAGTATCAATACTATTACAAAATCATAGTAGTAATATTAACCATATTGATAATATTAGCAACATCGATAGTATCATCTCTTACATGTCAGGTGTTGCGTGCACCTTTCTGCTGGGCGTGCTCAGTGCCCAGCTCCTACTGCACCATGATCTGCCTGTGAGGCGCTGTGAAGCTTGTTGAGCATTCCCTTGAGAGAGCATGTGGGTGGCTGTCAAAATTATGATCCCTTTTGGGGTACCCTTAATATTCGATGCCGTATTATAATAGGGATCCAAAAAGGGACCATAATTTTGACAACCACCCATGTGTCTTTTGTTTGTCACGCTAGGCTTCTCTTCGCTGCTCGGTTTTTGACTTGTCTCTGGGGGGCGGCTTGGGCAGCTCGGGGGCGTCTTGGGGGTGGCTTGGACTTGGTAGGAGGGGCTCAGGGTATGTTATGCTTTGTCGGCAACATTTCGCACGATTCTGGACTACTTGTTATGAATCTGTTTCGGGAACAGCTCGGACTCTTCCGCGCAAGGGTACGCCAAAAACAACGCGCACACAAAGGCGTAGCCGCCTGGGGATCGCATGGGGAGCGCAGCAAAGGACGCATGTTGAAAATTCCTGCAGGGGCGATGTGTGGAGGTTCATATGTTGGGATCCAGGCGACCCTTTCTTCACTGAAGCCCGGATCGTGCACGCTCTAGCCGGCGATGGGCGTGGCCGGATTGTGAGAACCTGTTCAGGCCAAAGCCGAAAGGAGCCAGCCGCTCTCCCCAGCATTTTTTTTTGGGGGAGTCCTTTCAAGGTCCCTGCCGGGTCCGCCGGAAGCTGTGTCCAAACATGCTCATAAACGCCCGGGGGAAGGGGAGAGCTCCCTCCCCAGAGCCATCAAACACGCCGCCCCAGGGCAGATATGTTGTTGGGGTTCATTTTTGACTGGCATACGCGTGAACATGTTGTAATTCCGTTAAGAATGAGAAAACAGGATCATCAGATACACACAGTGCAGTGACAAAAAATGAAAATTGACACGTGAAGTAAGGTACCAACTGAGACACGAGCCAAACACGTGGCCTTAAATTCTGCAGCAGCCTTGCAGGTTTTGGTGGTTGGGCGTGGCGTATGCATGCCTGTTTCTTCTGCATGACGTTCCACAAGCGTGGCCGTCTACAGAGCCTGTGCCGGCAGCAGTTCTTGTGGCAGAAGCCCGGAATTGACTGCCAAGGCGAGTGTTCAGTGTTGTGTCCGTTATACGTGTTTTCAATTTTCGCAAGCAGCCTCAGCCGACAAGTGCTAGGAGTCTTTTAAAGCCTGCCTGCTCGTACTGCTTCTGTCGCATTCTGCATGGAATCTGTTGGCACCCCTTTGAATTCTGGGCTGCTGGAGTACAGTTGAGTACAGTGGTTGTACAGTGGCGCATGAGCATTAAGCCAAGAGCAAAGAGGCTGCCTTGTTCATGGAAGGGAATGCTCCCTAGACACCAGACCCATCGAGCTTCTTGAGCAGACTGAAGTTACCACTTCCAAGAGACAAGCATGAGCCCATCTCAGACTGCTGTTGCTTGTTGGCCTCTTACTGTTTTTGCGGGTCTCCTGCTCTTCGTATTTAAAATCTCACCCAGCTCAGGAGTCCTAGAGATTCCGTGGGCGTTTTCCATGGGCTGGTTTCCATATCTCTGCTCCCCACTGTGTGAGAACTATCATAGGGTTGTCAAAATGCTTGACAGGGTTCTTGACAACGCAGATCTTGATCCAGGAGTGGCTCAGGAGTGGAGATGATCCAGACCCAAGACTTAAGAGCTCCATGCCTGCAGGCACGAGCTCTAGACCTTAAAAGCAGTCGCATGGAGATCGCAGAGCAAAAAGCTTGTGCGCGGCGGGTGGCGAACATGTGTTGCGCTTCTGTAGCAAAAGGGGTGCATGGGCTGGTGAAAGCACAGTATCAGGTGCATCCTGCAGCTGTTTAGGTTATAGGGTTTAGGGTTTAGGGTTTGGGTTTAGGGTTTAGGGTTCAGGGTTTAGTAAACCATAAACCCTAAACCCTAAACCCTCAACCCTAAACCCTAAACCCTAAGCCCCAAACCCTAAACCCTAAACCCTAAACAGCTGCAGGATGCGCCTGCTCTAGGGTCTAGGGTTTAGGGTTTAGGGGGTTTGTGCCAATTTCCTCTTCTTGTGCAGAGGCGAGGCGGCGAGGTGTCGATGTTGGCCGAGTGCTGTCGAGCAAGGTTGCCAGCATCGTTGATGTCGACAAGGACTGCTTTAGTGTACTAAAGGGGGTACACTTAGTGTGCCCATTTCCTGTTGTTGGAACTTGCTTTGTGCCCGTCTTCAAGGGGTGCCAGACTCAGGACTTTGTTTCGATCTACAACGGCTACGGTGGCCTATTGGATGCTGGGCATCATCTTTTCAGCTTAGCTTGGGGTCGAGGGAGCAGGTGTGTCGCGCGCCCTTCATCGTTTCAGCTTCGGATTTCACTCAGGATTACTATCAGGATCTAAGCCTTGCAGCAGAAGACAAATGGAGAAGCGTGTCTGCAATACAAACGGCTCTACGCGCGAATCTTTGTCTGAAGGAGAAACTTTTTGACTGTCTTTGAAGTTGCAGCTAAGGGAATGTCAGCATACCTCTCCTCGCCGTTGCTGCCCGTGATGAACCTCGACGAAGATTAATTGGGTTTCGGCTTCGGTGAAGCTTAATTTCCTTCTATGTCCTTGTTTTCCCAAGGATCCCATAACGCACTGCGACAGCTTGAGGCACGAAGCTCGCTTGTTGTATCTTTGTGATCCTGCATGTTGTGTAGTCCAGTCCTGCCACTTACATGATTCCCTGTTACCTGCAAGGACCAAGGAGTTCTTCGTCGAGAATGAAAACCTTCTCTTCCTCATCACAGACGCCTTGAAATATCTTGAGAACTGTTTGAGCAGCACTTGATATCAGGTCTTGTGCTGTAGCAGCGATGGCTTCCAAGCCGAGGACAGAGGAGGTCATGTTGGTTGGCCAAAAGGCCTGCAGCCCTGGCGCCACGGCTGGGACTTCATGAACGAGGCGGATGCACGTTCCCCTGGCCTTGTCGGACTTTTTTGTCTTACACAAACTGCGCAGGCTGTCCAAGTATTCGCAGAAGCAGTGCTGAGCCAGTCGAAGGATGCAGGCACTTCGTAGGCACTCAACTAGGTGGCCATGGAGCTCCAGTCCAGTGCTTCGAAGAAGCTGGATTGTACGTCTCAGAAAGCAAGCCTGCTAGCTGGAAGATTTGCACTCAGCGCTTTTCCCAGCTGCTGCCCGCAGATGCCGAGATGCTTCTGCAGAATACTGCAGAGAACATGCAGAGTAGTTCCAGAGTAACGTTGGGCATAGCGACAGAGCAGGTGGGGTTGCACTCGGAGGCACCTGCACTGAGGAGTGCACACGTGCTTATTTACAGGGAAGTGGTTGCATCATGCAGCTGCTTGAGCTGTGATGATGGTCATTCTTGGCAGAGTTCTTCCAGTTCAGCAGGCTTATTCATTGGTTGACGCACAGAAAACATCCATGCTGCTCTTGGCACGTTTCTTTGTCTCGTTGTCCGAATGCCTATGCAGCGAGAGTGGGGTGGATGAAGAGAGTGCCATTCGCTGCTGCACCAAGGTGTGGAGGGCGTCTTGCTTGCTGAGCTCAGTACGCCTGCGGAGGCAGTCTGAGAGTGTGGAATACAATAGCAAGGTTGGACTACAAGCCATTGCATGCCATAGCCATAGAAGCATTAAACCAGAGTGATTGATAGTGAATGATTGATGTCGTCTGGCTTGCTGGCTTCGATAAGTGTCTCGGAAGTGGCAGGCAAGTGAAACGCCTTCGACTTTACAGCTGTATGCTCTCCTTCTGGCAGAGCGCCTCAATTGTCTCCACTGGGAGGGTGAGGCAGGGTTCTCGCTTTTTTTTTGCCTTGTGGTGGATCTGGTATACGTTCGCGCACGTGGAGCGCTGGAACCGACGAGCTCCCAGGCGCGGCGGTCTGCGGCCGTGGTTGAGAGCCTGCTGCAAGGAGTGGAGGTTCTCGTTCCTCCCCGAGCTGTAGCTGGCTGTAGCTGGCTGTAGCACTTTGACGGGCCCCAGCGTCCCAAAGTGTTAAAAGAAAGGGGCCGGTTCTCAGGCCAAGTCGTCTGACGAATGGGAACGTCACATCCAATCTGCCGCCGAGGTCCAAAACCTCTCAGACTGCAATCTCTCTTCTCTCTCTCTCTCTCTCTCTCTCTCTCTCTTTCTCTTTGTTTCATCTACACCGCTACACTTCTCCTTTTGCATGAGAAGCTTTATCATGCAGCTGCGCAGCATGTCAGGTGCCCAAAGAGGTCCTCAGAGGCTCGCTCCGAAGTCCTTCGAGTTCCCCGAGTCCCCGGAACCTGGGGCCCAGGTGGCGTGGAGCTGCCAGAAGCCGCGGTTTGGCAGGCTGACAGGCACCTGCAGCCCGGCACCTGCCCATGCCTGTGGCGAGTGCGGTCGCTGCCCTGGGCAGGTTGGGCTCCTTTGTGAATCTAGGCCTGCTGCCCCTTCTGCTGAGAAAGCTGTAATGAAGCTTGCTTTGGCTCACCTAGCAGCTTCTTGTTGAAGCTCCTTGATGTGCGAGGCGCGCAAAATCGAAGCAGTCCCAGTGCTTTGACAGCGGAGGCCAGTTTGGCATGCGACAGAGACTCAGCACGGAAGCAGTACACATGAGCACTGCAGGCCTTCACCATCTATCCTGAAGATGGTGGGCGGGTCATCTGTGCAGAGGCTTCAGTCTGTTTTGCTGAGCCGAAACCAACTGTCTCGTATTGAAGGCGTTGTGAGACGCACATGAAGCACGCATGTGTGCGAAGGGCTCGTGGACTGGTTCTGGGGGCATGTGCCGTGCTCAGTACATGGCTGCATGGCTGCGTCTCTTTTCATTGCGACCTTACCTTGGAGATTTCTGGGAGGTCAACTTCCTCAAGGGAAATCTGCGTTGTGCTACATGGAATCGGCAAGTGCCCACCCCAGAAGTACAGAGCAGCGCACATCGGTAGACCCACCACGGGAGTTGCAAGTTTGGAAATCGATGCTTAGGCCGACGGTGCTGGATTTTTCCGATGATCTCAGCACGAAGACGCCCTGGCGCCAGTTTCTGAAGCTCGCAAAGCTTACCCAAGTTTTTTTGGGGTTCTTGTGTGTGTGGTGGCAGGAAGGCGTTGGAGCCGCTGAGGCTCAGCTCAGCTCAGTCAGGCTTAAGCCGGTCTGAAACTTCGTCTGCTCCAGATTGGATCACTTTGACATCGTTGCGGCAGAGTCGTCCTGACCCTACCTCTTCTGTAAGGTCACGTCTAGGGTACTCTAAGGTACTGCTTCACATTATCCTGTCTCACGGGACTTCCCAGGCGGAACTTTCTTTGGGAAGGGTTGAAATGCCTCACAGGCTATGTGAGTCATCCTTGCGGGCAGCACTGCAGGCCCAGCCGGCCTCAAACTCATGGAACACCCGCGTAACGTGATGTAACGTGATGTAACGTGTGAGCCGGGCCACCAGCGCATCCACAGGAATTTTCCTGGCTTTGGCAGGCCCAGTCGATGCTGAAAGAGCTGTCTCTAAGAAAGCACTCAGCGGAACAAATGCAGGCGAGCTTGCTGCCGTCATGTCATACGCATGAGGTCCCATGGCTCTGAGGATTTTTTGGGGCCCTGGGTCTTGTCTGAGTGTGCTGGACAGTCCTTGGTCTCCGAGCTCAGCATGGCTTCAAGCACAGCAGACTTGGTGCAGACCCTCGAAAAGGCAGTGCAGGCGGGCTGAAGCGGATGTCTACGAGCCGTGTACGGGCGTCCCTTTGTGGCTCAGGCAGTGACACAGTCGAGCAAGTGCATGGTGTTCTTCATCGACGATGAAGAGGTGAAACGCCTCACTATCATGCCATGTGACTAAGCCGTGCATTCCCCCAACCTACAGCCCAGGTCTGGGCCCCGCCGACAGCTACCGTGCCCGAGCCAGCACGCATGGAGATGGACATTGGGCCGCCGTCTCAGGTGACGTGTCTGCTTGAAACGCTGCAGAGCTTGTGTGATCTTTTGAAGGTTGCCGGGCAGGATCGCGATGTTGGCCAAGGCACCAAGTGCCCACTCGAGCTGGTACCCCCCGGTACCCTTGAAAGCGTAGAGTATCTGCTCTAAGATAGTTTTCGGCTTGAAGGAGCGCTCCGAGCCACTTGGTGCGTTGAAGTACAACGCGCGCCTCCCAACCGGTTCATGCTCTGTTGATACTCCGTGCGTGGCCACTCCAAGAACATGCCCTCAAACATGGCTGGTACGAGACTGGTATGCTTCTGAAGGACCCAGCGACCTGCCCGTACTGGGATGAGCTTGAGTTTGCCTCGAGCTCAATGCCGGGAACTATAGCGGTACGCTACCAGACCTGCATGAACTCCAGGGCATCGATCAGACCGCTGGCTTCATGATTGCCCCCATCATGAGTGCGGGGAAGGCACCGTGTGAGCCATGTCGCACTTGGCTCTGTGCAGCTTCCGTATCACTAGTGAGAAGCGTCGCGTTTTCATGCTCTTGATCTTCTTGTCTTCTTGTCAGCAGAGCCATTTTTGCTTCCGTCTCTTCAACTTCGCTTTGTCCCCATGAGTCATCTTATTGGCGCAGTTGCCAGTGCAGTCGCCAAGGTTTAGCTTGTGGATGTAGAGCGAAGATCGTGATGCAACCGTCTGCCGTGTACCCTCCAGATTTGGGGCCTTCCTGGGACCAGTACATCGAACATCTCAGTACCTTTACAGCGCACCGGCCTCCCAGTCAAAACTCGCGTAAATGCAGTGTGTGCCGTAGACGGATTCGCCTCTGCTCTGCCGTGAATGGAGCCGGCTCTGCATGGCCTCTCTGACAGGATATGAAGCCCTTGGGCCTCATCCTCGCAAGCACCAAGACAGCCTCTAAGTCCAAAGAGGCCGCACTTGGGGCGATTTGGTGGGCATCATGGGGCATGGCAGGTCACATGAGAGTCGCCTCCTAGGGCCGTTCCGGGGGGAGTGCTGTGCTTGCCCAGGGGGAGCTGCTGTCCAAGCTTTGGGCTCTCTCCTTGATCGCTGCTTCATAGGATCCGATGAGAGACCAGCCGTGTAAAGCCAAGGGCCAGATCCACGTGGATTACACGGACCAAGATGCGGAGTTCCTGGAGTGGCTTGCAAGTGCGGACCCCTCCCCAGTAATTCAGACGTTTTCAGATGCTCCAGGCGTGTTCCAGAGAGATGTTTCTCCAGACATCGACACAAACTGTAGTCCTGGAACATGTAGAAAGGCCAGCAGCCATCTGGAGCGCCTTTCTCTGGATGTGATGTGGACGCGAGTCCTTGCCGCAGTTTTTTATATGACGGGCTCGAATCCGTCTTACACTAACATGGTGATGAGATGCCCTGTTGCAAGCGACCAAGGCGCTTCTGGAGCGTGAAGGGGGGGACGGTGCGGTGCAGGCCCAGTCATCCATGCCACGAGGCGTTTTGTTTGCCGTTCTGGGCATCAGGACGAAACGGAGGACTTGCTTGTCTCAGAATACTACACTGAAGAGGTGCTCATGTCCCAGAAATGCCTGCTGGCCTGTTCTGCAGATCTATTGCTGGCAGGCGATGGCTACCAGGTCCAGACTCAGAACTGACGGAAGCACTGGAAGGACTGGAAGCAAGGCAGCTCTGCTTCTCATGCTTATCCATAAGATTTAGGGAGAGGCTTGAACCCAGGGCCAAAATTTCCCGGCAGGCGTCTGGCCTGGGTCGAGTTCACACAGTCCACAAGTTCACGAGTCATGTCCCGACCGCGAGGAGCTTAGGACTAAAGGATCTTTGAAAGCCAACAAAAACCGAACCTTCCGTTGGGTGCTGCAAGCTGAGGCACTAGACTTCGCCTCTTCAAAGGGCATGCTGCAATTGGTCGCTCGGCGGCCTCGTTAGCTTCGGCAGATGGGAGTAGGAATCCAATCTTCACTCCTCTGTCCCTTGATCGTTCTTAAGAGTGCCAGTGCACCTCGAGCACCCCCAAAAACCAAGCGCTTGCCATTTTCGCCGGACTCTTGCGCTGCTCGCACATACATTCCCAGCCCGCAAGCGCTCGAGCTGGAGTGCCCGCATCGGGCGGACTGACAGATGATCCCTAGACTGACTCAGTGCCCTCGCGAGTGCAGATGCCCCCACAAATCCTTGCCTGCAGTCAGCGGTATTCGTCTTTTGCTGGGTCCCTGGAGTCAGAAGAGCGCACATCCATTGACCGCGCTTCAGGCTGCGGATGCTCGAAGTAAGTTGTACACTTTGACCACTGTGCGCGCCTCCTATGCAAAAAAACCCTTGTCACGAACTGACGACACTCTGATGTGCAGGCTCTCGCGCGACCTTTTTCTCTTGCAAAGCAGGTAGGAAAGTCTTACCGACCTTGAGCTTTGGAGATCGAAGCACTGCATCCTTAAATGGGGATTGTGGTACACAGTGCTTAAGCCCCTGGAATGAATTGATGAAGCACGGGAGAGAAACATCCGTTGTCCTCGCTTGGCCCGTTTGGCCCGCCTGGCATACGTTTTTCCTTTGTCAACCTTGTGCAATGGCTGCCAGCATTTGAGGTGCAAGACGTGGCGCAGAGCTGTTGCAAGCCCAACAGCTCAGCAAATGGCTCTCTTCACACATGTGCTGTTCAATTTGCGACGCCTGGACGCATCGTGAGGGACTTGACGGCGGGTCCGCATGTAGACGTCTCACAGTGGGAAATCGACTACTGGGCGGGCGCCTTGCTTGTGGCGCCAAGCTGGTCTGCATGTCTACAGATACTACAGATTGCATGCTGACTCCTAGGTCTTGACGTCGCATGACCAGTTCGTGCTGCTGGTGACTTCCATACGCCAGTCCGGCACCTCAGGGGGGATGCGACAGACGCTGCTTGCTGTGTCAGGGAACTCATCTCGTGCTTCAGCATGCAGCTTTCATGAGTGTTGCATTCAGCATCCACATGGTTCCAGACTGTAGGTTGGGCATTCTCGACAACCTTTCCATCGACGACGGTACCTCGAGAGAAGTCGAGATGTTTCAAGAAACCCATGACTCATGACTAAAGGGACTGGAAGGAAACCTGGGCTTGAAAAGCACTTATCAGGTGTCCTCATGCGCTTCTTTCAGGCACGGAATCAACACCCCTCCTTGCAGCGCAAGCGACACCTGTTCCAGGCCGTCAAGAGCGGCTACAGGTCCATTCCGCTTGGGGCTTGTTTTGCTTCACTTAAGTCAAAGTCTCACCATGGCAACCCATTGAGAGGGTTGGCGGAAATAGCGGCAGTGCTCTGTCAATGGTAAGATCTGAGGTTCCACAATTTTCATCACGCAATGTCGACCACTCACTATGCGTCGAAGATGGCGAAGGCGGTGGATGACTTTGATGACTTCACTACTGGTCCTTACAGGGTGTCCACGCCCTTCAGCGCTGTCAAACAGCTCAAGCTTGCCAGCTCACAGGCAGCAAACCTATCGGCCTACTTGACGTACCCCGAGTTGTTTGCGCTGGTGGCCGCAACCTTAGAGTTGACATGGCACGAGGAACAGACCCCAGCACAGAGTCGGTGCACACGGCATAACTCTCAGATTGGAGCCCTTTGTCATGACCTTGATCATCGCGGGTGCGCCCTCAGCAATTCAGAAAGCGCTCGTCGTGAGAGTACTCTTCCAGAGATTGTCCTTGGTGCGAGAGGGCCTGTCTCAGACACCCCACTCTCAGAGTTTCCCGCCTCCAAAAGCAAGGGGCGCGTGGGGACCGCGCGGGGGCTTGCCCCTACAGAAAGAAAAAGATAAAGAAAGAAGGAGCAAAAAGAAAGAGAAGGCCTGATACGGAGGAGGGTCGTGGCGGCACGGAGAAAGCGCGCAAGGGGAACAACTTCTGAGGCCCGCAAGGGATCCTGGAACTCATGGGCCCAACAGCAAGCTGAAGCCTCGCAGCTGGAGGGGACGCGCAAAGACGCAGAGGTGGAGACCGAGACGGGGGGGGATTCTGAAACCTGAAGCACGAAAGGAAGGGGACCTCGGACCACTGAGAGAGGGCTTCTTTTTTTGGTGACGGACCACGACACTCTACAACACCTCCACCCCAAAATGGGGAGTCTCACTCAACAGACAGGACAGCGGCTCCCCCTCGCCGCGGCCGGGGTCGCCTTTCGGTGGGGCCTCTCAGATCTCCCGATAGGCGGATCCCCAAGTGCGCGGAAGAAGAAGAGAGGGGGGGCTTGCTCCCATGCTCCATGAAAGAAAGACGGCAAGAAAAAGGGAGCGTCGCCTTTTCGGGGTGGGGGGGGGGCCTTTTCGCTGACAAGAAGAAGAAGGAGCAGAGGAGGAAGAAAAGTAACCGAAGAGGGAGAGCTCACCAGGTGCGTTGGGGAATCCTCCGTCTGCTCAAGCCCAGTAGAAGCCCAGTAGAAGCCCAGTAGAAACAGATAACTAAACAACAGGTCTGGGGGCTGTGAGAACACTCGCACATAGGAAATTAGGTGGCTCGAGGCTTCAGGACGCAGTTGTGTGCACCATGAAATTCGTGGCTTCAGGAAAGCTGTGGAAAACCCCTGGATAACGAGGTATAACAACGCCTTCGAAATCATGACGCGCAGCGAGCTTGCGTTCCCTGGCTGGTTTATCCTGCTTTCTTTATGGGCTACACCACTACTTGGCGTGCAAGTTAACCTGTGTCAGGCTTCGCTACAACGACTCGTCTCCGCTGGAGAATCATCACTGTGCCAGGCACAGTAGATCACAGTGGTGTCCCAAAAGTGCAAGACCGCCATGTCTCGCGTGTGCAGGGCCTTCGAGACAGCTCTGAACGGCATGGACTGCAACATCTTCCAGGTGTCCGGCGTCTCTGCCGAAGCACCTATAGCACCTCAATCCTCCAGACAGGCAGAGGGCAAGCACGGTTGCTGGACATCCCTGGCCTGCAGGATCTTGGCCCCGAAGTTTATAGCCTCGTCCGCAAGAGGATGGTTGCAGGCCTTGTGATTCGCTGGGAACGGAAGGGAGCGGTCTCATGTTCTCTGACACTTTTGGAGAGCCGACAGGTATCCTTGCCACCGACATGAAGCACCACGGAGAGCACGCAGTGGCCTTGAGTCCACGATCGCTCTCCCGTGTGGAATGCCTATAGGTATGCCTAGGTATGCTAGATGTGTGGCGGGCATGAAATTTGGGGCCAAGCGTCGGCGGCGACAGCACAAGGTCAGCATTCTGAAGGAGTTCACGCTGTTCCTGCCTTAGCTTTGCCTTCACCTGTCATGGAAAGATACATTGAGAGACTATTGGGCAAACCAGGAGGCTTGTTGGAGTTCGGCCCGTCAAGCCACCCAAGCCACCAGCCACCTGCTAGCAGCCACCAGGGGTGAGCCCTCGGATTCGCAGAACCAGTTCCTGGTAGAGGTTCTGCTGCATGCCGCGGCTTCCTCAGGGCATCACGGACTGTCCTGACATGCGTGTGAAGCTCTGTGAAGCTCTGTGAAGCTCTGTGAAGCTCCTGTGTTCCCGCACCCTTCCTGCAGGCAGACATCAGCAACCCCTTCATGCCTGCTGACAAGTCAAAAAGGCTCCAGACTCAGCAACAGTTTGTGGTGCGAGGTGTTCGAATTGTTTGGAGTCTAAAAAAAGATTTGTATTGTTGCCTAAAGAATTCTGCCCAGCTCGGGTTGCGACCTTGGAATGGTCCCCTCCGAACTCCCTAGTCTCCACCTAGACTGCGTCAGACCAAAATACCTTTTCTTCCTAGTAGTCCTAGCAGGTGGGCAAACTAAAACTGCATGCGACTGCAGCAGACTGCAGGTGGGCCGTGTGCTTGAACGATGAGTTCTCCCTCCAGGCGGCGTGTGCTGAAAGGTTTTGAAAGTGTTGGGTTTGCTGACCTTGCTGAAAGCCCCGTATGTCAAGCCCTTTTTTTGCTAACTACTTATCGAAGGCTGAGAAGGAAGCGGAGCTTGGCTTGCCAGCCAGGAGCCAAGTAGAGCCGACAGCCGCAGCTGCCGAACTAGTGTCCTCATGCAACCGAATTCGTACGCTGACGGCGACTTGGCGAACGCTAGCTGCCAGGTGACCTCCTTTATGTCAGGCCTGCACGAACCGCAGGTGGCAGCGAAGCCATCGTCTCAGATGTTAACTTTGCCATGGAAAAGGTTTAGGGCATGCGGCTGGTGGACTCCAGAAAATCTAGCGACGGCACATCGGGATGTGGTCGAAGCATCTCGTTCCTTGAACTTACTTCGTTTGGATCCATTGTGGACTTGTGTCATGTTCCATTGTTTCCCAACGTTTCCCATGCAAACGAGACCTGGACTTTGTACCCTGCACCTTTGCATCTCGGGGGAAAGTGTGCCTCCCACTGGTCTCGCGCTCCAACGGCACGCGGCCGCAACGAGTATACGTAATAACAAAAAACCCTACAGTAAACCCTAAACCCTAAATCCTAAGCCCTAAGCCATAAGCCCTAAACCCTAAACCCCAAACCCTAACCCCAGCTACTTTTGGAACTCTGTGACCAACTTTATCCTCCTTGTTTCTACTTTGCCCTCATTATCCGGGCCTCGGTCCTATGCGCCAATTTTTCTGCAGCTCCAGAATGCCTTGCAACGTCACGTTGGAGTTGCTCTTCCAAAACCATAAGGCATCACTGATCTCTGGATTAGCGAGCACAAGGCTCGAGGACTTACAGAACAAGTTAGAAGAATGACAAAGACTCTTGTGCAGAAACATTCGTTGCCCTTTTGAATCAGTGTTGTTCGGAAAAGAAAATGGTATTCATTGATGTCGTTGCAATTAAGACCGTTCCTCTACAGGAACTCGACAGAACACTGCTTAACACAACTGCAGGAGCGCCAGGTTATATAACAAGGCGCAGCCTCTCATGACAGAGGCAAGAAGTCAAAAAGAGCCACCGAAGGTCGTTGCTGGGCTTCATAGACTTCGTGGTCACGCCCTTCACGAGCAGCTGTCTGAGGTTTTTTGCTGGAGGGACATGCATATTGCTGCACCCCTAAGCCTCGGAAAGCCCCAAGGCTCGGTCTTCAGGCTGTTTCCTGACCTTGCGGAGTGCCTGCCTTGGTGGTTAGCCCACGTGAACATCAAGGAACGACAGACCGAAGTGTGCAGTATTGCATGCCAAGAACTGCAGAACTCTTGAATAAAGGCATTGACAATGGTACTGAAGAAAGTGCAGAGGTTGAAGAAGTTTCTGGACCAGAATCGGGAAGCTGCCGCCGTCATCGTTGAGGAGGCCGAGAGACCCCACACACACACGCACACGCACACGCACACGCACACGCACACGCACACGCGCACGCGCACGCGCACGCGCACGCGCACGCGCACGCGCACGCGCACGCACACGCACACGCACACGCACACGCACACGCACACGCACACGCACACGCACATACCGGCTATACAGGGGGCTTAAGAAGGGCATTGCCTTGCTTCCGGCAATTAAAAGAAAAACCCACGAAAGCCGCTTCCTCTGCGTCTTCTGACATCTTCATTCAGCAGAGCTTTTGCGGGTCAGCTCAGCCTTGGGAGGCCACCAACGCCAAGGGCACTGCAAAGAAGTCATGGCAGTCAGCGCTATCGAGGCACGCCCCCAGCGGGTTTTTGTTCGCTGCGGCGCAGTCGAAAGTTTTTCATTCTCGATGCTCACGAAGCTGCATGTCTTGCTTCAAAGGTTGCGGGGCAGCAGAGGGACGAAAGACTCCACCGGATCGACAAACCTCTGACGGGACTTTCGTGGATCCTCCGAGACATGGCTCGGTCGTTCGGCTGTTACACCACTCGAAGCTATGAAGGATTTTTTTGCTTACCGCTCACCTGAATTTGGCGTCAGTCTCCACGAAATCGGTGGACTGATGCCTTAGGCTTTTTCTAGCACTTGCAAATGATTGTCTGCTGCCTTGCCTGCATGCAGACGGTTAACGGCGGCTGCTTTAAGGCAGCGAACGCCCGTGACATCCAAGACAGCAAACCAAAGACTCAAAAAATTGAGGCCTGAGAAGATACGCCGCTCTGATCATCTTGGGTGTCGCGGGTGTGGGCATCGGAGAATGGATTAGCTGCAGACTTCAGACTTCGACAGCAGCGCTGGTCTTTAGTCCTTTCATTGATGTGGTCATGATGTGGAGAAGTCGGCGGAATGAAGATCTAGTAGGAACTCTGCGAGGAGGGTCCTTGTATGAATGCAATGACACTGCGTTTTCCTGAGTTTATGTGCCTCTAAGCAGCTGCTCCTTGTGGGCCCTCTCCAAGAGAGGGCTCCAACAAGCAAGCCTCTTCGAGCAGCACGGGCCCGACGAGGATTGAACCAGGCTGTGCCTTCTTCTGAAGTGTTTGCTAGGTCATATGCGAGACAGCATTAGGTGCGGCACAGTGCAGCTGTGCCTTTCCTGCGCGTTTCGTGGTTCGAGCTTGAAGTTGGCAGCGCAAGACAAGTGTACCTGTAGCCGTCTAGGCGTCCAGTCTTCTAGCCGTCCAGCTATCTAGACTTGTGAAGGCAGAACCGGGCAGCGAGGCTGATAGGCAGAGGCAGATTGCTTTAGAAAAAGAGAAAAAAAGGAGCCCAAAATAAAAAATGGAGCCGGAGCCGACACCTCGGAGCCTGGCCGCAAGTGGCTCCCTCGAGGCAGCGACTGTCGCGGAACTCACCGGACAGGTCTTCCAGTCCCTCTCCAATGGCAAGGCATCTTTCTTAGCCTTCTTCTTATGTCGCCGCCCTTTTTTTGGGGGGGGGGGGGGGGTTGTGGAGGCTGTGGCGCGTAGGATCCGTCGGCTGTTGCATATGGGCTGCAAATGCCCTGCCCCATCCAGGACACCATTGGCCTGCAGGACTTCAAGACCACGGCCAAGTTCTTGGCGCAACTCTCAGAGGACTTCACCGATCCCGAGGAGGCCTTCAGCAGAATCGATGAGAACCAGGACTACCGCATAGACCGTGCAGAGTTCGAGCAAGAGATCAATCAGATACGAGGCCTCCTGGAACCAGGAAGCTGGCGGCTGCCCTCGGGCAGGTGCAGCAGGATCTGCAGATTCGGCAGTCCTTTGTGGAAGAGACGGTAGCTCAGGAACAGGCACCGGAATTGAGACGCTAGATGCCCGGACACAAGTGCTGGAGCAGATGGTCGGGTATTTCTCGACCTTCGAGAGGACTACAGCCAACGGCTAGACGACTTGAAGCAGCAGCAGGTTGCCTGCAGGCGCGGGAGGACCTGGGAAAGGCGAAAGCCCCTCCCCGTGCTCGCATATTTGGCGGACGCAGTAAGAAGACTGAGCCAAGTACAAAGATGAACTTGGCTGCATCCCTGAGCGCGAGTGCCAGCTAGAGATCAAGAGACAGTACACCCATCAAGATGATTTTGATGGTCCGGACGGCCAGGCTGCAGAAATTCCTGATGGTGAAGATGAGGAAGGCGAGAACGAAGATCCTGAGGAAGATGTGAGCAACGAAGACCCGGACGAAGAGAACGAGGATGAAGAGCTGACGAGGATCTAGAGGATGATGAAGACGACGAAGATGAAGAGGAAGTAGAAGAGGATGACGTGGACGAGGTGGACGAGGTGGACGAGGGGCGCGCAGACGAGGCAACCCAGCTGGTGTCGGCACTAAGCGCTAGCGAAGCTCCGCCGAAAGGTGATCTTGAGACGACTCTGCCACCTGGAAGCCTTCCAGTTCTGGAGGAAGAGCAGCAAGAGCAGCAAGGGCCGCAGCAAGAAGAGACTGAAGCGCAGCAGGCTCCCGCAGTGGTTTCTCAGGAAACACAGGGAGAGCAACCCGAGCAACCCGAGCAACCCATCAAAGACGTGCCCTCGGAGCCCGTGCCAGCGGAAGCCGCGACAGAACCGCAAGGGCCCGGGGTTCCTGAAGCTTCCACTGAGGCCACGGGTCCGCAGCCGGCAGGCAAGAAAGCCAAGGCTTCCAAGAAGAAAGCCAAAGCAAAGCCAAAGAAGGAAGCGGCCCCGAAGAAGAGTCAGGCGGCTCCAGCCAAAGCGGACTCACAGAGGCCTTCCCAGGGGCCTTCACATCTTTCGCAGCGGCCGTCGCTTTCTGGTGCTGCAGAGCCAGCGGAGCCATCAAGCACAAAGAGCGCCGTTGCCAAGCCTGCCAAGAAGGCCGTGGATGAGGAAGGCTTCCGCTGTGTACAGACGTTGGAGATGGGCTTGGCCATCCGAAATGCTATCTGTTTGGCACGGAAGTTTGGACAGTTGACTGGGCAGGAAACGTCACTGTTCGAGAGCGGGACGATGCAACGAAGGTCAGAAGTGAAATTCCCACCAACGGTTCCTTGAAATAAATTGCATGGTCTGTAGTCGCTGTAGTCCTGTTGTGCAGTCCATGTAAACCAACTCTCAGCGCAAGGCTGAAGTCAGCTGGTATGCCTATAGGGGTGATTGAAAAGGGAGTAGTCTTGACAGCACAGGTTTGTCTGGTCCATGCTTCACATGGAGCCCACCTAATGTGGATGGGGCAGGAGGCAATGGGCATCTCGCTCTTTGACACCAAGCGCAAGGAGTTCAAGGGGTCGTTGATGGGCGGCCACACGGGGGGCGTGACCTGCCTTGCTTCTGGCGATGCCCTGGACTCCTCGGAGATGAAGGAGGGCAGCATCCCGCGAAGAAGGGCCTGGAGTGGCAGCAACGACTTCACGATCCGGCAGTGGTCCATCGAAACCTGGCACTCCAAAAGTGAGGGTCCACAGACGACGAAGGATGCCTTTGTGCTAGAGCTGGGGTTCAAAGTTGCCATCTCCAAAGGTCTGCAAATGACGGGCACAAGAACGGCGTTCGATGCATGATCCGCATTGGTCCGACTTTGTGGTCTGGGCGGACGATGGAACCATCCGCCTGTGGTGCACGGCAACCGGTGCCTGCAACGAGGTGGTGGAGAAAGCCCACGCGGGCTCTGTTCTCAAGCTTTCTGTTGTGCGGTCCTTCATCTGGTCCTCGGGCTCTGATGGCTTCATCCGTGAGTGGACCATTGGTGGATCTGAGCGTCAGTGTGTCAGGCCAGCAGTCCCTTACCCGGACCCGACCCCTTCCAACCCAAACTACGCCAAACCCCACGAAACCCCACAAAAAGCCACAAAACGCCCTGTCAAAATTACTGCTTTGAGCCCCGGAAGTCGAATCGAGTCAACACCTGCTAAAATTGCATGAGGCAAATAGCGCCGGAGGGCTTCGACAAAGGGGCCTATGCAATCGTGCCGTTGGGCTACGAAGTCTGGACTTGCGGCCACCATCCGAAATACAGGTGTTCTCACAGTCCGACTTTTAAGACGCCCGAGCATCCCGCACACGAGCCCTACGTTTTCAACTTGCTCACAGTAGACAGAATTGAAACCAAGATCGTCTGGTCGACCTCCATCGGTGACAAGAAGCTGAAAGTGGGGCGACACACCATTCGCGGGGAGGTTCCTTCCATCGACGAGCTGAAAGCAGCGAATCGGCTCTTCGAGGGGAGGAGGTCAGCATCACACTGCCATCCTTTCTCAAGTGTTTCAGGGAGATTTAGGGAGAAATTTGGGTGGATGTTCGTGATATGCTGTGAAGTAGTGGGTTCACATGACGCATAAGCGGTTGAGGTGTTTGAGGAATGTCTGATGAAGTGGAGCAACGAAGCTTTAGGCAAATGGCTTGTGGTTTTGGATCAATGCCTGGCGTTTATTCAAGGGTTTAATCAGGTCAAAGCAAGGCACTGCGGTGCACAATTGGCCCAAGCAGTGGCAGGTGCGAGCCCAGAGGATGGACGAGTTCGTGAAACGCGCTTCGAAGCTCGAGGCATCTTGGGTGTGCAAAGAAGCGTCCAGGTCCACCGGAGCTCTAGCGTCGTTTTGGTTTACAATGGCCTCTTCGATGGGCTCCTGAGGCCCTGATGAATTGGCAGTTCATACCGTGGTGGGGGCAGGGCCCCCCCCCCCCCCCCCTTCAGTCCAGTCTCTCTCCCCCTCCCCCCACGTTCAAGATGCTGTGGAGGGGCGCTCGTGTGGCCGCTCGCTGTTGTCCGGGGCCCCCTCTCGAGTTGACGAGAGGAAAGCGTCAGCAAAACATAGGAGCACGTAGGATCGACGCCGGAACACGTAGGGTAGCTTGTGCTTATTCCGTTTTCCCAGCAATCCCTGCCGCGCAGTTTCTGACAGTCATCATTCAATCTCCTGTGGTCACTGTGTAGTCACTGTACTCTTGCAAACACTTGCAAATCTCACAAGCTGTGCATCTGTGGTCCTCGCTCGACTCTGCTCCCAGTTGGGCTCTCTGCCTCAGGACGAGCTGGCGGTCTCTGCCGAGGAGTACCGGGCGCAGCTGGAGGCAAAAAAAGCGCCTTGAAGGGCTTGCTTGGGGCCCTTCCTTACAGTTCTCAGATGCTGCGAGAGGCCCTCGCCACCGACCTTGCCAAGTCCAAGGCTGAAGGGGAGGAGCTTGCGGCGAAGTGCAAGCACCTCGAGGATTTGTCTTGCTTCGCCCTGGTCATGCATGGTGTGCTTGTTGCTTCAAACACCTTGTGCCCACTTGGCCTGAACCGAGCGCAGGAGGAGCTGGAAGGACTCCGAGCACTGTTCGAGGAACTGGGGTTAGGCGGGCCAATGCTGCGTCTGAACAGCGGCTGTTCGGAATCACCTTACACGCTTCACTCACGCTACGCCCATCCGCCTTGGTCGCCCGAAGACGATGTAGGCCCTGAGCTCGCGGCACGTCAACAGCAGTCAGCTGTCCAAATCCGAATTCCGAAGTAGCTCGGCGTTCTTTTGCCTCGGAATGCGGGGAGGTGCCTCGCCAGATTCGTTTTGAGTGCCTCAACCCGGGCACGACTTCGCACAAGCTGTGGGGAGGGGGAAGTGGAAAGGGGGAAAGCTCTCATGTCATCAAGAAGCCAAGCCTTGCAAGTGGCAAGAAGCCTCGGCAAGTTCCCCCCTCCCACATCGCATCTGGAGCTCTAACCCCAGTCTGGTTCAGTCTTGGGGCCAGGCAAGCTCATGGAGGATCCTGAGGCAGGCTTTGGGATGTTTTCGCTTTCTGCTCCTGAAATCATGCAACACAAACACCCCAGGCTCTGGCCAAGTTCCTCCAACGTGCTCTGTCTTTCGAGAAGGCAGTGTGAGTCAACATGTGCGAAGAGATGTGGAAATCTTAGCGTTTTCGAGATGTTTCGAGCACGACGTTTCAAGCGCAGATCTTCAAAGACCTCGGCTTGGAGCACTTCCTCGACAACCCGCAGGACGGTGATGGGTGACTTCGGTGGCTTGAAGCGAAGGGCATGAGTCACGTTGAGCCACCGTCTGATCGGCAGGCGCTTCGACAGGTTCTGGAGGCGGACGCGTCTGCTGAGCTGCCCGTCACTACGTTACGGGTGTGGTGTCTCTGAGCTGCCGGGTCGAGCAGCCTCGTGCGCTTCCCAGCCACTTCTCGCTCGAAGGCCTTTGCAGATCTGGGCCTGGAGAACCTTTTGAAGAACCCGAAGGACCCGGGACGTCTGTTCATCGCAGGGCATTGGGCAAAAGCCTGGAAAGCCCTCAGGAGCTGAAGAACTTCCTATCGTCGGCCAAGCAGCTGAAGGAGATGTTAGAGGCAACGCCGAGAAGACACGGCAGGTGACATTCAGCGACGCCTGTTACAGAAACAGCCCTGTGAACGTTAGGAAGGAAACTGCCTTGTGCTGGACAGCCCACGCAGCTTTGCGAGTGCAAAAGAGCCACAGTTTTCTCGGGCCCCTTCGAGCATTCAGCAGCTGCAGGCGGCTGGCTTTGGAGACGTTTTTGGCGACCCGTCGAAGCTGGAGGCACCTGAGCAGCGCACGGAAGTATCCTAGGAGATTTCATTGAATATGTATCCCCAACAAGGGATCCATGTCAGAATGCCCAGTCTCCAGCCATGTGAGGAGCTCAAGCAAAGCTTGGATTTGCTAAGGCGGTCGAAGGCTTACGGGCAGCTTTCTGCTGTTCCATTGGTCCATGCCATGTTGCAGCCTCTCCGACGCTCCAAGGGTTCGGGACCTCTTCGAGAAGTTCGGCTTGGGTGATGCCTTCAAGGCTGGTGCCATGTGGGGCGCTGGCCAGGAGAGCCGCAGGCAGTTTCTTTTGTCAGGACCCTGCCTTGCTGGAAGAGATTTTGTCCAGATACGAGGCTGGCTCTAACCCGAGAAATTTAGGCTTGGTTCTTGGCTTGAACACATGCGGCACCCAATCTATGTTGGGCGAGCGCGGGGTCTTGCTGACACTTGCCGGAAGGGATTACGCAAAGCCTTTGAAGAGTACGGCTTCTCAGAGCTGTTCGAGGCCTTAGCATGCTCATCTTTTTCCATCTCTTTTTACATGCCGTTGCAAGCAGAAGGAGCATTGACATGTGCCTGCTCGAGGATCCATACAACTTGAAGGGCTTCTTGCGGAACTACGCGAAACTACGTGAGGTGACCGTTTCAGCAGGGCATGCGCAGCCAGATGCGGCCGCTGCAGCCAGCGTAGCGCATGAGAGCAGTTGAGGCCTTCAAAGATCTCGGGCTGGAATATCTTCTGGACAGTGCTGCTGCGTTCAACTGAGCTTCCTTGCTGATGTCAAGATTCGTGGGTTTCCATTTTGCCAATGACGTGTTCAGTCAGGCCATGCGGGATTTTTTGGCGGGCCACACGTCCGGGGAGAAGGACGCCAACCAACAACCTTAGCTGTAGATGTGAAGGCGTTTTTCTGAGACGTCCTACAAACTCAGCAGGTTTGCGAGTGACCTCTGGGACGTCCTACAAACTCAGCAGGTTGCGAGTGACCTCGGCAGTGTGCAGGAGCTCCTGGATCTTCGTGCAAAGGCATCCAGGCTTGATGAGGCCTGATCGACTTAACCGGCCTATCCAGCAACCGGCCCGAGCATTCGAGAAGCTTGACTCTAGCGCATCATGGTGTTGGCATGCTTCTTGAACCTCGTTGAAGCAGCTGATGTCTTGTGTCTTTGTGAAGGCCGAAGAGAAGCTCCGTCGTAGGGAAGAAGAGCTGGCCTCGCGCTTAGATCCGTACTTAGCCACAGATGAAGGTCTGCCACGATGCAGATGTGAGTGCAGCAGGCACGGGCACGGGAAGAGGCCAAACAGATGCGTGATCGGCCGGTGGCACAGTGGCAACTTTAAGACTTTCGATCGCGTTGACAGAGGCTTCTACTCATGTGCTGTGACCAAGACTGGCAGCTTTCGAAGCCATCGGGGACCTCGAATCCTTCAAGAAGTGGAAAAGCGCCACCTGGATTGTACGGGAACAAACAGATCAGGCTGTAAACAGTGTTGCCAAGTGAGTGTCAATCCACATTCGAAACTGCCAGGCCTCTTCGTTTTCTCTCTCTCTCTCTATCTCTCTGTCTGTGCTTCTGAGGAGGCATCGGAGCTCCGGTCTCTTCTGCGAGCGAAGGCTTTCCGGCTCCGATGCGCTCTCTCTTCGCTTCGCCTGAGCTTTCTAGCTTCACTAAGACGGCTCTACTGCTGATCTGACAGGGCACTGTGGATAGCGAGCTGGCGGAGCTGCGCCGGCTGCTGGAGGAGAAGGCCCGTCCATGCCGCAATCGCAGGCGGTCGCCGCAGCGCCAGACCGAAGTCCACCTTTGCAGGAACGCGAGCGCCAGGAGGTGCCAGCAGACTTTCTTGTGCCCAAGCCCTCTGCCCATGCTTCCGAGCTTGCAAACCTTTCAGATCGAAGGACTAGCAACTGCTGCCCCGAGTTGGCTCAAGGGCATCTGCCGATCTTGTTGCTTCGAAGGCTTTCCTCTCATGCATGGCGCGACTTGCTTGCAACATGCTGCAGCTGATTTTTCAAAATGACCCTGCATCTGACATTCAGCGACGCTGTTTCTATCATCAGCGTGAGACAAGGTTTGATCTTCCAGGCGGTTAACATTCGATTCAGCCTCAGCACATGCTGATGCTACCGAGGCTCTGGGAGATGCCAACGGTTTCCAATGCAATGAAGTCCCCTTCCCCCCCCCGACCCCCTCCCCCCCCTCCCCCCCCCCCCGAAGCCGAAGTAACTGGAGTAACTCACCGGGGATGCGACCAGGTGTTGAAACGGCGACCTCTCTCCAAGGCGGGGGCTTGCTAAGGGCCACGGGAGGAGTCTCTGCTAAGCTCCGGGTTTTGGGATGGCATGGCAAAAATGGCCATTGAAGCTCCCTTGTCTTCGTGGCAACTGAAGTGTGCAGCCTCAAAACCTAAATGCCGACTTCCTCTAAAGGCTCAAGCCAGGTTTCAACGAGCCTAAACAGCGGCTCGGCCACTGGGCAGTCCCTTCACTAGATGTGCGAACTGTGGCGACAGTGGAATGAGGTGGAGGCCGACTCCTGAGCCGCCATGCATCGGGTTTCAGGCAGACCATGAGAGACCCACTCCGTAACATGAGGTGTTCTGTGCTGGATGTCGGAATCAATGCAGGAACCTCGGATTCTGCTGAGCTTGCGGGGCTCCTGCTGTGTGCTCTCTTGGGCTTCTCAGGCGATCAGAAATGTGTTGTGGACAACTACGAGGCGCGTAAAAGTCTGCCTCAATCTGCCTCCTGAGCCCCCGGCAAGCTCAAGCACCCTTGCTTTTCTCAGTCTTCTTTGCAGGTGGAGATTCTTCAAAGTCCTCTGACGGAGGGAGTCATCGTCCAAGAAGAGATGCTGAGTGATTCAATGAATTTCGTTCAATGACTGTTCTCAGAGTCGGCTCTTACGTTGCAGTGTGCTTCCAGCAGGCGCCTTCGTGCACAGACTGCTGCCAAGCCATGCGTCCGGCAAGCATTGGAAGCCATCTTGCTGCATTTGGAGCTTGAATGATCCTGGCATCATGGCAGGGCAACAACATGCAACAACACAGCCCAACATCTCATTGATGACCCCCCATCCTTCGTGCGTGTGAAATTTGCACGGGGCAGGCTTGTCCAACGCCGAGATGTGCTCCGCCAAGCTGATGGAGAGGCGGCCGCAACGCATCACCGTGCATTGCGATGCATTGCGTGCCAAGCAATTAAAGGAAGGAGCAGAAGCAAGGGCGCCTTTTGCAAAGGAATCGCACAGTCAGCATGACGTCCAGTCGAGGGCCCGAGTGGCCGTGGATGCCTCAGGAACGAAAGATGTCCTCACAAGGCTTAGCGCTGTCTCTTCCTTGCTGACAGGTCTGAGACCCTGTCCATCTTGCTGAGCCCACGATTGCTCGGCTTTTCAATGCTTGACCAGCATGGCGTGAAACATAGCAGTAACAAAGGAAGTGGGAGCCACCTGTGCACCACTCGCTGAACCGCTTGAGCCAAGCAGCCAATTCAAGACTGCATGCAAACCTTAGTCTGAGTCTTGGCAAATTCAATTGAAAAAATGAGAGCCTGGTCTGCCCATGTGGCATCTGACCTCATGCTTTGACGTCCTACAATTGACCGCTCGTGTTAAGTGAATCTGTGCACGGCCAGTCCTCCATCCTGGAAGCTGGCTCACTCCGGCGGCAGCCTTGGCTGACAGAGCCAGCCGAGCATCTTGGAGCAAACAGGCGCGGCAGGGGATATATGCTCTCCTGGGCGGGTCTTGGGCGGGGTCACTTCGCGCATCGTGCCCAGATTTTGGCAGCTTCTCATTCGATGTTGTTTCGGCTCCCGAACATGTATTCTGAAATTCCTAAAGAATTCCTGATAAGTTGCACTGTAACTAACATGACGGCAGTTCAGATCGAATCAGGCGCTTCCGCAGCCCATCCGGCAATCCGGTACCGCATCAGAAGCCAAGCACTTTTAAAGGCCAGCTTGCGACAAACCGCGCGCCCGCGCGGCGGAAAACCTAAACGAGGACTTACAGCAAACCCTCCTGAGGTTCTTGAAACAATGCCCACAGAAGCACTCGTGAGGCCACAGAAGCGCGTCCATTGGCAAAGTGAGAGTACGATGGGCGAGCATGCACGGCTTAATGGAAGCTGGGGGTTGGAGGGGATGGGGCCAGCTACTTGATTTCTGCAAAGGACGTTCTTTTAATGGAAACAATCTACAGAGCCATTTCCCCTTCCAAAAGCAGTTCCACTTGTGCTGCACGTCAAGCCTGGGTGCTCTTGAACTTGCGCACAACTTGAGCCAGAAGGTCTGTGCGAAAAGAGTGAGTGGAAACATGTGGCAGCAGATTCCCTGTGAGGCCGGTTGAGCGGTGACTTCCAGGTTCGGATCCGAGAAGCATCACAGACCGTGCTGCCCCAGAAAGTTGGGAAAGCTGCGTGCCGCAGCCTTCAAATGCCGACTGGACGGGTTTGTGCAGGTGAGGGACGGCCTTCGGCATCTTGCCGCAAAGCGACACATCTCTGCTCGCGGCTGCCAGTGGACAAGGGCGAAGACAAGCCAAACACAAGCTTCTCGTCATGGGCAATAGTAGATTCGGAACCCTTTTCCTTTGCATAAGGATGCGTCAGAGCAAGGTCGCACTTTATGCTGAGGCTACGAATGCTACGACCCTCGACAGTGTATCGGCACATGCGAGACTTCGATGGTGAAAGTGGGTCAAGGAGATGTTTAAATTGAAGAGACTTGGCACCAGTAGAATACGGGGCAAGAGATGTGCTCTAGGACTCGAGGTGTTCTGGCCTGACAGTGTCTGCAGGATTACAAGCTGATCAAGTTTCTGACGAGGTGTCCCTGCTGTAGCGACCTTGGGCCATTCTCAAGGGAGACACGTGTCACTCGTTGACTCCTGGGCATGCTCATCGCCGACGGAGCAACCTTCCTGCTTCGACCGGCTGAACCCGCTGCGAAGCGCGGTGCCAAAAGAAAACAGACTGCGAGCGCTCGTCCTCACGGCACCTCCCTTGGCCCTCTTACAATGCATATGAAGAGGCGCTTGAGCGCGAGCGGATGATGGCCATCAAGTACAAGGCGGGAGAAGTCGCGGGAAGTCGTGGATGATTCTGATGATTGTCATTATTGTTATTGTTCTTCTTAGTATTATTATATTCTTAGTATTTTTAATAGTAATCGTATCATTATTCGTATTATTGTGCATATACAATGACTGTACTGGGATGCTGTTGGCTGCTGGGGGTGGCCTAGTGGTTGGTGATCGCTGCCTCTTGAGCAAGGAGCTGGACATCTTTAAGCTGGACATCATCGCGCGCGAGCTCAAGTCTTTGGACAACGAGCTTGGCCTGGTTGGCAAAGAGGTACTCTCTGGGGCTTTGAATGCAAGATCACATGAAGAGAGGTTTTCCGTGTCTGTGTGTGTGTGTGTGCGCATCAGGCCAAGTTTCTCCAACAGAGTGCAGGGCGGCTCAAGGACTTCGGTGACCAGCAGCAGATCCATCAGCTGCTCGCTCAGCCAACTTCTTTTTCTGGTGGCGGGGTTGGTGGACTGCCTGGGGACGGGAGACGTGCGCTGCTGCAGGCATGGAAGCAAGATGCCAACCACTGAGTATCGGTGAATCTCTTGACAGCGCTGTCGGACTGTTGGGTCTGAAAGGTGTGTAATTAAACGTATAAGTGTAGCAGTGTGAATTTGCGGAAGTGTCGGTGTAAGTCTGTGTGTCTGTGCGTGTGTGGGTGTGGGTTCAGAGTTTAGGGTTTTAGGATGTTTAGGGTTTAGGGCAACGAAATCCTAGCGCGCACTCCTTCTCGAAAGCACCCAGGTTGGACCAATGCGTGCAGCTACGTTCTCACATCAGGGACCCCAAGACTTCCTGCGATCGAGCAAGCATCTGCACGCCCATCACGCCCCGCTTGCGCAGGATGTTATTCAAAAGTGCCTCTCTGAGACGCAAAAGCTGCACATTGGGGCTGCAATCGACGATCCCCTGGCCGCGGGGAGCTCAGCAGAGCTCGACAGAACGCATGATGCTTCGAGGGGGCCATCTTGGGCCTCTCTTTTGCGCCCTCAACCCTAAACCCTAAACCCTGAACCCTCAACCCTCCACCCTCAACCCTCAACCCTCAATCCTCAACCCTAAACCCTAAACCCTAAACCCTAAGCCCAGTTTTGCCACGTTTTTGCACCTGAGGCGGGCGAGCTGAAGGATGGCGGCGTCATGGCGGGATTTGTTTACGAGGAAGTCGAGGCCTCTTGAATCTGAGGGTTTAGGGTTCAGGGTTCAGGGTTCAGGGTTTAGGGTTTAGGGTTTAGGGTTTTAGGGTTTAGGTTTAGGGTTTAGGGGGACCCTCAAAAAGGGAACCCTCCTGAACCCTCTTCTGGCTTTCTTACACGGGGACCTTATTGGGTCTATGTCCCAAGGGTCCCCCTGATCCTATCCCCTGGAGAGAAGATTCAGAAGATTCGACACTCCTGGTCGTTTTTGCTTTCAGAGACATGCGGCAACCCATCCTTACGAGACTTTGAAGCTTCTCGTTTACATCTATCGCTCGAGTTTTCATCGCATCCCCCTATTCAAAGCATTACGCCCTCAGAGCGACACGTTAATGCAGGGGGGGGGGGAGGAGGAGGAATCTAAAAGGCATCTTTGCTCATGAAAGGCTAAGCTCAAAACCTTAATCGAATGAGCTGGACAGCTGCAGGATGGTGCGGGTTTTAAGATGGCTTTGGCCCAGAATTTGCATCTAGCGCCTGATCTGTGGGAATGCTTCGGAGCATCCTCATGAAGCGCGGCATGCGGGCGCGATGCGATCTTCGTGGGTTTTCCCGTAGTGCAGAATCCTAACCTGGTGGGCTGGAGATTTAAGAAAGTCGTCTCGGCGTCGCTTTCTGACATGTGTATGAATTGAATTGGAGCCTGGCCTTCTCGGAAGCTCTGCGAAATCCATGCTGACCTAAGCGGTCGGCCGGGCGGCAATAACCTGCTCTCATGCCAGGGATCTCGAGGTCGAATCCAGTAGTGTCTTACGACATCGAAATCGCTCAAGATTGCTGCGTGTCCTCTGACGATACTTATGCCCTTCCTGGAACCCTTCTGGGCTTGGAACGCGTCCTGCCGTAACTGCAGGCAAACCCAACACATTGATCCCAGAATTCGCTTGATTCTGCGGCACCTCTGTGAATTCCGAAAGTCTGCAAGTGGAACTTCATCTTTGCTCCGCTTCGTGCGAACACTCGAGCACTGAAACAAGGATGGGCGACAGTGAGTGTCCATCAAGAGAGCCCTGGGAGACTGTTTGTGTAGCTAAACTGAAACACCGTGAGAAGGCAATTCAACCCCCCTGGACCTAGAACCCTGGAGAGCAGCATGGCTCAGCAGAACTGACGGTTTAGGGGCTCATAAACAGGAGATGGGGGGGGGCCAACATATCAAAATTTGGAGCTCCCTGGCAGGGTCCGGACCATGGCTCGTCGAAAGCTGCGCGGCTGCGCCAGGGGGACTGCGTCTTGAGCTTGCATGAGCCATCATGAGCCCTGCATGAGCCTTGCATGAGCCTTGCGGGGAAGTTCAGGTGGCTTTCAGGTCAGCTCAGAAACACTGGGCAAGTGAGACAAGTTGACAGGACGAAATGGCGAGGGAACGCAGGCTGCAGTCGGGAAGGCCCGGCACTGGCGGGAGGCCCAGCACTGGCGGGAGGCCCGTTGCCGATGGACCAGTTGCAGGGGGGTTCTGCAGGAGTTCTGCAGAGGTTTCGGTGCGCTCTTGTGGGAAGGCCCATGGGTTGACGGCGGCTTGATGTGGCTTGATGTGGCCAACTTCAGCTTTTTCGGAGATTCCGGGATAGGACCGGATAGGACCTTGCCAAAGGAGCTGGGTCAGTGTTGGAGGTGTGACCAGTGGGGCCATGTGAGGCCAACACTGCTGATTGCATGTCGTATGCCCCTCAATAAAGCGTGCAAGAAACACAGCTTCTCAGATGCCTTTTTAAGGTCGGGCAGAACATGCAAAGTATGTTAACGAATATTGAGTCGTCGCTAAAGGCGCGAGTTTCACCGACACATCATTCCAAATTGTCGAATCGCTTAAGCTTGAAACAATGGCACCACTCTTCGGACTACTGTTGTTCATCCCTATGCTGGCTCGGAGTCATTCCGCGCTGGACTGCCTCGCTGTGCTGTTCTTTGGAGAGCCTGTTGCCTCGAGGCGCTGCTTCCGCTGGCAGCATTGTCAAGTTTTGTTTCCTGCATCCGTGAAGGTCCGCATTCATGGGCTCAAGGACTGCAGCTTATGAGATCTGGCAAGTGCTGTGGACACTAAAATTCACTAAACTAGTCTGCATGAGAAAGCAGAAGGGTCAAGGGCGGCTGTCTTAGTTAGGCTTCGTCCTTGAGCCACTCTTTGGCCATGAGCTTTGGCAGCGATGTGGCTGGCATGGTGGCGTATCTTGCCAGCCCTTTGGGGCCTTGCTCTAGGTGTGGCATTTGCGAAAACTGAGTTGTTGTCTCTTGCGTAGTTCCACCCTAGACTGGTAAGTTCGGCAAGGATTCAGAAAGACAGAAATAGTAGTGAGTGGGACGGAATCAAGAGTTTTTTTTGTTCGATGCCTCCAGGCGGGCTGGAAAAGGAACTGGAAGAAGAACGGGAGAGATGGTGGAATGCTGGGCACACCCAGGTGCAGTTGTGGGACCATTCTTGGTTAACACCCCGACTCGTTTGTGGATTTCGCTTCATGCGCGTTCCCCGCGCATCAAGCCTACAGGGAGGCATCTTTCTACCAATCGCGGGAATGGGAATGGGAGCAGATGAGATCCTGGCTGCAGCGAATGCTAGTGGCTGGGCCAGTGGAGTTCCAAAGTTGGACTCAGAGGAATCAGAGAAATCAGAGAAGCTGATGGTATGGACATTTGATGGTACTGAGTTTCAGGAGCGTGCCCTGTCATTCTACGCGGGCGGGAAGCCACCGATGGAAGACGTCTGGCTCCTGAGCCTGATGCTCGCGGTGCCTGCCTCCAAGAGGAACAACGTGCTGTCGGGCAGCCACATGATGGAACTTCAGTGTTCCGCCATGGTGTTGCTGGCGAGCTACCTCTACGCAGAGTACATGGCGCCCTTGGTGCCTCCGGCAGTTCTCCTGAAGTATTTCCAGCATACTTGGGAAGTGCACAGCCGGGAAGGTGCCACCGAGTCCGCCACGGAGATGCTGTCGCACTTCAGCTCCTTCGCACCCTTGAACCTGGCCATGGAACAGTTTCAAGACATCCTGCATGCCCGGCGAGAGGCTTACAGCTGCGCGGCTTTGGGATTTCGAGTCTGCCCGAAGGCCGCCTTGGCGAAAGAGGCGAAAGAGGCGAAAGAGGTTCCCATCATCAGGCCACTCGTTGACGTGGTGATTGTGAGGTGCCGCGAGGATGTGAGCTGGGTCTTGGATTGGCTGGCCAGAGTCCTGCGGGATGAGTGGACCCCCGAAGTTGCAGGCGTGCAGATACGGCTCCTGATCTATGAGAAGTGCTTCTCAACAGAGCCCTCAGAGCCCTCAGAGGACCCGGCTCCCTCTGAGCCTACTCCCATGACTGGCCAGCAGCTCCTTGACCGGCTTCTGCAGTTGGGTGCGCTGCACTTAGGCCCGGCGCCAAATGGCCAAAGAGAGTGACTTTGCACACCTCAGATGGGCACCTCAGTGATAGCATCAGTCGGACGTTCTCTGGCACTCACATGCAACGCACACACCCCCCCCCATTCAATCCCATGTTGCTGAGAGTGCAGCTCAAGTGCAAGTGCGTGTGCGTGCGTGTGCGTGCGTGCGTGGGTGTGTGTGTGTGTGTGTGTGTGAGTGAATTCCAACTTAATCACAAGCAGCTGAAATCATACGAACGCATGCTCCAACATGCTCCACCATGGACGCCATCCAGAACCGTATGCTCCACAGACATTGTCGTGAATGTCGTATACAGAAATTGCTTCATCAACAGCGAGGATGCTCCATAAATATACAGTGCTGAGTAAGTGGCTGATCAGACCACCCACCAATCCCCCAATGCCAGGTAGGTCCACTGCGCCTGATGCCCCGAGTCTTGAAGTGCTGCAGTGCTGCATTAGTGAAATTCTCAGCATGGTCAGCACCCCTCAGCACTACAGCACAACCCTCATACCAGCATATTCACAGACCATTCACTAAATGTTGTGTGTAAGCATGTGCAAGATCGATGGCACTCACAAAGCCCAACAAGGGTCTGTGTGTGTGTGTGTGTGTGTGTGTGTGTGTGTGTGTGTGTGTGTGTGTGTGTGTGTGTGTGTGTGTGTGTGTGTGTGTGTGTGTGTGTGTGTGTGTGTGTGGTGTGTGTGTGTGTGTGTGTGGTGTGTGTGTGTGTGTGTGTGTGTGTGTGTGTGTGTGTGTGTGCGTGCGTGCGTGCGTGCGTGCGTGCGTGCGTGCGTGCGTGCGTGCGTGCGTGCGTGCGTGCGTGCGTGTGCGTGCGTGTGCGTGCGCGAGTTCGCGTGCACATACCGCGTGTGCGTGCGCGCGGGCGCGTCGCGGGTCGGGGTGCGCGTGCGCGTGCGCGTGCGCACATGCGCATGTTTTCGGTCTCCTGCTTATTGGAGAAGATGATCACTGGCTACAGGCGTCCGCGCGAGAAAGCGATTTGCTTTAGAACATCGGCAAGCATTCGCTCAGAACGAAGCTGCTGTTCTTAAAAGCTCGCACGCACGCAGCTTGAGAGGGAGGCAAGTGACCACCTAGACGGCACACCACAGCACTGCTGGCGAGTTCTTCCGAACCTTTGGCTGAAGTCATCGGCTACAAGGTTTTGGTTGCGGTGGTGTATTGGACCTCTACCTTTTGTCCAAGCCTGCCGTAGCAGCAGGCAGCATGGTCATCGACCTTGCAGAGCCACTGGGCTTTGAAAACGTGGCGTACGTGCACCTTGGCGACATTACAGAATTATAGTGCAGGGCTTTGCAAGGATATGGGAAAAGAGGCCTACACGGGGCCAGTGGGTGCCATGCGGTCCCAGACTGTCCAATGCATCCTTGGCACTTCCTTCACTCAGCAAAATTGTTCAATTGAAATTTTCTTGCGTGTCAGAGGCATTACTGCATGTCTGCGGAATGGAGAGACTCGGACTTTGCGTGGGCCTCGCATGCAAGCATAGTGTAGATCTGCAGACAAGACATTGCTTCGCCGGCCTGCCAAGCTGACTTGTTGTCTGGGGGTTGTGTAGCTATAAGCTCTACAAGATTCTGACTCTGGGATCTGAAGGTGTTCTTTCTTCATGGATATCCCTTTGACCACACAAACGAGAAGATGATTGACGACGTCTTGAGGCAAATGATATGCATGGCTAACTGTCAGCCCAACGGCCTATGAACAGTCTCTGGGCTAGGTCAATGGTGCAGGGCACATACTCAGTGCCCACAGACTTCCCACAAGCTTGAGGCACCATTCAAGCGGCAGATTTTCTTTGAATCGATTTCACAGGTACCTTTCGTGCACTTGAACATCAAGCGCCTGCCGCGAATTGCGGTGGAGCCCTGCCTTCAAGTGCTGATCAGGCCCCCCCAGCTTCTTGAGCACGAGACACTGAGCAGAGATGCAAACTTTCGAAGTGCAAGCCTTCGAGAACTCCGGCAGAGGAACTCCCATAGGTTGACTTCTCTTGGAGGCCAAATTCTCCTAAACATCGTTTTGTTGCGAAGTGAAGAGGCCAGCCCTGGATGCCTGGCATGGAGACCAGGACCAGTGGAGCGTTCTGAAGTGGGGCAATTAAATATGGGGGTTTGCGAAATTGGGGGGGGGGGGGTACCTTATTGTGGGGTCCTCAGTCCTCATTATAAGGGAGTCTCCTACTATTTGTGGGGTACATATTAGGGGCCCCTTGTTTTCGTGAACTCCCATATGCTTTCATCATGGTCTTGGTGAGTGTCTCGAGGGCCCTTCTGGGGGGAGACTGGGAATAAACACCACGGCTTTTTCATGTCTTCTGGCTGAACTTGGCCTCCAGCTTCCGCTCAAGTGGCCCGTTAGACCGTTAGACCGTTAGACGAGAGGTCGAACACTTCCCCTGTGAATGCATGGGACAGGGTGGTGGAAAGGCCTTCATCCCGAGGTCGAGGGACACCATTGTTCCAAGCCAGGATCCTCTGTTGAAGGCATCGCTGGCTTTGCCAGTCTCACGTATTGTACATGCAGAAATCACCCGCGATTTCGACATCCTGCCCACGGTACTGGGAACTGGGTACTCTGGGGCTGTCTGTTTGGCAGAGCACAAATCCTCAAAACGTCAGGTTGCTGTGAAGCAATTCCGCAAACGACGCTTGAAAGAGCATCGCCTTAAGATGCTGAAGAGCGAGGTCGAAGTATACCTGCGGCTCGATCATCCGAACATCTGCCGGTTGTTGCATGCTTACGAGGGCCATCGTTACGTCTGGCTGGTCATGGAGATCTGTAGCTGTGAGCTCTACAGCCGGCTGTGTGAACGCAAGGTGTACTGTGAGGAGGATGCCGCGGACGTCATGCGGCAGATGCTCCAGGCCATCAATTACTTGTAACTTGACGAGCCCATCCCGGCAATAGGCACGGCTGCAGTAGTGTTTTTGTTTCGATAGCTGCATTCGATGATCGCTCTCCCTTTCCTTGCGTGACCGCCCAAATAAGGCACAGCCACAACATTGTTCACCGTGACCTCAAGCTCGAGAACTGGATGTATGGGGCACCTACATGTCAAGATCAAGATCGAATCAAGCTCATTGATTTTGGCTTCTCCGAGATAATTGCTGAGGACACGACCCTGGACATGCCATGTGGGACACTACACTATACGAGTCCAGAGGTTCTGAGCAGGAAGTATACCAAGAAGTGTGATCTCTGGAGTTGCGGTGTGATTTGTTATATGCTTTTGATGGGACGACCACCTTTCCGGGGCGCCAACAATGCCCGGATTGCGCGGGCAATTTTGGAGGCCGACTTCCCCAAGGAGGGACGCTGGGAGTTTCTATCGTGCTACGCGCAGGATTTCGTGATAAGGTTGCTTCAGAGGGACGTGCAAAGCAGGATGTCCGCTGCGGCTGCCCTCGAGCATCCGTGGCTGAAGTCTGGTGGGTGCAGCCCTTCACCCGAGATTGGTGTCAGTGTCTTGCAGAGTCTTCGGACTTTTGCACAGGGCTCCCACTTGTGCAGAGCAGCGCTAACCATTCTTGCTTACAGCTTGACCTCTACGGAGCTGGAAGGACTGGAGCAGACGTTTCTGGACTTTGATCAGTCAGGGCGAGGAACCGTCACACTGGAGCAGCTGAGGGATGCCATGCAGGCTCGACTCGACGTTTCATCAGCAGAGGTCAACAGGATATTCCAGCGTGTCGACTTCATGCAAAAGGAAGAGATCCAGTACACGCCCTTTGTGGCAGCGCTGTTGGCCACCAGGGTGAAGCTTCATCAGGACAAGGTTCGCGATGCGTTCGATGCCTTCGACATCGAGGGCAAAGGTTTCATCACAGCGAGCTCGCTAGTACAAGTATTCAATAGTCAGCTCTGCGAGGGGACACGCCGAAGCTGTATTTCCAAAGAAGAGGCAGAGCAGTGGGTTCGCGAAGTCGATTTTAAGGGCAACGGGGTCATTGACTACCCGTCCTTCCTGGCCGCCATGATGGGCAGAAGTTTGCGAGGCCTCCCTTCCTTGGAAGACCTGGCCGACCAGCCGACCATCCGTGTCTTCGAGGAAAGCCCCACTGGCAGGCCGCGAGGATTGACAGAGTCCTTCACTGCAGCGAGTACTTGCACCATACGGTTGCGAGAAGCCATTCTTGACAGTTGCGACACGGACTCTGCAAGCAGCGAGAAACGGGAAGGTCGGGGCCGTGCCAAGTCCTGTACTGGCATGGATGAATGCTCTGAAAAAGTGCAAATTCGTTTTCTAGCCTGTCAAGTGGACGAGCGCTACTTTTGTTGACACTTCACAATTTTTTCATATTGGAGACCTTGCTCTTGCTCTCAAATGGATGCAGGTTCCGCAGGCTCCTTGACACGTACAGACCCATTTCCTGACTTCCATATGCCTCGTTCTAACTAGTAAGCTGTTGTTTCGCGCCGGGCACAGGATGCGAAAGGGGATGCTTGCGATGCTAGGTCGCTACAGGCCCCTTTACCGGCAAAGCCAATCCTGTTAGGGCTTTCAGATGTACGAATCGAATGTGTAGTTGTGTTTTTGCCGGCCTTCATGGGCTTCATAAAGCTCGACTCTCTGTCTTAGACAGATGCGTCGCCTACTCGCTTTGGTATCTTTGGATCCGTACCAGGGCATGAAAGCTGCTCATACTGTTCGGTTCCAAAACTGGGGGCTAGGGCCCCCATTGATGGCAACGGTTTTCAAAAAGGGCTTCCACAGGCATGTCCAAGCTAGCGGCCATTCCATGCGAGATGCCCAGAGCGTCCGGCGCCCCACTGTATCCTACAAAGCCACATCCGCTGTTTGTTTTTTAATCAAAAACACAAGCAGCAGATAGCTTCCAGGGCCCTAGGGATCTGAAGCCCTTGACGAGACAGAAGTTTGAGACATAATTACTTTGGAGGAGGGCGGCTCCCTGGCCGAGGCCGATCTTCCGCCAGGAACACAGATGTACACGCGCTCGGGGCATCTCAGGGCCAATCATGGCCTTCTTCTTCCCCTTTGCCGGCTCCGCCAGCTGTGTTCCGAGTTCTCACGGGCCTTCTCCGCTCGGTTGTGTTTACGCTTACTTGTGGGTTGTTGCTGTTGCATGGGGGCGGGTCGAGGGGAGTCTAGTGAGTCTAGTGGCCTGGCGGCATCGACAGGTGCCAAGGCGTTTCGGGCACCACCGCTGTGCCAATCCGACGCCGGCGCATGTGCAGACTTCGCCCCGCGCGCTCCGCGCATGCCATGGTGCAGCGCATGCAGCTTCCACTTCCAGGCATGTCGACGCAGCTGGTCCTGCGATGCAGACGTGCGTATGTCGGCCTGGATGGCTATACGTCTTCCTTTGTTCACCACCCTGGGCTCTAAATTGACATCCTGTCCTCGACCACGATTGTAGACCTACCATGTCCTGCCCAGACCTACCCACAGACCTTTTGTAAACCTACGATGACCTGCCCAGACCTACCTTGCGATTGCGCGATTGCGGGCAGCCTGAGGTTCGACCTGTCCACCTACTGTTGCACGCAGTTCGTCGTGGCGCGGCACAGACTTGATCGAGTTCCAGACTCCTTCTGGAGCTGCTCGCTTTGAATATTCCATAGTATTTCTGAATCTTTCTGTTTTCTTTTGCAGTCCGGATCCGAACGCTTTTGGCAGTCCTATGCTACGGTGACTATTAAGGCCAACGGCCCTTGGCCCTTGAGATCCACTGAGCTAGTATAACAAGTGTTGACGCAAAAGTTTCCGTGCTGTTGCATGCATACAGTCGTCTAAGTCCTACTTGTAAGTGGTTAAGTGCAATGTAGGCAGAGATCGGGGGGCGTGTTTAATAGAAACGGCCCTACGGCGACGTCGCAGGACGATTTCTGGGGTTTGAGGGCCTTTCAAGGCTTTGGGGGGCTTGGGCGACTGAAACGGTGAAAAGCCCCTAGGGATCTTGACGGCTTGATTGAAGGCCAGAAAGCGGGTCTACGACAATGCTGTAGGACGATTTCCAGTTTCGGGCCTTGTACTGTAGGCCTCTCTACACAACACCTTGTGCAGGGCCCGAAACGGCCTAGCGACAACGTCCGCAGGCCGAGGACGATTTTGGGTTCGGGCCGTGTTTCAAGTCCATTGCAGATCGTTGTAAACGACCTTGCGAAAGTCGGGAAACGGTCCTGCGGCAACGTCGTAGGAAAATTTCCAAAGGTTCGGCCGGAAGCGCAACGCCGTAGGACGAAACCGGGGTTCCGGCCTGTGGAGGCCAGAAACGGCCCGACGACAATGACGTGGGACGATTTTTAAGGGCTCGGAAAGTTGTCAGCCTGTGCAAGGATTTTACAGGGCGATGTCTGGGGTTCTTTGTCAAGGCACTGTAAAGACAACGCCATAGGAGGATTTCCAGTGTTCGGACGGTCTTGCAAAAGCCGAAGCATTCCTTGTTGTTCAATCAACGGCCCGGCCCGCCGTATAAAGTATTTGATCTCGTTACAGATACTGTCCGAATATTTCGAAATAGTCACCGTACATGGATACAGTTCAATGATGGCGTGTTTGTGATTTGTGTGCCAGTGGAGTCTGCTGAAAGACGTGATTGCGCAAGCTGCGAGTGCTTTCAGGTGCAGTTTGGCGCTCCTTACATGACCGCCTCAGCGTTACGACCTTATTTGTTTCTCGCGAAAGCCTGGCATGTACAATCTTGGTTTAAGCAGTGCTCAGCAGTAGCTTGTGCTTCGTGACAGTGTCTCAATGCAAGTTTTGGCGCAGAAGTGGCGACATGTGCGCAGATCCTGCATGCCTACAGCATTGATAGCAAGCTTGTAAGATCTTGTAAGCACTAGCTTGCACAAGCAAGAACTGCAAGTCAAAAGATGCCGGAAGATGTGAATGTACCGATGGATTGAGGTGAACGGCACAGCCGTGGAGGGATTGCACTGGACCTGTAGGTCTGATGGGTTTGGATGGTTATTGTATGTTTTGGTCGAACCATCACTTCGCGTTGCCTTTTATGCGGCCTCGTTCTGACAGGCTCCCGGCAAAGAGGGTCTACGAGCAGCGCGCGGAAAGGCTGGGGGGCGTGTCCTTGTGGTTGCGACTTTGTTGGCGTGCGTCGAGGAACGGTCATACTCCCATCGCCGACCATGGCCTATGGGCTCTCGCCTCAATGCCATGTCGCTGCATGTGTGAGATTGGGCACCACTTCTAACTTGCCAGGGAGAAGTGCTGGAGCGTGCCTGGCATTGGATTTTCGGCCGAGTCCCCAAGCCCACCAGAAGCCCACTTAAGCAGAGGGGTCAGAGGGGTCGGGATCTGCCGCAAAAACCATGGAATCGGGCTCTCGATTCTTAAGGCGAGGAGCCTCTGCTGCCTTCTCGAGAGGCCGTGGGATGGCTGAGATGTTCTGAGATGGAGCAAGGCATCGGTGGTGCGTCGACCCTTCTTTGCAGGTCGACACCCGGCTCCCTCTGTTCCTTCGCATTGCAAGGCTGGGATAGAGCTTAGAGGACCTAGTTGCAACCCTAAACCCTCAACCCTCAACCCTCAACCCTCAACCCTCAACCCTCAACCCTCAACCCTCAACCCTCAAACCTCAACCCTCAACCCTCAACCCTAAACCCTAAACCCTAAACCCTAAACCCTAAACCCTAAACCCTAAACCCTAAACCTTTCCGGCAGCTGGAGCTTGGTTCTGCTGGTGGCCAGGGTGCGGTCGGACATTGAAGGCGGGCCTCGAGGCGCGGCTCAAGTCTTATCTGCCAAGCATGGAATGCCATGGTTTAGGGTTTAGGGTTTAGGGTTTAGGGTTTAGGGTTTAGGGTTTAGGGTTTAGGGTTTATGGTTTAGGGTTTACGGTTTAGGGTTTTGGAATGCCACACGGAATTCCAGAGCACAGGTTCCATCCTCGACCGCGTACTGATTCCAGATTGGGGCTTTGACCCTGGTTACTGGGGCCTCGTACCCATCATCGGAAACGTGACCGGCGAGGTTGGGCTACCCAAGATTACCTGCAAGTAGGAGTCATGAGGGGTTTCAACAGTTTCAACGCATCCGTGGATTCTAAGCGGGACACAGTTCAGGAACTTTAACACAGAAATTGTTGGTTCTTCGTGGATCTGTCTTGGAAACTGGGTTCTCTGACTCAAGGAGTTGACGGGCTTCAAGAACCAGATTGAGTTTGTTTAAAAAGGCGATCAGGGTGTTCTGCGAAAGCCTGCCATGAAGGCAGCGCGTCTAAACTCTTCCCGGCTGTAGGCCTCACTTAGGAGGTGGCTGTGGATCCCAAACCCGACCTCAGTCTGTAGCGATGCCTTGCATGCGCACGGGCGTGCGCTTGTGGAGGGTGGAGGGCAGGGGTTGCCAATCGGTCGGTCTGTCTGTGTGCTGGTAGCATGGAAGCCTGTGACTTCTTCAATTGTTTGATTGAGCTTGCCTGATGCTGCAGGCGACAGCTGCCTCCGCCTCGCCGATTCCGACTTCACAGTTTGCCAGAACTGCGAGGACAAACTGGCAGCTACCCGCTTGGGTGGATGCATGGCTTGCAGCGGAAAATGGGGTCAACACTGCACGGGCGTTCGACAGGTCCAGTCGGCAGGTCAACTAGGTTTCTGGCAGAACAGCTGAAGCTGTGTGTGGCTCATGCGGCAGTTCTCAGAGTTGCGGACTTCCATGTCCTCGCCTTGTTGAGCTCATTAAGTCTCCGACGAGTTTATGAGATTATGAACGGCTCACTTGCAGACAGACAATCACCAGCACAAGAATCGGGGTGTGTGTGTGTGTGTGTGCGCGCGAGTTTTGTTTGAGACATGGAATTCACCCTCCAAGTGTCACAGGGTTAGTGATCTAGTTTCGTTGGATTTTAGTGATTCATTGATTCATGCTTCTTTTCTTACATCGAACCTCGCACGCTGCGGTTGTTTGGCGATGGCTGTGGTCGGGCAGCTCAGTGGGAGCGGGACCGAAACGACAGAGGACTCGTGAGTCATCCAAAGGGATCCCCAATAGTTGTCTGGTTGTCTAGGCGGCTTTTGTCCACTTTTTTTGCCGAGCTCTTCTCAATTCCTCGTCAGTTTCCTTGCGGGCTTGAGACTGTTGCATACCAATATCAGGCCCCTCCACCAGCACCGGCAGAGCCAAAGCGGCAGAGGTCCATCCCAAGCCAGACACCCAGGCGCAGGCTCAGACCACGGCCCATGCCGAGGCCACTGCAGACTAAACCCTAAACCCTAAACCCTAAACCCTAAACCCTAAACCCTAAACCCTAAACCCTAAACCCTAAACCCTAAGCCCTAAGCCCTAAGCCCTAAGCCCTAAGCCCTAAGCCCTAAGCCCTAAGCCCTAGCCCTAAGCCCTAAGCCCTAAGCCCTGCATATGGATATGGTGAACGGGGAAAGAAACGGGAGCTTAGTGTGGGGGCTGCCTGCGGATCCAGACGACTTCGGTGGCACTGTTCAATTGGTAAGCCTTATACAAAAATGTAATATGATAACACGCGAAATTTAGTGCTTTTTTGACGAATCTTGATGTAGTAGCTCGAGGCAGTCGCTGAGCCCTTTGAGAAGCTTTACTTCAGATGGCTGGGGTTTTCTTGAAGTTTCTTGTGCGATCCTTTCCTATTCGCTGGCCCTTTTAGTGGCACGGATATGCTATGGGTGTCAAAGCGGGTGGCTAATAGGCCAATCACCATCAGTTGTGCGGGATACAGCCATCGGAAAATTCAGTGATGGAATCGAGGTTCCGTTTGACTTGGTTTTGGGCGCAAGTCACTGTGCTGCGGTTGGTGTCCGGATGCTTCTGCCGCGTGTGGCTGCTGCCGCGACACACGGCCTTTGAAACAGTCGGTCCAGTTGGGCTGTGTGTGAGTGTTTCAAGGTTGTACAAGGAATTTCTGTAAAGTCAGTTTTTTTAGTCATTCGCTTTGTCACACGCCAGGGATTTCGCAATGTGGCGGGTTGGCGCTGTGCTGGAATCTTTGAGGTTTGGATTATGAATTCCAGCCGCCTGCTTTATGATTTTTTAGGTCTAGATCAAATCTCCTTCTATGACATGCTGCGACTGCTAGGAATAAGGAGCGGGGTGCCAACGCTGCCTACGCAGCTTATTCGCGGTTTTTTTTTCGGGAAGTTCCCGGGGCATGCTTTTGTGTGGTTTTTGTTTCAATTTGTTTGCCTTCTTGTCTTGATTATGCCGACCATCTTGTGAGGTCCTAATTACCTGGTGCCACTGTAGCGCATGAATTTTGTCGAAAGCTAGATGACACTGTTTGAGAAGCGCGTGCAGAGCAGGAGGAGGAGGAGCAGGGGAGGGGGTAGATGGAGGAGAGGGAGGAAAGGGAGGAGAGGGAGGGGAGGGAGGAGAGGGAGGGCAGGGAGGAGAGGGTGGAGGGCGAGCTTGAGAAAGGAACCCATGCTAATCGATAGAGAACTGAAAGGGACATGAAGTGACATGGGGCAACGCGAAGTGCTATATGCGCAGGAACACACGCGTAACTTCTAGGCAGCTCTTGCACGCAGTTGTGCACGAGATGAGAGCCATTGGAAGAGCTGCTGACTGACTGTAGCGTGTTAAGGATTTCGAGTTGTGATCTGGAATCTTGAAAACGAGCTTGTGTGTGGACCCGGTAAGTGCTGTAGTAAGGTTCAGCGTTGAGCACCGTTGAACATCGTTGAACAGCATGTCGAAGCTCTTGTTTGTGTTGTTGTGCTCCCTCGCTGCTGCCCCCGAGCCATCAGCAACGGTGAGAGAGACGTGGGAGTGATGTGAGTGTGTTTTGGGCAGGAAGGAGACCTGGGTGCGTAACGATGGTAATGATAGCTCCGCCTTCTCTGGCGGCTTGTTCAGATTCCTGGACGACGAGGACAATGAGGACGCTCCGGCGTGCCCTGCGTCCGCCTCCTCATCTTCAGCATCGCCTCCGGTGGGTGGTCCTCTGCCCACATTCCCCACGGTGCCAACATGTGCCGACTTCAGGATGAGATGAGCGGAGTGGTGTGAGAGAGTGTGTGTTTGTGGCAGGATGCGCAGGCGGAACAGGCCTATCGCCAGATGGCGGCGACAAACCGACAAACCGACAAACCGACAAACCGACAAACCGACAAACCGACAAACCGACAGACAGACAAACAGACAAACAGACAAACAGACAAACAGACAAACAGACAAACAGACAAACAAACAAGGAGGCAAACAGGCAAACAGACAAACAGACGAACAGACAAACCGACAAACCGACAAACAGACAAACAGACAAACAGACAAACAGACATCCATCGTGCGAAGCATCGAAGACATCGGATTTACAGTGTTTTCGGCGCGTGTCAACTGCAAAATCGTGTTTTCGCCTAGGTGTCGCGCGCATGCCCGAAAACCTTGTTATTTACAGCGTTTTCAGCGTTTCCACACTCAAAAACGACGCGTGTTACGACACTTTCGGCGTATACCATCTCCACGTTTGGAAGGGGCGCTTGAAAGCCTCGTTTTTTAAGCGTTTTGTTCCGCTGCCGCGTCACGAAGGCTTTGAGAGCCTAGAAAGCATCGTGGCAGTAGCGCGACACACGATTCACCAGACGATAGCGGATCGGAGCGAGACAGGACATGTAGTTGCAGATTCGGTTCTATGCAAGTTAGACGCAGCGTGTGTCCTCCATCGCCTCAACACCAGCCAGTTGTGGCAATGCTAGCACACGTTCCCTGAGCAGTTGCTCGGAGAGTTGGACCGCAATGGATCTGTAGATGACTCGAAAGTGAAGTGTGAACTGTCTTAAGAGACGGGTGTGTAGCTTGCTCAGGAGCGAGAGGGGCGAGTCTTTGCATGCCGGCCTTTGCATGTGCCTTTCCCGGCGGAACGCAACATCTTCGCAAGCCTCCTCGGTTTTTACAGGGTTTTCTGCCACGAGGGGGGGGGGGTTAATTACGTCTTTTGCAATAGATTTTGCTTTGCTGCATCACCCCTGCAACTTCAACCCTAAACCCAGCAGGAATGTTTCAGCTCTCGGAGTCTAAGTGCGCGAGCCTGACCCTTTGCCCAGGTTCTCGCCCCCCCCCCCCCCCCCCAAAAGGATAGACAAGTTGTGGTCTGTGGTCTGTTTGTCTGTTTGTCTGTTTGTCTGTTTGTCCGTTTGTCCGTTTGTCCGTTTGTCTGTTTGTCTGTTTGTCCTGTTTGTCCTGTTTGTCGGTTTGTCGGTTTGTCGGCTGTCGGTTTGTCGGTTTGTCTGTTTGTCTGTTTGTCTGTTTGTCTGTTTGTCTCACGGGTCCCAAAGTCGACAACCCTTCCACGGCGTCGAGCAAGGCGCCTGGCAACAACAACACCACCAATACCAACACCAGCACCAACACCAACACCAACACCAACACCAACACCAGCACCAACACCAACACCAACACCAACACCACCAGCACCAGCACCAACACCAGCACCAGCACCAGCACCAACACCAGCACCAACACCAACACCAACACCAGCTCCAACAACACCAACACCGACACCGACACCAACACCGACGCCAGCAGCAGCAACAACAACAACAGCAGCAGCAACAACAACAACAACACTATCATCTTATCGTGAGCTGCCGGTATATTGCATTTTGTATAAGGCTTAGCAATTGAACAGTGCTTCACCATATCCATATTTTGTAGATCACTGGGGGCCGCGTGTTGCGGTGGGTCTGCAGCGGCCTTGGGATGTCGTGGTGGTGGTGGTGGCGGTGGTGGTGGTGGTGGTCCCGTGGCACAATAGTGTGGTGGTGTGGTGATCCCCTGTGGTGGCGGTCCCGTGGTGGTGGTCCCGTGGTGGTGGTCCGTGGTGGTGGTCTGTGGTGGTGGTCCGCGCCTGGGTGTCCGGTGCTGGTGGAGGGGCCTGCAATTGGCAATTGGTATGCAAAAGTCTCAAGCCCGCAAAGATCCTGACGAGGAATTGAAAAAAACTTTGCAAACGTGGACAAAAGCCGCCTAAGATCTGCTCGTCCTCCTGGAGTCCTTTTGAATGCCTAAGACCCTAAGACCGTAAGACCCTAAGACCCTAAGACCCTAAGACCCTAAGACCCTAAGACCCTAAGACCCTAAGACCCTAAGACCCGAAGACCCTAAGAATTTAAGACCCTAAGACCCTGAGACCCTGAGACCTTGAGACCCTGAGACCCTCAGAGAGACCCTGAGACCTTGAGACCCTGAGACCCTGAGACCCTGAGACCCTGAGACCCTGAGACCCTGAGACCCTGAGACCCTGAGACCCCTAAGACCCTGAGACCCTGAGACGCTAAGACCCTGAGACCCCGAGACCCCAAGACCCTGAGACCTCCGACCTCCTTTGGGCTTCACGTGCACTTGGGCCGCTTGGTCTGCATCTTCCGATGCCGGAGCACTGCACCGCGCTGAGCTGTAGTGAGATGACTCCCGCTTTGCGAGCTGAGACCTTTGGAGCCCTTTGGATCTTTTTGGAGCCCCAGCCTTTCTCCCTGCACATCGGGATCTGACAATCTGACAATGATCCACGTGTCAGCTGAATCTCCAGCACGCCGCGTGCAGCGGCACCTGATTCCACTGCTGGGCGGTACCGGAAGTTGAAGACATGGGTCGAGCAAAGGGTCGAAACAAGTCTTTTTCGAGGTCACTGGCAGAAGGTGGCAGTGCCGGTGGTAGCCTGGTAGATTTGGTAGATCTGGTAGATCTGGTAGCGCCATGTAGTGCCCAGTGCTACTGGCCCACAATGAATTAGCCCACCCCCTGAAGTTTTCAAAGTCGGCAGTGAGAGGCTCACCGGCATGCCTAACGAATCCCAAATGAGGCGCGCTGGGGGTTCAGACGGTTCAGAGGGTTCTGAGGGATCGAGAATTTTCTAAGCACTTCGAGGCCAAGAAATGCTCACATCCACTAGACTCTCCACGCCAAAGTGATTTTTTTTTGAACATGAGCAGCTTCAGCGCAGGAGCACATCTTAGGTGGGAACCAGTGAGCAGTCGCCAGGTGAGCGCGGTGTGACTTCCAGCTGCATGACGCGAAAAAATCCACCGAGATACGTCGGAGATGGCACACGCATATGCTGGGGGAACCAGCTCTGGCTTGATGAGCAGTCCGATGGAAACCGCCGCTTGTGGCTCGAAGACCTGCATCCTCAATGAAGCTGTTCGGACCTTGAGGCAATGGTCTTGCTGGCGCGGTGTGTGGTTTATTGTGGTTTCCGTGAGCTCGCTCGTCTTCCAGCCAGTCTCCGATCACCTCAGGCGGTGCGCGGCCGCCAAGTCCGACAGACGATCATAGACGATCCATGTTTCGCGCCTCCACTTTGACTTTGCTTGCCATTTCTGTCAAGGCCACCTGCTCGGCTATGATCTGCTATGCGCATGCTGTGACACGGGAATTCAGATGTGGGAAGCACGATGTGTTAGGCCAGTGGATCGTTTGAGCTGAGAACTTGGAATGTTTTTAGGTCAAAGGGAAAAGTGTAGCTGCATACAACTTGCATACAAGCCGCGTGTAGCAACTGTTCAGCAAGGCCCGGATATCTGGCCATCGCTGCGAACTACACACGCGCAGCCACTGTCTCATTTGTTGCTATTGCACGGCATACGTGCTTTCTTGCTGTACTTCTGCTGTATGAGGAAGAGAGTGAAAGCAGGAGAGAGACAGAGAGAGAGAGAGGGACAAACCCCCTCCCTGTCGATTCACCCTCTACAGCGCAGCAGTCTCACACGGACGAACTCGGTGAAGCGTGCCCTGCGGGGCGGTCCCCCTCAAGGGGCCATACGCTGCGCAAGCAAGCAAGCAAGCAAGAGAGAGGGAGGGAGGGAGGGAAAGAGAGAGAGTCTCACACTAACGGACGCTTGGGACACTCGGGGATGGGGGGGGTGAAGTGTTACTTGGGCCATGGCGGCCTCCAGGGTTGGGGTTAGGATATGCGGGGGAAGGGCCGTGGGTGTCCGGACACGTGTTTCGGCTTCACCCGGTGCCTTCTTGAGGGGTCAGCGGATTCGCCGAGGCGCTGGATGGTTACTTGCAGGGAAGTGGGCAGCCTAGCTAACAGATGCAGCTTGGTGTTTCAGCTCGGTGACTAGCACGTGAGCGTGCGGCAATGCAGGGTTCGGCCAGACAGCCGCTGAATTACCTGCCAAAGGAGAGGTTGAAATGGTTGAATCGTATGCAGGGCGATGCGAGGCGGAGTCTGACAGATTCCCTTGCAGGAGACCCCGCGCTGGACCCGTGCCCGATCTTGAACAGTTGGTCGCAATCTCAATGCATGCAGGGAGTCATGCAGCCGTTGTGTCATCGGCCGTGAAATGGTTATCACCAAGGCCAGACAAAGTGGAGATCGACGCACCGAATCCATGCAACCCTTTATCCAGTGCCGGTGGTTGGACAGAGCCTGAAGCGGTCTGTATACAAATTGCAGAGCATGCGCAGTTGAGCATGGTGCTCAGGACATCTGAGTCACCAGGCTCTGGAGCCCCGCACTCAGAACATCCCAGAACATCCCAGAGCTATCAAAGCTTTGCAAGCGATCATCTGCCAGCTTTGAATTCAGATCTCGCGCATAGCCGTCCTTCTTGGCACGACATGTCGGACTTCTGTGGACTTGTCTGAACTGAGATGCCGCTGGTGATGACCTGGTCGCAGCAATGCAGCAAAGTGGGTGCAAGTACGGCTCTCAATCTGTTTGGGGGAGTATGCGTGAGGCAGAGTGCTGTAGCATGCCCAGAGAATGCGTGGTCCCAATTCTTCCAGCAATAGTGGTACATTCACGACGTTAAAATATAAAAGCTAGACAAGGTTGTCCTGAACTCGCTGGTTCAGGATATACGTAGTTCACCGTGCGTTTTCTTGCACGCCGCACAAGGAAGGTGACACTCTCTGAACATGAGCGTGCAAACCCACCCTCAACCCTAAACCCTAAACCCTAAACCCTAAACCCTAAACCCTAAACCCTAAACCCTAAACCCTAAACCCTAAATCCTAAGCCCTAAACCCTAAACCTTAAACCCTAAACCCTAAACCCTAAACCCTAAACCCTAAACCCTAAACCCTAAACCCTAAACCCTAAACCCTAAACCCTAAACCCTAAACCCTAAACCCTAAACGATGCAAGCGAAGGTCTGGTTCCGGTGACCACCTACAGCCTTCCATCGGGCGGCCTCTTTGGAACGAGCCAGCTGGCCAGAGCCTCCGAGGGTTTAGGGTTTAGGGTTTAGGGTTTAGGGTTTTCAGTAGCATTTAGGATGTGTGTTCTGAGGTTCCATCGTTGACTGGCAACACATTCCAGCTCAACGACTGTGTGGGATACACGCCCCGTGCTTACACCAGTCAGATAAGTGCGAAGGGCAGCTCGGTCTTTCGATGAGGCGGTACTACATTGACGAGAAGGCTCTGGGACGTGAGATTTCTGAAGACCTGTTAGCAGTGGACACCCCGGGCTCGAGAAGAATGGCAGCACCATTCGAGTCACGTAACTCTTCGAGACGTGTTGTGGACCGCTCTGGGATCCTTTGGGGGGGGATCAAAATGGACAGCGAAACCAACGTGAAGCAACCTGAAGCAACCTGAAGCAGCGTGAAGCAACGTGAAGCGCAGGTTTACCACGTTGTTGGAGAGCCCGATGCTCATGCCTGCGAAATCTATGGCTCCTGCGCGGCGGCCTCGGATGGGCTGTGCTTCGTTGATGTCGCGCTCCCTTGGCCACCTGGGTTCTTGGGTTGTGCCGAGGATGGCTCAGTTTTCGTGCAGTTCCTCATCCGGGATCACGTGCGCCGCCCTAGTTTCGATCTCTGAGGCGTCTGAAAAGGGCAGTCTTGGACATGCCCCACAACCAAGAGTCTGAGGCTGGGCGCAAGATTGCGCACACCCCCTACCTGCATCTTTTCCAGAGCTCCTTCAACATCGAGGCTCCCGTCCCGACCCACCTCAGCCGGTCAGCAGTGCCCTGCCCACGCCCAGGACACAAGCGGCATGGTTGTAGCGCATGTGGAAAGGCCAGTCAGGGCAAGAAACATTTTGAATGTAGAGGGGTTTCTGATGTCCAGAAATGACGCCGTTGAGGATTGGGCATTGGAATCCGATGTCAAAAATGTGCTCGACGAAGGGACACCGGTGGCCAGCTGCTGAAATGGCACAGGAGTGCCTGACCAAGGGTACTGCGTTGGAGTGGTTTTTGTGTGCTCAGGCTGGTGAAGTTCCCAGATTTGACCATGCCGGGTTGGCAGCCCAGAATGAGTTGACCGCTGTTTTCAGGGGCATTGCCCAGCATTGGTGCCTCTCCTGGCTTCATCCAAGGTGCATCCGCTGTTTTCCCCACTACTGCCGACAGGTGGCCAGTGGTCTGGGCCCTTTCTGGCGCTGAGTCCCTAGTCCCTAAACCCTAAACCCTAAAAACCCTAAAAACCCTAAAAACCCTAAAAACCCTAAAAACCCTAAAAACCCTGAAAACCCTAAACCCTAAACCCTAAAGCCCAAGAAGCACTGATACTTTCTAGCAAATCTTCGCACCGAGGCGAAGCTTGTGACCATCATGGCCACCCGGGACTCCAGCCGCCTGTCTTCGGGCCTCGTGGCTCCCAGCGTCTGCGAGGTCGAGAAAACCGGGTCGGCTCCCCAGTAGGTGCTCTCTGCGGTTTTGGGCTCAGAGTTGATGTTCCCCCTTTCTTCTACTAGCAAATAGGGATTATGGATGATAGCACCCCCCTATTGGAATCCCTATCAAGGACTGTTTAGAAAAAGGGGGAACATCCCGACATATCTTGCAAAGTGGTCAAGGCTGCTGCTGATCTCTTTGGTCTTCCTAGTGGTTGCCTTTGGAGCTCTCGGCGTCTTGCCAGATGCCCAAAAAGTTCATGATTCGAACATGGCTCAGACATGGATTATCTTGGGGGCTATGTGCAGCATTCCCTGAGCCTAAAGCCATGACAGGTTTCTGCGGGTGGGTGTTGCCCCAATGCAGAGCAGCTGTTTGGACTTCGAAAGTGCGTGCTGCCAGAAGCTGAACAAGAGAAGTCGCCAGCATTAGAAAGGCTCGGGCCGATTGCCGTCCGAGGCCCGCGGAGGAAGGCGGCTGCGACGTCGAGATTTCCAAAGTACACGGTCTGACGAGGCCAGGCTCCACGAAAGTCAAGAGGATCGGAAGCGTGATGTGCCAACTGATCTCCTCACGGCCGAGGTTTCTGAGATAGCCCTATGTCAATGTTTCACAGAGCACACGGTGCGAGCCTATGCGGCCTAGAAAAGCCGACCTTTCAGAGAGCCTCATACTAGAGTTGTTTTCTCAAGTTCTTGCCAAGACAGCCCACCTCGTCCATCAATACCCTGACAAGTCCTTGGCTCAAACACACATCCGCGGGAGACACGCGGAAGCCAAGATGGCAAGCCCGATCCCAAAGGGCGCTTCTTTGCTCTTCTTTGCTGTGTCTCCAGGCTTCCTGGAAGGTGGTGTGGTGCGTTTGAGAATGGTCAGGTCCATGGCACACGCAGGGGCTGCAACGGAATGCCGCCTATACACGAAGCATGGAGCACCTTCACTGATTTATGGCCCTGAAGTGAAGGAAGGCAACTTATGGCTCACTACCCCGATGCTGTCTTCGCCTGCCAGGGAGATGTACACCAGCACCACTGCCATTGGGAAATGCCGGCTGGATACGGCTCTTCCCCCAAGATTGAGCTCTGGTAGCAGCTATTGGCTGGGAGAGTTTTGAACCAGGTCGGGCATCTAAAGCCTTGCGACAACAGACACGTTCTTGCCTCAATGAGTGGCACAAAAGCAACAGATGGCTTCAGAAAATTGTCTCTGACCTCTCAGGCCCCAATTCGTCTGTATCGCAGTTATGGCGAGTGGTTTGAAGCTGGTCTTCAGGCATGTTGTAATCATGTAGTAATCATGTAGTAATCATGTTGTAATCATGTTGTAGTCATGTTGTAATCGCGATAACACCTGCCTGGTTCTGCCAAAGGCTCCCATGCCCAATGTTAGCATGATGACAACATCGCGGCTTTCTAAGCTTGATGGCATCTGAAGAACTCCTTGCAGCGTCTGGGGCACATGGTGTGCGAGACACTTCTTGAGGTCTAGGTTTTGGCCATATGGTCAAGATGTGACGAAGCTGCATGCCACATCAGACAAGCGAGAGCAGTGCGCCATATTTGCTTGTTGATACGTGTTGATGTCTGGGACCTTGGCCCTGGGTTCGTTCCCAGCTGTAGGGAGATTTGTAAGATTTGACAGGTACCAGCTCGATGACCGCACGGTCTCTAGCATAAGGTCTGGTCGTCAGTGAGATGGGCCTATTGTCCAGCAATGTCGTGGACACCGCTGCAGGCCCTACGTTCCTGCCAGGGACGGGTCGCTGCCCGACTTGCGAGCATATCGCTCAGGCAGCGGGCGCAAAAGCAAAAACTGGCTTTTCACAGATGCTCAAAACATGGCTGAAAATGCTTCCGACAGGTGGAGCCCAGGCGGCACACATCCCAAACCATCAGGTCGACAACCTAGAAGACCCGAGATGCTGGTGATTTTGGGAGGGAAGAACTGTGGCCAATGATGCACCCTGTGGCAGTCATTCCGTGCTTTTCGGGCGACCGGAAAGAAAGACATCCTGTGCCATCCCGGCCTGTTGCTTGCTGTCACTGCTTCTTGGGATCGTGCCCCGAAGGGCCGAACACTTTTGGTTTTGTCTCTTCTGTGTGTGTGTGTGTGTGTGTGTTTGTACTTAATATGTCACATCGAGTAATACACCCCATTGCGCGCAGGAGATGCAGAGCATGCTGAGTGTAGGCAGTAGCAAAAGATCAGCCATAGGCTCCTCTAGTTTTTTGTTGAGTCTCAAGTTCCTCTCCAAGAGACGGACCGGAGATTCCCCTAAAGTCTCTGCACAACTGCACAGACTTGAATGGAGTATGCAGGGAGTGGTGTAAATGGAGCCTCGGTCGGTGGGACCGCTTTCAGCAGCGCGCTGTCATTGCACTGCTTTGCATCTCTTTGCATGTGTTCTCTCTGTGATCCTTCGTGGTGTTGGCCGACATGTCGTACATGTCGATATTTGTGCGCCCTGCCTCACTGAAGCTATTCTCCATCGATGCATTTTGCATCGACATGTCGGATGCCATGTTCCCAGCATCCCCACGTTCTCCTCATCGATACCAACTTTATCCATTAAGTGAGGTAGATTGAGTAGTCTGACCGAAAGAGCGCCAATAGTTGCTTTTCCACGGCCGCATTGCAGGTGCAGGCGATGTATGTGGTACGCGGGAAGGGCCCTTGAACCAAACCAGCACAAAGCAGCCAGTAGCTGCAGCTGTATCAGGGCAGGCCTGTCCCATCCAATATCTTTGCCGCGGCTTCAGTACCATCAATACACTGCAGTTCCCAGCCCGTAGCCCTCAGCATGTAACGCCGCGAAGCACATTTGAAAGAAGTAGGCAGCCGAGCACCGATGGCTGGTTGGCCTCGCTTGGGTCCGGGAAAGCGCCGGCGCCCTGACTGGAACGACCATGAGGTTCGGAATTCGGAATGGGACAGGAAACGCATAGAAGAGCATAGAAGAGCTCCAGCTGAACGCTGTTGGAGGCGGGCCCCGACCGTGCCGCTGACAGCCGCTCGCCCTCTCGTCGAGATGGGCAACTTCGCCGCCCACTCTCAAGGAAAGCGGCCGTTGAAGCATCGCGTATGTGATTGCTGTCGTGTTCTTGTAAGTGTCAGAGGTTGCTCGAGAGAGACCAGATTGATGGGAGACGCAGCAGGAGTCGAGAAGGTGGCACGGTGGCACTTTTCAGCTGTGATTGAAATACGTGCACGTCGACAGTGATTCTACAGTTTGCTACAGCAAGCGCTCTTTCACATATCTTCTAATCGGCAAGGTCCCCAGCGCAGAGTGCTCATTCCCGGCGTGCGCCGGCGCAGCACCAGCTCGGAGCACAGTCCGCCGCAGCGCATCTGAAGAGTTTTGAAACGTGTTCTTGCTATGCCCGGAGTGTAGCTGCACAGGCTGAGCACTGAGTTTGGGCAGCGTAAGCTCTGTTGCCGTAAGAAAGACACCACTCTGACTCAGCTCATGCTGCAGGCCGCAGCCCAGATGGGAGAGGGGCTCGAGGCATCTGGGAAGGGCAGAGAGAGAGCTTCCATTGCTTTCATTCCAGAGGGACAGAAAGACAGGTCAGCTCCGAAGAGGCAGGCCTCCAGCAACAGGCTGGGACTCTCTGTTCGGTTCTGTTCGGTTCTGTTCTGCCAGAATCTCTCGTTCTGCCTTTTGGGGTAGGTCGCATGGCAGAGCTCCGCGGAGCCCTGCCGCGCCGCCGTGTGCGCCGTGCTCAGTCGCAGCCCCGCGCGCCGGGCTCGTTGCCGAATACCACCCTCATTGACCCCTAAACTGAGAGAGCTTACTGTGCTCAGGCTTCAAGGAATGGTCAAGCATAGTCCAGCATAGCTCGCACTGATGGGAAGACAATCTTTTTTCTAAGCTGGACGCTGTCTGGCTTCTCAAACTGGATCACGATATTGAGGCAACAGTTTTTGCTGTATGTATGTATGTATGTATGTACGTACGTACGTGTGTATGTATGTGCTTGTATGATGGTCTTGCCTCATCTGTACATATGCAGGAGGGTCAACTAATAGGAGATCAATAGAGCCAGGAGCCAAGCGATGTGAAGCCAAGGTCCGGTAGAATGCTGGAGAGCGAAGGAGGCATGGGTTAGGGTTTAGGGTTTAGGGTTGAGGGTCTAGGGTTGTGTATTATTTCCACTGGCTTTGTCAGATGCGCAGAGTGCGGGCAGGCTGGGGTGGACGGCCGCACAGGGGCAGCACCGGTCTGACGCTGACGCCTGCAGGCAGCAGTCTTCTGCAGAGTTTGAAGTTCGAAGCGACTGCTGAACTGCCTTCCGGAGCCATAAAGCCATTGTGATGCACACCAATATTGCACTCTGCAGCTGGCGCGAAGCGCCACGGCGCCGACGAGCAAGCATCCTACAATAGGGCTTGGCTGGCTTTGGCCGTATTTAGCCATACCTCTCTTGTCGAACTGGGCGCAAGGTTCGCGGGAGGTCGTCGCAGATACGCACCTGACAGACAACGGCGCACGTTTGATAGAGCTTGGACCCTAGAGACCGTTTGACATAGACCGCGCGGCAATGCACTCTCGCACTGCTGCCACTGAGGAAGAGAGTGACTGGCACAGAGATCCAGAGAAAGCCAAGAAGTACAAGAGCCGGCTGGAGGCGTGGAATGGACTGTGATAGATCACCGGGTACCTGGGTCTTGTTGAGCAGCTGGCTCAGGATTGGATCTTGGCAGTGAACCTGCTGCTCAGCTGGGATGACCAGAAGACCATCTCTGCAGCTGACATGGAGGAGTTTCTGTCAAAATTCCTGGAGGCCCTTTTGTGAGGATGTTGTGAGGGACAGTTCTTGCTGGGAGCATTTATGCACAGTGCCGCCGCAGTACGATGCCAAAGTCAAGTATCGAATCACTCCGCGCCTGACCTCAGAGATCTTTCTCAGGCAGGGCGCTTTTCAGCAAAGCATCGGCAAAGCTACAGAAATTTTGCCCCGCAATCCTGCTCACACAGGGGGATCCTGCGGACTCTCTGGGATATTGACAGGCTCCTTCGCCTGTGGCCCAGTCTGCGGATCCCCAGCTTTTTTAGAGCCTTAATTAGCTGCACGATTGAAAGGGTGCAGCTGAGGCTTCATGAACCCGGGTGATGAGCTGAAGATGGTCACAGCCAAGAGCCCCATGGTTTTGAGCATCCTGCGGGCGAGAGCCCCAGCATCCTCTCGATTTCCTCGAGAAATCCCTACAAATTGCTGCAAGTATGCAGCTTTACACTTCTGGGCGCAGAGAGCGCTCGATCTTCTTACGGTTGGTTGGCAGGGAATGAGGGAAATTGGGGCAGTACAGAATCCCTTTAAGGGATCATGTAGGGTACCTCATTCCCCAATTTCCCCTGCTAAGCAACCGTAAGAGAACTGGGGAGGTGATGGCCTATGAGTTCATGTGGACCCCAAGCTGCACACCGCGAGGGGCAAAGGAAGGCGCATGGGTGACGGGTGACGGGAGTGTCCGCTGGTGTCTCCATGAGCCGGGCACCCTAAACGCTAAACCCTTAGCCCTCAACCCTCAACCCTCAACCCTCAACCCTCAACCCTCAACCCTCAACCCTCAACCCTAAACCCTAAACCCTAAACCCTAAACCGCCAGCTCGTTTCCGACGCAGCTTGGAGGTGCCAGAGACCTCATGGAAAGAGTCAACGTGTCGGTGAAGGCAGGTTCCTCTTGTTCAGGTCCCTTTGCGGAACTCTTCTCACTTTCTGAGGCTGACAGAGACTGGATTACGGATGCCATGGTTCGAATGGGGGAGGCATTTGAGAAGGCCGGGCAGAGCAATCACAAAAAGCTAACTCCTTGGAGCTCGCGTGAGTTCTGTCTGTGCTGATGAAGCAACGGGGGTCTTTCCTTTTGGCCTCGGCGCGCTCCGAAATTCTGTGAGCGCCAAGTCCCCAACGTCCAAGTTTTCCAGACGTTGCCACCCCGCCTCAGACCCTACTGAAATGCTTTGTTTGCAACATTTTGCACCCGAGCTGCCTGAAATACCATGCTCCCACATCTCATGCTTGCAGCAGGCGCACAACGCCTGGGACAAGAAGCATGCAGCAGCCAAAGAGAAGAAGGTACGGCCCAGCCACACAAAGGGATCCTTTTGCCAGTTTGCTACTGTAGACTTTCATCAACGTCGATGTCGCAATGTGTGTGGACCGTGAAACCACCCTGCCAGCGTCGAGAGCGTGCAGAAGCAGCCGCGGCAGCTGCTGGCAACAGTGGGGACTGATGCTGAAAAATGCTGGGAGTTCTCTGGTGGATATTTGCGGATATGCTTCGCCGTGTGCTAGATGTTCCGTGATGGATGCTGTTGCAGGACTTGGCAGCAGGAGGCCCTCACTGAGTCACGCCTGTTGTCAAGAACTTGAAGCCTGCCCCTGCTATCCCCCGTTGATAAACGTTGGATGAACTTGTGATATGAGTCTGTGACTGCAGGCGCCAAGTTGAAGCTGGCGGAGAATGCAAAAGCCGCCAAAGCTGGAGCTGCTCAAGTCAAAAGGAAACGAGGACTCTCTCCATGTCCACTGGCATGCATGGCGTGCCAGTCATTTATCCGAAACCCTAAACCCTAAACCCTAAACCCTAAACCCCAAACCCCAAACCCCAAACCCGAAACCCTAAACCCTAAACCCTAAACAGCTTCTGGCATGCTGAGTTTTCAGGAGCCGAGGGAGCAAAGCGTAAGGCAAGTACACTTGATGCCCCGCAAACATGGTGTGTGGCCTCGTGGTGCGGGCAGTCTCAATTGGATTTGGGTTTAGGGTTTAGGGTTTAGGGTTTAGGGTTTAGGGTTTAGGGTTTAGGGTTTAGGGGTTAGGGGTTTAGGGTTTAGAGTTTAGGGTTTAGGGTTTAGGGTTTAGGGTTTAGGGCACACCCAACGTCGAAGATGCGCAGGGTGCTGATGCCCAGTTCGGCAATGCAAGAGCACTCGCCGTTAAGGAGCAGGCCCGGGCCCCGCGTGGCCCCCGCATCACTTGCGTCGTGGAAGCGTGCATCACGTTGTCTCGCATTGAATCACTCCTCGGCCGATCTCGTGCAGGCTCTAGCCGGCAAGGCAGACCAAGCTGCGGATTCTCAGAAGTCGCTTTGCCGCAAAAAAATTGTCGCATGCTGCCGCGCGCAGCGGCGCACAGCCTCACTTTGGTGGACGTCAGGGCGTTTTAGAAGCGCGCGCTTGACTTGGCTGAGGCGGACACGTGCAGCAGCTCGAGCCCGATGAAACGAGGATGAGTTTTGTGGGAATGAGCATTGCAAACAGGGGTCCTGCAGCCTGTTGGCCAAGGTCGTGAGACCTGCAGCCGCGCAGGATGATGGTGAAGAGGAAGAGGAAGGGGAAGAAGGAGCAGCACGTGAAGCGACGGCTGACGCTTACGGGGTCGAGCTGGAGGAAGATGGCAGTCCCGGAGATCCTTCGAATCCTCGAAGCGAGCTTCCGGAGCCCGAAGCGGAGTCATACGCAGAAGGCATGGGTGGAATGGGCGGTATCGAAGGTGCTGGAGAAGCCAAGTTGGAGAAGCTTCAAGCAAGTGGTGACGAAACAAATGCGCTGGGAGATCAGGACCCAGCGACCCAGCTTCCTGCGCAAAGACCAACCGTTGCTCGTTGCTGTTGGTCCTTTGAGGGTCCGTGTGGGTCTGTGGTGGGTTCATTGTGAGGACGGCGAGGACGCTGAGGACCCTGAGGACGGAGAGGACGGTGAGGACGGGCCGGGCAAGAGCGAAGGCGAGAACTCCGGTGCCGAACTCTACGCTTCTGTGAGATGGCAGGTGTTTCTATGCGTTTCTAGGTTCCTTGCACCCAGCGTTTTAATCGTGTGCAGGTGTTGCATCCGAAGTCGCTGCACGCGAGGTGCACAACCCCACTAGTTCTGGTATGTTCTGCTTGTCTGAACTCCAACTTCATGGCTTTCATCGCCTTTCTCTTCGGCTTTGACAGGTCGCAGCTGCCGAGGAGGGAAGCACAGTGTGGCAGAGACTACTTCCCAACTCTTCCCTTCACCCCCTCAGCACATGTCATGGTTTGGCACGGTGTCTCCCTGCAAAGGACATGTCCATGTGGGCCGAAGAATGCTAACGCCATCTCCTCCAATTGCAAAGACAAGGCCCAGAATCCTGAGATGGTTCTGATTGAGCCGTGCAAGCAGCGCCTTGTTTAAGCAAGAGAGCTTTCAGTGCACTTACAGACTTCCTCGCGGGCTCTCAGTACGCCCCCAGCAGGCGCAACAAGCGTTTGTTGCGCGGCCCTCAGCCACCGCGAGAATTGGTCTTAAGGAGTGACCCGAAGAGAGCCTGTGGCTTAAGGCTGGGAGGATAGGTCGATGGTCTCAATGCCCAAGCTTTGTTCTTGGGCAGCCGGGGAATGCAACCGGCCAGCGTTAACGAAGTCAAAAAGAGAAGGACTTGGGCTGGATGGAAGGTATCCGGCTTTGACACGAGACCTGTCTCATGTTGACACAGCGTGATACTTGCAGCTTCCTCCATGGCTTTTGTCTTCCTCGAAGTCGGCGTTGGACATGAACGCATCAAAGAATTTCAAGACATCATGATAAGAATCTTCTGTACCTCACTCACAGACTCAAGTTTGCCACAAAGTGCAGACAGAGTGCTGAGACCCACTCGAACGGCCCTGAATAGTTCGTGCGAGTAAGAGCTGCCACGGGTGTGGCTTTATGAGCGTAGCTGCCGGAGCAAGCGAGTTGCGATTAGATTAGCAAAGCCCACAGAAACTACAACCACAACACTTCGCAAAATAATTTGCAGCAACATAGCAAAATGAGCAACCGCAGCCCTAGCCATGGCTGCTTTTCAGGCTGAAGCCTTTGAGGCATCGGTCTTACTTTAGCCCTTTAGCCTAGCACCTCCCCCGCCTCTTTCACGAAGAAACCTGAGGACCTGCACAGGGTCGTTGCGCAGCTCACCAGCGGAGATGACTCGGAGTCCGAGGCAGGACCCATGCAGGACCCCATGCGACATCATGCGACTGCCAACTTGGACCTCTTCGACTCTTTGACTCTGGAAATCTCTGGAACAGAACCAAGAGCTCCCGAGTACAGAGGCCTTCGTGGAACTCCAGAAATGCAAAGAGGTGCCTTTCTGGTGCAATGGTCGCTGTCGGTGATGTTTTGTCCACCCTGTGGGAATGTTGCTGCAGGCACTGTCCAAGCCTTTCACATTTCGGAGCCGCGAGGAATCACAGCATCCCTTGCGAGAGTCTCGGGTAGAATCAAGAGCCCCCCTAGAGCCAGGAGACGATGGACCTGCCCAGCTTGGCTCGCAGCATCATGGCCGAGAGGCGAGGGCGCGCGGCCTCAGGGGATCAAGAACCTGTTGAGTTTGCAGAGGCCGAGGCTGGCGACAGAACACCTGGTAAAGCTGGTTGACGAGGCCTGGCTCTAGTTTCAGCACGTGTGCCAACGCGCGTCTGCAGCATGCTCAGATGACATGAGGAGGAAATATGAGGAAATGGAACAGGGCCAATTTGGAACGTGGAGTGTGCCGAAAAGTGTCAATTTTTCAATGCGACTGTGTTCCAAATCCATGTCTTTGTGTTCCAAATTGATGCCTTTTCGCCACGACTTCTGTATGGTTTTCATGGTTGTCCATGTTATGTTTCCATGGTTTCGTCTGTGGTTTCCCTCTGGTTTCTATGTTACCGGGTGACCATGGCGCTCACCGCACATGACGCTGTGCAAAGATACTGTCGACGCAGTGCCATGCAGCATAGCTCCCTTCTCAATTCTCGCGCTTTGCAAAGGGAACCTCCAGAATCTAGAACACAAACATGTCGCCGTGCCAGACGGATTCTTTTGTGGAATCCCTCCCAAAGGCTGCAGAATTGAGGCAACCACAAGGCAGAAGTGGTGAGGTTCTGAACCTGCAAAAACGTTTGAGGGTTCAGGATCTTCATGCTGAACACCGGCGGGGTGCATCCCACGCATTTTACGATCAGGCTCCTTAAGGATTTGGGCACCCCCGTCTTACATGATCAGCCTCCCCGGTTTCATCTGAGAATTTCTCGTGCTTTGGCGGTTGGCCCAGCCGTGCTGGATGTCTCAACGCTAGCGTGCCGGCGTGAGATCTGACGTCAAACTTGACCCGACCTTCAAGGTTAGTCGCACGCTACGGCTGCATCAAAGTGACTGTTGCGTGCCTGGACCCCAGCTGACCATGGATCAGCACGATGACCGATGAACACTCCGAGCTGAAGACTTCAGGCTGGTGGAGAAAGCTTTGGGTCTGGGAGTGGCTTTGCAAGAGGCAGCTCCTGTGCAGACGTGCAGTCTGCGAGATGAGTTTTTCAAAGCTTAGCTTGGGCAAAGTCGTTTATTGCAATCAGGCCTTGCGGGTATAGCTCAACGGTGGCGGCAAAGAAAGTCCTCTTGCTGAAGGGAAGAAGTGTGAAGAAATTAAAAGCACAGCCGTCGCCAGGCTTCGACCCGGAGATGCTTAACTATGCACCCACCAAGACTAAGACGACGACCAAAACAGGGCACCTGATAGGAAGACTCCCACAGCCCTTCTGCCATGCTTCAGAACTTGTATGACAGTGTACGATGCCTGTAGGGACGTGGAATGCAGCTCCTTCATTGTCCAGTTTTCTTTCCAAGGAAGCAAAGCCGGTTTTGGCTGCCAGAGCTGTTTGTGCCCTGCAGGCTGCGTACCCCCGTCGTCAGCTCAAGCTAGCGAATCCCTGCAGAGCTCACCAAATCCTCTTCTTGTTTTGCTGGCGCCTGGTATGCCAAGCTCTTCCGGCGTCTCCCTTGCTACATGTCTCGGCCCAGAGTTCAAAGGGGGTTCGAGGGGAAGAAAGGAGTCCCTGTAGGTTCTGACGTCTGCGGCCGGGGCTGCGGGGAACACATGGAAGGAAGTGTGATAGCCTCATCTTCACAGTGCGTTGGCTGATCTTGGCGTCGTAAGAGAAATCAGAAACGCGGGAGAAACTCAAGAAGGCCAAGAGTGGGAAGGCAAAAAAGCGACGAGACACGAGTTCGAAGGGACTGCCAAGCAGCACACCAAGCAGACGCTTAGTCGTCGAGTCATATCAAGTTGCAACCGCTTCATATGGGAGCACCCTCCGTGCAGGTGCCAGCGAAATGCGCAGCGATTTACTACCGGGAGTGCCACTTCCAGGCCTGGTGCCGTCAGTCGCCACTGGGTGCCCCGTCTTGTGACCACTTGGGCGCGTGTGGCAGGCTCTGTGCCTCCATGACATGGGTCAGGGCTTAGCCGGGGCCTTAAACAAATCAGCTACAAGAAGATAGAACAGGAACCGTAAAGGTGAGCAGACCCCCCCACCCCCGCCTCCCAAAAGAATACCCGGAGAAGGGGGTGGGCCTTGCACTCCTTCCACAGCCTCTGCGCTGCCCAGGCCCAGACTCCGCCGCGGAAGTCAAGTTTGGCCTTCTTCGGTCTTCTGGGAGGCACCGGCCAAGCAGCGAAGGCATATTCATGTACCATCATATACCATCATATACCATCATATATCACCATATACCATCATATACCATGCATGGAGCTGTTTGCCGCACACATCCGCACACGCTGATCTTTTGGAAGGTCTTTCGACACTCAGAGCTTCTGTTGTCGTTTGCAAATCACGTGCGCTGGATTGTGACCAGGATCCTGGTGCCCTAAAGGTTCACCCCCTCCCCCGACTCATCGGTCAGAGTCGTGGCTAGAAGGGCGCTTTCACGCTAAATGAGAGAGACAGCGAGTGAGGGCAGGGAGAGTTACACATAAGACTACAGAAGACAGCAACAGCTACATTCTTAGCTCTCCTGCAATCGATGGCTTGGGGGCGCTACTTGCCCCCCCCCCCCCCACCCGCCCAGCCAGCAAAGCCAAGCCTCTTGAGGCTAAATTTGGCAGGCCCAGGACCCCGGGCCGTAAGGGGGTGTTGTTTGTGTCGCTAAAGTTGCCGCCCACTTCTCTTAAACGCCGCCCTCAAGATTCCAAGTGAGGACAAGATAATGGCTGCCTGATTCTCTGTAGCCTTCTTTTGTGCTCAAGCCCGCACGTGTACTAGCAGCTGCCTTAGCTACTTCCGAAGCCATGGCTAAGAAACTGCAGCCAACTTCCTCCGAAGTCGTGTTGGGACTGCGCTACTGGCTGGAAGAGCCTCGGCGCGAAGAGTTTCTCCGCTCGCTCGTGCTAGGCCTCGACGCCGGGTGCCTGGACACCTTGGCTAGCCTTGTAGACGAGATACGGCTGACCCAAGTCCCACCTGCACAAGGAGGAGAAGAGCTACTGGGCACCGCTTCAGCCATAGCTACAGCTGCACCGACTCCAGAGGCTACGGCGTCTGACCAGGGCCCCAGTTCGGCTACGCCGGCAACCGCAGCGGGAGTGGCTAGTGCGCCGGCACCCATGCCGCGCGAGAGAACCGGCCAGGCCCAGGAGAGGTCGGGATTTTCCCCACCTTCCCCACGCTACTTCCTGCGTCCGGAGGTCACGGCCAAGCTCCGGGCTAGAGAGCAAGAGAGAGATCAGCTAGCGGAAGCCTAGAGATTTTCTCCCGGATGCTGGGATTTCGCCATTCGTGATAAAAGAAAAGAAGTTCGTAGCTGGTGATGTTTTGTGTGCGCAAGCGCTTGGAGATTCGCTCCCACCTCGATGCCCCCCCCGGGTCGAACACAAAAGCGACGACAGTCTCACCTTTCGCGAACCCGGAAGCCAAGATGTGATGACAGTTTCGAGGGCCGAGCGCGGGCACGCCTGCACCAACTCCAGAATGCGAGAGCAGGCTTCGAGCGTGCTCCCTGGCTGTGGTGTTGGCGCGATGGTTTGGGAATTAATGTCATCTTTCTTATCATCATATCACCGCTACGCTTTGCTGTTTGCACGTCATGCCCCTTGCTCAAGTGATACAGATTGATACAGTGACCTAGACTGGAGAGGGGCGCGGAAATGTGTATTCGATGAACACGTGGCAGGGCCAGCCAGCCCATCAGATACAGTCTTTTGGATATGCCACGACTGGTCGATGACGGGCTTGAGAGTTCCTTGAAGGTCCCTTGCTGCCCTCCGCAACCCGTGTCGGAACCTTGCTGAGCGTCACGACCCTTCAAAACCGAGCTGACTGCCGCTCCAGTATGCTGCGCAAGCCTCAGTCTCAGCCCGTCCAGCCTGCCCAGGCCATCCTGGTTAGCCTCAAGCGTAAACTGGAAGGTGTACAGGTTTGGTAGGACCTCCTACTGTATGGCACAGGGGGGTGGAAGGCGTCGAATGTACGCTCCTATTTGCGTCGAGTGTGTGTGCGCTCCAAAATGCGGCGAGTGTGCGCCCCTGGGTATGTTTCGAAGCATAAATGCTAAGCCGCACGCGCGACTTACGGGTCCTCTCAACCCTAAGCCCTAGAAGCCCTAAACCCTAAAACCCCTAAACCCTGAAAACCCTAAACCCTACAAGCCCTAACCCCTGAAAACCCTAACCCCAAAAAGCCTAAACCCTAAAAACCCTAAACCCTAAAAAGCCTAAACCCAAAAAACCCTAAACCCTAAAAAGCCTAAACCCTAAAAACCCTAAAGCCGAAAAGCTTAAACCCTAACACCTTAAACCCTACAAACCCTAAGCCCTAAAATTCCTAAACCCTAAAATCCCTAAACCCTAAAAACCCTAAAAACCCTAAAGCCCGAAAAACCTTAAAAACTCTAAAAACACTACAAGCACTAAAAACCCTAAAAGCCCGAAACCCCAAAAACCCGAAACCCCAAAAACCCTAAACACCCTAAACCCTACCCTAAACCATAAACCCCAAAATCCCTAAACCCTAAAAACCCTAAAAACCCTAAAGCCCCCTATCCCTAAAGCCCTAAAGATTCGAGGAGTGCGCGCCGGATGCAAAAAGAGTGCGCACGATGCTGATGCGGGAGTGTGCACTGGATGCAAATCGGAGTGCGCACTGGAGCGCCCTGCCTGACTACGGGGCGGGATATCTCAACAGCTAGTCGCTTCAGCACGATTCGCAAAACTTCTCCGTGCTTCGCTTCTCGACCGCACACCCTAAACCAGAATCCCAAAGAGAAGGGGCACTAAATCCGCGCCATATACGCTATGAAAGTCAGAGTGATTTCCTTAACGCTACGCGACCCGCCTCGGCCTGGCCCAGCGCAGTCCCCCCCTCGGGTGGGACCTGTGGCCCAGCCCAAACTGCCCCCTGGTCCTGATGCGCGGTCGTCTTCCGCACACGTGTTGGCTGGGGAGGGTACCCATTTCAGCAACAAAAGTGTGTGGGAGGGGATTAGAGGTGGGGTGCCTGCTTTGTGCTACCCCTACACCGACGGCCCAAAGGCCTCGGCGGATTATGTATGTTGGGGGGCAGCATAGCATCAATTTGTAAAGGCCGGCGCTGCATCACCGCGCTGTTTGAAGCGCTGGGCTTGCTCTTGCGCGACTTGACCGGTGAGCGAGCGGGGGCGGGCAGCTTAGCTTTCAGTGTTTTCTTACCTGTCTCACTGTTGCCTGATCTGCGCAAAGCGGTTGATTCCTCAAGCTGCTCAGGACCAGGTGTTCCTCATCCATGCTGGCAACATGATTCAGCTCTTGGCCCGGGCCTGTGTGGTCCGCAGAGGCATTGTTCAGCCGTTAGGAGTGGGTGTACTCACAGCGTCCTTATCCCCAGCATCAGTGAGGTGGAAACCTTGCTGGCCTATTTCACGACCTTCCAGGCGACTGTGGAGGAAGCGGAACAGGTCCTTTCTTTGCTGCCACATGTGGCCTTCTGCCCAGCCTTGGCTCCACATGATCTGCTGTCAGACACTGGCAAGCAAGTGGCAAGCAACTGACAAGCAACTTACAAGCAAAAGGTCACAAGCCAACATGCTCCGATTGGCCAGGCAGGAAGAGCGGCAGGCTAGCGTCCAAAGCTCGAGCAGTTGCCACGTGCCGTCACGTGCCCAGGGCTTCACGGTGTCTGACCTGGACCTGGTCTTGCGGGAGGCGCAAGCAAGTGAATGATTTATTGTACATCTGCTACATGGCCGTCGGAAGCCACTCGCTAGCGGGGGGAAACGCAGGAGCACAACGACGTGAGCATCAAGCATCTGCCCCGGCACTTCGCTTGGACGCATGCGCATGTGAACTTTGCGGACTCCGCTGCCAGGCTTTGCCTGGTCCTGGTGTGCATGTGCCACTCGCAGGCGCCCCGACTCTGCCATGGTCCGTGTTCCGACGTTGAAGTCTTCAGGCATCCGGAGATGCAAAGCTCGCCCCGACAAAGCTACGCGAAGATATCCTGCCGTCACAGATCAGACTGCAGGCAGGGCAATGCAATGTCGCTGTACTAGTAGAACTCCTGCCTGCCAGCAGATGATAGTTGGGCAAGTCGGGAAGCGCTTCACACCATGCGGCCATACAGTCGGGCTGGGGCAAAGGTAAGGCAAGGGTGTAGCAGCATAGGCTTGGAAGATTCGAGGGTCTGGGAGGCGAAAGGCCTCCGGGTAAACGAAATAGTCCCAAGAGGGCCAAGGGTGGCCAAGGGGAGTGGCCTCACGCTCACCGCCTGCAGAGTCGGCGGACTATTGTGGACAACTGTTTCATTGTGTTGTTTTGTTTGCTAGTGTTTTGAATGTGTTTCGCCTGCGCAGGACTTGGCAGCGGAGGCGCGTTTCGGTAGGCTTTGGCAGCTTCCAGAAGCACATAGAAGAACCAGGTTCAATCAGCTCAATCAGCCAAGCAGTTACTGAATAGACTTTCGTATGAAATTTTGCAGCTTCGCAAAGTCTGATAGCCGCGCAGCCGCATTTGGTCGCCCCCCGATCTGCTGTGACTCCGAAACCTCAGACGCTCTAAGGCTTTTGGCGCTCAACACGGCCCTCCTACGCTCTCAGACCCAAATCATAGGCTGAGTGGCACAACGAGCTTAAGTCTGATCAACTATGCTCGCAATCCCAAATCTCGGAACAAAGCACGTGGTGTGTGTCGTCTATGTTAGACATACGGAAAGCTGTAGCAGAACTTTTGCACTGGATCCTTGAGTCGCGCATTTCAGTTGCAACTTGTTCTGGCACGCCACTTTGGCAGATAAATGAGGATAAGGGCGCAAAAGTGGGGGCAATGTTTTCGAACTCCCGAATTGTCTCTCAAGCACTTGAGAGCTGTAGAATTCGCGCGAAGAAAACAAAGAGAGGATGCGTTGCATTTGCAGAGGCAGGGAGCTTGCTGTTGGGCCCGTTTGGTCGACTCCTCAGCGTCCTCTGCCTCTTCCTCCTCCCTTCCTCATGGTTGTCAACACCATGGTCCCTTTGTGGATCCCTATTCTAATACGGCACCGACTATTTGGGGTACCCCAAAAGGGATCATAGTTTCGACACCCTCATGAGTCCGCTCTCAAACAGGCCAGAAGCTTCGAGCGGGGAACTACTGGAACGAAGAGAGCCAGCTTGGCCGCCAGCTCAGACCATCCTTCCAGTTTCAAGGGAGGTTCAAGGCACGGACTCCCGCACTCGAGTTGTTGTTGGCACTGCACAGCCCAGAGGCCAATTTCTTTGCTTTGCCATCAGCGGCGTTCTGCTGGAAGATGCGACTCGGATGCGCTGGCCGCTGGTAGCTGGGGTGCTGGGCGTGGGTGGGATCGAACATCCATGCCGCCCCTGAATCTTCACTACCCACAGCCGCAACGAAGACCCGAGACCTTAAATCCAGAAAGGGGCAAACCAAAAGCCCTTGAACCCTAAACCCAGAGGGATGCGACCCCGAACCCGGAACCCACAACCCCAAAACCTAGCGACCCAGAGCACTGAGAACGAAAGACCCAGTCAAAAACCCAGATGCGCAGGCCGGATGACTCGAATCATACCGTTGACTCTGAATCGTGCCGATGGGGTCTAAGTCTAGGAGCCAAAGACGCGCAATCTGAACCTCAGACCCCGAACTTGCAACCGTGTACTGGAAATGCGTGTACAAAAGTGACAGCCCAAAACTCTTGTAACAAAAACAATACCACCTTTCGAAAGCCACGCTCGACAAACGTATTTTTTCGTAAACACCGGCAGGCATGGCACTTATTTTGGATGTGCATTGAATTACCTGTTGCTACGAAACAGTGGCATGTCCTGGTCCAAGTTCAAGGAGCTGTGGAAGTTTGCATGCATCTATCAACGAATCGAGGATCATGCGCTTCGTGGCGGCTACGTTCGATGGCACTTTTTCCATTTCCTCCTACACGAGGTCCTTGCTTCTTCTGCTGATCTGGTCCATTTTTGCATTTGTGCACCGTGGGTCACGGATGCACTTGGGACATCTTTTGGTTTCGAATTGGAGGGCAAAGTTTTCGAACTTTTGGCAAACGGGCCAATGTTGCAGGTGTTAATGTCAGCAGTGGCTGTGCCGGACACCTGCGCCCGCCTCGGTGGAATGGAAGCTTTTTGACACGGCTCGGTCTGACAGTCGCGAGAGGCACTGGCTTATTGGTGCTGCGCTGTGTGAGTGAACTGCTCCAACGTGCACTGCTTCCAGTGGGAGTCCCAGCAAGAAGAGACACAGCGAGGGCATGCCAAGGCTACCCGCTACATACTGTCACAGTCGCTGTCGCACTTCCACACTTCTCCTGTGGAGTCGTGCCGCGTTTGAGGAGTGCACTGCCTCCTGACAGGTTTGTAGCTTCCTTCCCAGTTCCAACGCCCAACGCTGCCCATCACTTTCTCAAGATCTTATTTTCTTGTTGTTGTCTTCTGTCCCGTGAAGATTGGCACGACACGCATGATGGATGTCTTCTACTGGCACAGGTTGTGGCAAGGGCAGCTACTCCATCAGATTTCTTGAGGGTCTTTGCTTCTGAGGTTGGGCGCCGGTGGACAGCGGTGAAGAAGTTGGAAGCGCCCTTGCCTTTGGGAAGTCGCATCGCCAAGGCATATCGAACTGTTGCTTCTAATTTTTCAACAGCGGCCAAAGTTTCCCCTCTCTCCGTGCCCTCCCCCCTTCCCCTCCCCTCCCCTCTCCCCCCTCCCCTCTCCCCCCCTCCCCCTCCTTCCTCCCCTCCCTCCCCGCTCCCCCACCTGCCTCTGCCCCCCCCCCCCTTCTCCCCACATCATCGTCGTCACTGTCATCATAACCCATCAGAGAAGCTCAAGTGCGAACATAAGAGCTGCTTCCGCGCCAACAGCCAGAATCTTCAAGAACCCCGGGATGGCACTGCAGGGCTCCAGGCATCTTGTTCAGTGGTCGTCATCGTCATCACGTTGAGAAACAAGTTTCAAACGTAATCCGTTTCCCGTTCCCTCCCCTTCCCCACCGCCACAAATCACAAAAGAATCTGCCCCGTTTGCACCCCCAACCCCCCACCCCCCCCCAGTGAGTTTCGTTGGCTGGGCCCTTGAGTTGCTACAGTCCGGTGCAAGGGTCATAGTACAAGATCATGCTGGCTTTTTTTACGGTGAGCTGCAGCTGATTGCACCTGTATACTGCTACTTACGCTGCGTCAAGATGCAAGCACACGACTCCAGCATCTCAAGCGTAGCAAAAGCGCTGATCTTCTGAGGCAAGCTGTGCAAATGCGCCTGCTCACACCAGACAGCCTTCAGATTTCTGCACTTCAAGTGCTGCCCAGGCCTCTGCCGTCCTTAAGAAAGATGGTTGGGCTTGGGTTCTTTCGAAAAGCGCCCCGTGATTTCCAAAGAGCCGAGGAATCGGTTATGTCGGCTACACCCTCCGGCTTGCGAGATTTTCCGCGATGTTGCGTTGCAGTGCACGGATTCGTTCCACCTGCCTGGACCTCAAGCTCAGATGTTGTTGACCAGAGCTCAAGCTCACGGGCTCATTGTCCAAGCTGCCCTAAGGACACATCGCCAGATGGAAAGCTTTAGTCCTTGGCAGCACGCTCAGTTTCCCGGCGTTGTGTGGCGTTCTTTTGGAACCAGCTCTGATGACGGAGGTCGACAGGCGTGCCAGAACAAGTTCGTCCCAAGCTTATCGTCTTACATCCACAAGCCCCACGTAAGTCTTGGGCAGCCACAGCATTAGGCAACAGCATGGCGTCGCCGTTCGACGCGACCTTAGCGTGGGAAGAAGTGGGAAGTCCAGCTCCCCAATGGATGTGCTGAGTGCGGCCAGTGTGCTGAGCTCCGAAAGCAACGCCCAGGCGGCAGGGCCTTCAATGCAGGCTCCGGCTCCCAAACACGCCTGCCTGGCGTGATTCACACCTGGCTTGCGCAGCGACGTGTGCTGGGGCGGGTTTTTGGTGAGACCGGCCAGGACAACACCATGCTGTATGCCGAAATTCTCGACTTGGTTGCCACGATTTGCTCGAGAGGGTCTTGGCCTCATCTCTACGGCAGATTTTGCGGCTGATGTGCAAGTCGGGAGCCCTCATGTCATGGCCCGTCTGCATGGTTGCGAAGTGAGCGAGATCTCGAGTTGTAGCCGGGACACGGAAATTCTGATGCCCTGTGTGATCACCCAGGTCGCTACATAACGCTAGCCACGTGTGTCAAAAGCTGCTGCTCCAAGCCCAGATCCAGAAATGCCCAATGGGAAATCTCTTTGTTACTGCACGTCATGCCAGGTCACACAGCAACCAGTGGTTCAACTGGAGCTTCATGCTTGACACCTTGATGCAACATGCCTGAAGCTCTGGACCGTCAAATTGCTTCAAAAGCCATGGTAGCGCGAGACTTCCCATGACTAGACAACTACCAGTCCCTGCAGTTGCCAGTGAAGGCCAGAGGTGCAGCCCAAAGCACCCGGGGTGGCAGCCGACTTAATGGTGTCGTATGCAAGAGTCAGGAGGAAGGTAGGAAGCTGGGAATCGTGTGGGCCTTTGCGAGCGGAACCTCTCCCAGGTCCGAACCCTTCAGCTGGGGACACCATGGTCATGGCTTTGTGTGCAGCTGTCCTGCTTGATCTGGTTTCCCTAGTTCCCACTGCAATCCATTTTGTATGGCCTTGCACGGCTCCGACTCTCTTCCAGCATTTGCCCACCTGTTTTTTCGATAGTCGGGGGGGTGGGTTCTCTGAGGTTCTTTGAAGGCGCTATGCCGCAGGGGGTTTATTACAGCCCGGTGGCAGGCAGACTTGTGTCCGGTGCGTGTGGAGCTCGATTGCTTGCCGGCGCCTCATGGGGCTTCTGCACCGTGAATGCGCACACAATTTGAGTGTCAGGATGCAGACTCGCAACATGGCCCTGTAGGTCATGCAGCCGACCATGCAACCCATCGCGAACAGTCTCAATTCAGGTCTGCTGTGTTTGTACGTTGCATCTCGGGTTAGGATAGAGCCCAGAAGCAGTGACACGAAATGCTTGTCTCTTTCGTAGCTTTTCAAGACTCTTCCCGCGTTTGAAGAGCTACAGAATTGATTTGCTGATAAGCGAGGCCCTTCCCCGTTTCCGCCGGAGCACCCTACCATGTCACATGCGTACGTTTCTGTTGCAGCAGCGTAGACGCCACATCCCAAAACCCCAACCTGTTTCCACAGCTGGCGACCGCGAGGTTCTTCGCGAACACTCCGCGACGTGTTTATCTAGCGCTGCCATCTCGCATGTAAAATCAACCGGGTCAACGACCTGTCGTAGCCTTTGTCTCAAGTTCACTCGAGCTATGTCGAAGTATGCCGAACACATGCCAGTCGCCTGGTAGCCAGATTGGCAGTGACTGGGTTTTGACGTTTCAAGACTCAGGTCAGGGTCTATGATCTAAAAGATCCCGCAATTTATGCGTTTTTTTGTTCAAACGGGCATCGGCGAAAGTCCGCGATGATGTCGGTGTGAGTGGAACTTATAGCTGTCGATACGTCATGTAGTCAATGTAGCATGCGTATGGGACAGTAGGTGATGCTTCAAGACTGCGCAGCAGACACACACGCACACACAGACAGACGGAGACAGACTCATGTTCTCCTGACAGGGGTGGCCTCCTCCTTGGGTGACCCCTGGGGACGAGCAGAGAACCTTGCGGGCATCTTGGCAAGCTCCTCAGCCACGCGTCAGCAGACCCTTTTAAATCACACCTCGAGAACTGGGGATGTGATGGTGCAGTGTGTGGCTACAGGTAGATGTGCTGAGCGCGCATCCGGAACCAGCTGTCAAAGCTGCATGTTTGGGCGCGCGCAGCACTTGGAAGCTCTCCAGTCATGATTCCTCTACTAGTAAGAATCGTGTCGATGCCACATGATGTGCCATCACTGTGTCAAGATATTAAGGTTGGGCAACTTGGATTTGCCACCGCCTCAAGTCAGCGACCCAAGGGGCTATCGTGGTCTTTATACTGCTTCCTTCGGGCCAGGGCTAAGACCGCGGAGCTAAGGTGAGCAGGAGCATCATCTCCTCCATTTTGATGGCTGTTCCCAGCTTGGTGCCCTTCCTCGAGCATCCGCGCGCCGTCCAGACCTTAAGCAAAAGCCGGTGTTTAAGCCGACGCACATACTGCGGCAGCATCTGAGTCCACATGTATTACAAAGTCTTGCAACACTTTTTGCACACCATCGCATGCTGTGGCCCTCTGAGGATGGTGCTGTCACCATTGAACTGCTGGGCTGCGTGATTCGCTTCTTGCAGGCCGATGCCCTTCGGCCCTTCGCTTTTTTTGCTTTTCTTATGTTCTCTTGCCGCGAGACTTGCCAAGAGAGCCGAAAGGCGATCCCGATCAGCAAGGGCCGCTATGGCTTGGACCTGCAGCCCCTCACACATGTGGTTATCCATCAGGCACATGCGACCTGCACCGCACTCACTGTGCCAGCAAGTCTGTAAGCAATGCTGCGCTTGCAGCTTGACAGCAGGTGCTGTTGAAAGCCCTTGCTGACCCGTCTGCATTTCGAAGCAGCTCTCGGTACTGGAGGCTGGCGGTCGGGAGCTCAGGACGTCACCTGCAGCTTGCAATGATTTCGCTGGACAATTCGGTGCCATCTAGCCAGGGTCTACCTTTCAGTTTCTTTCCATTACTTGTAGCTGGCAAGACACCGAGTGGAGCCTTTCTCGGGGTTGTTTTGGCCAGTGGCCGCTGGCAGTGCTTGGCTTTGCCCTTCTACCTTGAGAGCATCTTCAGGCGTTGACGTTGCGCTGGATCCGCCTGGTCTTGTTCAGACCTCGGTGGTTCATGTCTGTGCAATTTTCAGTGCTGCGAGTCAGCACATGGTCACAAGCGGCACTGTGTGGCATGTGGGAAAGATGGGAAAGGCGCGGTCCTTTGCCACTGAGCACGTCATCCAGCCTCAACGCATTGATTGTGAGGCTTGCAACTATTGAAGTCAGCGAAAGCCATGCGCCGACCCCGAGCGTGTCGCAAGGCCATACAGCGACAGCGAGAGCACTGCAGCCGAAGTCTCCATGCCGCTGTCTTAGCACATCCCGGCATGGAGAGTAGTGGTGCAGTAGCCTTTGCCACATACGTCTCACCGTGCCGCTTTGAGGCGTTGTGCAGCAGGAAATGCAACGGCCTATGCTTTCAGGCGGTTTGGGCACTGGGCCTGCTCACGGTCTCGGTAACATAAGCAAAGCACTTGAAGTGATTCTTTCGAGCCATCTTGGAATTGGGATGTTCTTGGAGAGGTGCTTGCTGAGCTTGGACTCCCCGGTCTTTGCTCGAGTGTGCGCCCTCTTACAGACGTTGCGCAGAGCTTTTTGTTTCCTTATGTTTCCTTGCAGTTTCTCTGCACCATACTGGACGAATAGAGCATGGTGCAACCATGTGCATTCACTTGCGAGTGCCCAATGGCCTTCACTTCCCGAAGCTGGCATTCGTTGCGAACACAAGCGGCCTCGGCCGAGGTTGTATCTGACGACGCTACAGGGACATGCGATGGACGGGTCGGGTCCCCGGCTTGCCCCCTGATGGCACGGCATTCCTCAAATGTTCGGATCTTCGAACCCGAGCTCGCAAAAGGGGAAGAACCATGGGTTTAAAGCGTGGAAGCATCTAACAGGGAAGAAGTTGCTCTTTGCAGACAGCTACTGACAGCTACTGACGCTACTGGGCCTAGCTGCAAAAGTTGCTCGGGGATTGGTCAAGGAAGACCATGGTTTTCGATCATTCGACAGGCTCTGTCGCTAGAAAGCTCCTCACGTGACCCGCCGATCTTTTTTCAGCAGGGTTCGTCTTTGTACGGTTGGCAAAAGAAATCGGACGGGAAAAGGTTGGCCGGGAATATTGTGGTTCTTCCACTGCAGCTGCGATTTGATCGCCTGAAAGCTTTTTTATGGCAAGAAGTAGCGATCTTTGGCATCTGGGGCCGAGTCAAAATCCTGCAAGAGTGCCCTCGCGTTTAAAGGAGCCAACATGGAAACAAGCCGAGCATGTCGAGATATGTTATGTCAGACACCAAAAGCTGGAGGCTCACCAACAGAAGGAGAGCCGGTGCCGCACAAGCCTACCTCGAGCAGTGCGCTCGATACGGCCTGGACGTTGTCGGGCTGCTCAGAGCACGGTGCCTGCTTTTGTGTTGGCGCTCGCCTCACGCCTGCCTCGCGCTTTGCCTCGCGCCTGCTGAGGTTCGCATCCTGTTGCAGCGGGACGTGCTCTTCTCTCGCCTCCACGCGCAGAACACCTCCGAACGAGCTGTTGCTGGCATGTGGTCTGGCTCGGCCTTGCTGGAGGCCTTCTGCTTCTGCAGAATCTTGCACCGGGCAGCTGTTCGAAGGCCTAAGCCTATGCAGCTCCTGCCAGGACGGTCCCATTCTGCCAACACATCGGCTGCTTCTAGGAGAGTTTCCTTTTGCCTACCCCCCGAGTGGAGGGTCAGGCGCGGTGGCACGCTCCGTTTTTCAACTAGGCTATAGCGAAGCATAGCGAAGCTTGGAAGGCCGGAGCCTGTCCTTCTCAGCTTTCAACCCGTTCTGGTCGCAGAGGCCAGTCTGCCATTCGTGGAGTCGAGAGCCGTGCTGAACAGCGCGGAATCTGCTGTGTGCCATTGTGTGCCTTGCGGATCTGCAGGCCTCATTACGAGCTGACGGAGTCACCAGATGCTTCGGCAGATTCCTCAGAACAGCGGCAAGCCCGGAGGAGAACCTTGAGCCCTCCTGTTTGGGCAGTCAGGCGGGCAGCCGTCGACACAACCCTAGCTACCTCGCGCTGCTTTCCGAGTTCGTCGTTGTTCGCCGCGATCCTACCTGGCGGATAATCTTGCAGACTACATGCACAGAGCCATTACACTGCATGACCTGTGTGCAGGTTCGCACAATGGCATCGGACGCCTGGCTCTCTTCGTCTTCATGCAATGCTCCTACCGCGAGCCACAACGGGTGGGGCCGGCTTGGCAATTATAATTGTAGCCCTGACCCTGGGAACTTTGTCTCCACGATGCCCTCTGCAGGTGCTACGCCTGCTGCAGCTCGAGCCCATTCCTGAGCAAAGCAAGCCTCTTTAGGCAAAGACAGCCTCAAGCACTCAGAGAGCTCTTAGATGCTCTTGGAAGTCTTCACTACTTCCTGACATCAGCTGATGGAGTCATGGAGTTTGCACTTGGCTGCCCCGGTGCTTCCTCAAATATCTTAGGATTTGAGAAGAGTACTCCTATGGGTATGTAATTGACCCCGTCCTTAGGAGGGTAACTTAGCAGGCTCACGTGTCCACGCGAGGCCCTGGCGGCTGCAGGCCCTCAGTGCTGCCTTGCACGACCGGATCGTGGAGCGGCGGCCTCGGGAGCTTGTCAGGGAAGGGCAAGAAGACGCTCAGAGCAGCACTGGCTGCTCACACAAAGAAGCTCGAAAGCTTAAGCTCGTACATCAACTCCCTCTGTCTCCCGCAGCGCGATGTCTTCCGTGCCTTTCGAGACATGCCGGGTCTCCAGCAACTCTCCAAGAGTGACCACCCAGCCCCATGTGCGGCACCCGCAGCACCAACTCTGGATTGTCGGGTCCCAGAGATGGCGCCGGGTACGACGGTGACAGTCAACACTCTTTATTCCAGGCCGGCATGAGTCGGAATCAAGGTCCGTCGAGGGCTACAGCATACCCTCCTCCCCGCCCTCCCCCCTCCCCACCCTCTCTGCAGGCAACACCAAGAGCGTACCGTCCTAGTCTGGTGCCCCAAGCCAGATCCCGATGCCAAGGCGGTTGCTGGTAGCTTTGATTCAGGGGACGCTCTAAATGACTCTTGAACAGCTTTGTGAGGAGAAACCGAACCTGATGTTTTGACACAGAGTGAAATTGCGCAGCGTGCTTTGTCAGCGTCATCAACATGACAAGCAGAGCAGCACAAGTGAGAAAAATGCACATCACGGGAGGGGGGGGGTGGGCCTTCCTCTGTGCCAAGGAAAACATCTTGTGTCCCTGGCAGTTTGGAGCCGAGGCCTGATGAGGGCGAGGCTTACCAGGAAGCAGTGCTGGCTTCAAAGTCGCAAGGCTCGCCAGCTCTGGCGCATGTCTCCTGTCCCTCACGACCAGTCAGTAAGGGTTTAGGGGCATTAATTTGCGTTCGGGATCTACGTCGTTTTATGCGCGGGATTCTAGGTGCGGGATTCGGGTCGCACGACACTGGGAACCCCTTGCTCCCGCCTCGGGGAAGCATGTGAACAGGCTGCAGATCAGTATTCGTAATGTGGGAGAGGGTCGTCGTGTTCCAGCAACAAGCCTTCATGCATCGTTGCAGCACTGAACCATACTGAACCTGCGTAGTGCGTGGGGAAAAGGTAAACAAATGTTGTGCCGTGAAGAGGTGAATCGGTGACTCGATTGTGCCCGTGGTGCCGTCGTTTGCATGTAAAGCTTGAGGCTATCATGATCGGCATCCTTTCATCATGGGATTCCAGGAAAACTTCTGCAACACATCCGGGGCGTTTTTCTCTTGATCTCTTGCGCGCAGCCGGGGCAGACGGCGCGCGCCTGAAGCTGGAGGTTACAGCCTCACACTGTTCACACCTAGTCGTTGAAGCGTGGGTGTAGTTTTTGGCACGAGCAAGCAACGGGGTGTGCTTGTCCACCTGTACGCGTCCATGTGGGTCAGCTAGCTGCATCCGACAGTCGAGCATGCCTCGGTGTGACTTTGCAGGTAAGACCTGGGACAAGACCACTGAAGCCTACTTCGCCCACGAGGCTCTTGAAGGATGGGATTTGGTGTCCTCCACCCCTTCTGAACTGCAGCTGAAGGCCATGGAGCTCGATGCATCTCCGGACTTCTGCCATTTGGATGTCGCCTCCTTTGAAACCGCTCTACCACTTTGCCGAGCTGTCCGCGCCTGAGGATCTCCTGAGGATCTCGGATAGCAGGGGTCCTCGCAATGCTCCAAGCCCAGGTAGATCTGCTGCAGCAGCTCGCTGAAGACTCTGTGGTTCAAGCTGCTCGGCCCTGGTGCAACACGCTTTGGTGCCAAAGGCTTGTCAGATGTGTAAAGCTAATTCTAGGGCAAGCGCTGAGTCAAGTTTTCATGAGCTCAAGGCTGCTGACATCTCCATATGGGCACGTGGCTCTGCCGAAGGAGCCTGGCAGAGCTGGGTTGTTACATTGTTGTTGTTTTGTTCGCATCTTGTTGCACTTCTGTGACTATGTGGTACTGCAGTGCACTGCGCCCTTGAGAAGTCATCCTCAGACCGCCGAAGGATCGGATGCTGGATATGCTGGTGCATCAAGCTTGCGAGGTGTGTCCTCAGACGCCTCGCTGTTCAGGGCTGCCTACTTGCGAGGCAGGGCATATCCTGCACTGCCAAAGGTCGCAAGCATGAAGTAAAAGCGCAACAGCTCTAGAGCAGTCCTGAAAATACCCATGTCCTCAGCGGACTCAGCAAGCAGCACCGCCTCAATGGACACTCCTGTCCTCTGCAGGATTTGATATACCCTCTCACTGGCTCTCGCATGGGGCCAGCTCTCTGATGGCCGTCATCCAGAATGAACACACGGTCCAGCTACCCTTTGCCGCCCTGGCTGCAGCAGTGGCCTCAGTTGCCAGAATCTGCTCCTTGCCGTGGGCTCGACACAAAGTGAGTCCCAGGAGTCCAGCCGATCCTTGACTTTGCGTTTCTTTCTTCTGCTACTTGGAGGCGGGGCAGCATGCTACCCGTTTTTTACCCTGCACGAATGGCATCTGTCTACCGCTGCCGAGACACCGCGATGGACACCTCTGTACCATCCCAGAGCCTCTCGAGTCTCGCACAGCTCCTGCTGGGACAGGGCCTCAGCCATGAAGTCAATGTGTTATTTGCATTTTGTGAGCCACACGTTTGCGCCAGTTGTAGCACCGACAAGACTGGGCATGACGCACACACGCACACACACACACACACACACACACACACACACACACCAACCACATGTCAGGCCATCCCTGTGGATGGCAGCATGCGGGTTTACAATGGTTTCGGCGCGAGAACAGCATGTCTTCATGCATGGTATGATACTCGTAACATGAACCCCAACTCTCTGCACCTCCTGAGATGAAGCCCGAAATCCTGTCGGATGGCCTCACCCCTTTCTGTCCCGCGAAGGCCTCGACCCAAGTGGAGAAGCTTCAGGCGCGGGACGATTCGGCACCTTCAACACGCCCCCCCCCCCTCCCCCCGCCTCCCAAGGCATCGTTGACATCGACCAAACGAGGGCCGGAAACCCTTGTGCGCTTGACGCGCTGATGCTGCTGCCCATGGCCCAGACGGCTTGAATCAGCTCCAGAAGATCAGACATCTGGTTGAAGGTTCAGTGGCATGCCCAAAGTCAGAAGACAAATTGGATTGCACTCCCAAACTGTTTCATCGAGAAAGCCTATGCACACTGCAAGGATCTCAATGTCAAGAAACCTTAACGATCCTTGACGAACGTCTTCGGGAGTGAGTTTTCTGATGAAGCTCGGGCTAGCGTCGGTATAGAGGGCTCAAAAGTCAAGGATGCCACACACCTCACCATTCACATGAAGGCTGTTTTCTAGCATTATCAAGCACGCTGAGCCTTGCTCTTGTGTCCCGCAGTTGTGGGACTTTCCTGTCGTCGCATTCCTGTGCTGAGGCTGGAGAATCCACCCAGCTTGCCAGCGTGGATTGACAGCGGCGCTCCAAGGTCTCGCTTTGCGACTTCAGGGCAGTATGTCGCAGTATGTTGCATGCATCTCTGGATATAAAGCTAGGGTGTAGGGCCTAGTGTCGGGTTCATTTGACGATTCGTGTTCTACTTGTCGTTCACACTGGCCAGGTCCAGCAACAAGGCCTTGCAGCCACGCAACGCCACGCAGCCGGAAATCCAAGAGGTGCTCTTCGTTTTCCGCTGCAGCGTTGCGCTGCGTTGCGCTGCGTTGCGCTGCATTGCGCTGCGTTGCGCTGTGTTGCGCTGCGTTGCGCTGCGTTGCGCCGCCCTTCTTACCAATTACCAAGCGAGAAGCTGCGAGGCCATTCGAAACCACTCGGCCTACGAAGCCTCCTTGTCCATTGTGCTGAGCCTGCTGGCGCGGAGACCCAGCTCCCAACAAGTATGTCACAACTACTGCATCAAAGGCTCCAGCGGACGGCTTAAGCTTACAGAGCCTGGGCCATGAAAAACGTGATCTTTATCGGCATGCCCTGCATGGAAACTCCAAGTCTGTCGGGGTCGCGGCATGGCACGAGCTTGACGCTTGACATCGCTTGACCATGTAGCGGTGATCTGTTCAGGGTTGCTGATAGTTGGCGTTTCGCATGCTATCTTGCGCCCGACAATTTGAAGGGTGTGGTTGGTGTGGGGTGTGTGTGTGTGTGTGTGCGCTTCAGTTGCATATGTGGGCCTGGTGCTCTCAGGACATGCCGGCCCTCCGCGATGTAGTTCTGAGATACATGTGCCACGCATGGGTCTCTCGCTACAGAGCTCGGGCCTCAAGGGGTGCCCACGGAGCCTCATGCTGACTGCGCCAATCTGAGCCACACTCAGCCACTCCCTCACTTGCACGTGCAGCCACACTGAGCCACTGGAGGTCTTGAAGAGCCTCCTGGCCATCTCGTGGCCCATCACCCGGGGAAAGATTCTGTCACAGCCCGAGTCGGAGCACGGCAGCGCGATGTGGCAAGCTGCCCAGGTCCTCGCTGGCAACCTCGCTCCAGCGCATCCTGCTGTCTGAAGCGGCTCTCATCCTTCAGGCCCTGGGAAGAAATGCCCAAAAAGTTGAAAAAAACGGAACTTTTGAGGCCGTTCAATGTGCTGCTCAAGCCAGGCTTGCGCTTGGGAGATGCGCCTCGTTTGGCCTTCTGGGCGCCCGCCAGTGGAACATCTCGATTGCGCAGCAGACATCTTGGGGCAACAGAAGCTGGTCTCAACGGAGTGCTGCATGTCCCCTTCTTAAGTTCCTAGCTCCTGCATTGTTCTCTTTTCGTGAGCTTTCCAAGGCGTCTTGACATGAAGATGAATGTCTCGGAGCACTTGCAGGCTTGAGCAACTCTGAGACGTGAGAGAAGGGTTTGAGAAGGGTTTGCGTGCTCTCCGTGCCTCGGCGTAGCATCTGCTCACGAAAAGGAGGTGGTGTGCGATCTCATCTCTCATAGTGACACTGGGCTTTCAGGGTCAGGAGCTGAGGACTTCCATTCTTTGATCCCGCAGTGAGGCCCTGTCTGTGGCACCCGAAGTGAGCCCCCGAATGAGGCACAGGAGCATGCCCTTCCTGGTAAGCAGCGCCCTCCGCCTCGCCGATGCCTGCGACGTCGTGGATGCCGTTGGCTCGGCGGTTCGCCCAGCCTCAGAGGCCTTGTGCAGGGCGCCAATTTTGCAGGGGGGCCAATTCCTTTAATTGCTTTCTTTGGCGACTGGCCGAATGCCGAAAAGGTTCGATGAATTCCCTTGCTTGTGTGCTCCGTGCCAGGGGCTTCAGGGGTCGAGCTCCATGCTGTTCGGGCGAGACAGGCGAGATGCCGCGCAGGCCCGCTCCTTCATGCGAGTGCTGGAGAGTGTTGGCGTTGGCTCGGGAAAGCGTGCAAAAACTCTACCGTACCAGTCAAAACAGCCAGACAGACTGGAAACAAGTTCCATAGTGCAGCCGTTAGCTTGAGTCTTGAGTGCAGGAAGCCTCCGGCCTTGTCCAAACAGCTACGCAGCATGTGAAACCCAAGGAAGGAACACGGAAACAACACACAAACATGCCTTTTAGAGAGGAAAGGCCTGATGCAAGGAATCGAGTCGAGGATGAGTGGAACGAGTACCGTGCTACAAAGCCGTACAGAGCTAAACGTCTGCCCTGAAGGTGTTGACAGTCCCCGGAATGACAGATGGATCTGGACATCCGCCTTTCATGGGGCCGGAGGATCTCTGGGAGGGTCAGCTGATCCGTGCGTCGACCTGCCAGTGCATGGCCCCAGCGAAAGAGGGCGGCCCTTTGAGCCGCCATCTGGAGCTCCAGGACCGGCTTTGAGAAGGATTGTGACTCCCTGAAAGGCTCAAAGGCTGTGTAGACCTCATTGCCGTGTGAATTTCGGAAGAAAGGATCCCCATCTGCTCCTGCACCTCTCTGGATTGAGCTATCTGCTCAGTGCCACCGAATCAGAAGGCCGAGCTCCCACGTCGGTGCTTCCCCTGCCACTAAAAAGAAGACGTCCTCGAAAGTCTTCCTAATCTTCAATGCAGGTGACCGATCCCGCTTTGCTGCAGATCTGCAGATGCTCTGCTCCCGCAACGAGTATGCAGACTGCTGAGAGTAAGTTCATGTTCCTCATCGCAAGTACGGCTCTCGCTCTCTCCACTCTCAAGCCTCGAGGCCTGCATCGCTTACTACACCGAGTGTGCGTGCCGGCTTCCCGATTTGTTTCCTGCAGCGTAAGTCCCCAAGTGACTTGCGACTCCAATGCGCATCAAGGCAGATGCCTGACGAGCTTTGTGTCAGCTGCTCTATCTCACTTGGTCGCCCCTTCCTGTTTATAAAAACCTACTTGGAAACTTGCGGTAGACTCCGTAGAATCGCTTTGCTTTTCGGAGTTCCCCTCTGTCTTCCAACTCGGCCTTGTCAGGTCGGCAGACCGGCAATGATCGGCACGGAATCGGACACGCGCGCTCAGGTCCCGGTGGTGCGAGCACTGGAGAGCAGATTTTCAGCCAATTTTGAGCTTACTTTGACACAACTTTTGCATCAGAATTACCTGCACCTTCCTTGTGCAGGCTGCCAGAGCCCACTTGGAGGCACTGCTTCCAGCGATGGCGGAAGAATCTGGAGCGGAAGCGCCCCGCAGGCTCGAACTACTCTCAGGCGGGCCTTCTTCCAATTGAGCTGAGCTAAATACGGCCAAATAGCCTTGCTGACCCTAGCGAGCAAATCCTGTGCAACAGTGACAGATTCTACGTCGTAGAGAGATCTTACCTAGCATCGAGAAAAACTTTTTGCCGAATCGGGACGGGTTCTCCAAGAAGCTGACCTGGCGCTTCTGGGCAGGACTTGCTGCAGCATTTCTGGCCGCGATGCTTGAGCGATCCAAGGCAATTTGAGTCGAGACGGTATAATTCTTCTTCTTCTTCTTCTTCTTCTTCTTCTTCTTTCCGGTTCTGTGGACTGCAAAGAGCTTAGCCTGATGTGGGCTCCAAGCCTTTCGAAAGACACACACCTCGTCTGGCAGGAACGTCTCTGCAAGAGCGTTCGGTTCTTTTGTGCTTTTGCTAGTGCTCGTGCTCACATGCGTTTTCTCTTGTGAACAGGCACCCCCGCTTGCTTTCGTCCGACGGGTGTACACCTTGCTCAGTGGAGCTTTGGTGCGACCTGTGGCGGTGTCGCGCGAGTCAAGTCGGAGCCTGCAGGAGGCGCCACTTGAGAGATCTTTTTACATTCGAGATTCAAGAGAACTGGGCATGGACGAGACGAGGCTTTGCTTGTTCTTCTTCAGCGCATGCTTCCAGACCAGGTGGGGGATGTAAACTGTGAAGACACGACTTGGAAGAGCTTTGCAGAGAAGCAGTTGAATTCGAGGCATTGGATGTGGCCATGGGATTTCAGCTGCAGGACTTGGAGGCTGAGGTGCATTGCCTGCATTGCCTGCACTGGTTTTTTTTCACCAAGGGCTCCAGTGACTCCAGTGTTCCACTGCTCAGGATGCATCGGAGCTTTCCAAACTGGCCTCCTCGCTCATGGCTGCCGAGATGGCCGAAGAGCCATGGCTCACTTTGGGAATTTTGGGAAGACCGTGGGGAACGGTAAACGCTCACGCGCGCTGGTGGTGCTCCATTGAAGTTCCCCCACCCCCCCTCAAGTTAAGGAGTTTGGGGTCTCTAGTGTCGGCTCTAGTTCCAAATTGCTTTTTAATACGTATATGTAGATATGTCACTAGCAAAGACAACTTGGCAGCCACAGGAAAGGGTTAGGGCCAAAGACTAACAAGTTCAACGTGCTTTACTTGGGCTTGCCTCACGGCAGCAGATGACGGTCAAATATCAGGGGCCTGAATGGACTTGCAGACTCCGTAGAAGCAGCGGTAGCTGAGTTTAGACGATAGCATAGTATGTGATTACGTATCTACCTGGCTGCAGCATGAATCGGATACTGCAACCGTGAGCTTCAGCTTGAGACATTGATGCTGCAGGCAAAGCACATCCTTGCCTCAGATCCAAGCTCCCCGCGTGGACCTGGAGTTTCGCTTCCATTGCTCTGTGCCCTGATGACGCGGGTACCTGCGAGGCAACTCTCCACTGTCTTTTCAGCGCAGCTGTGGTGCCAACTGACGGAGGTTATTCAGGCAGGCTCACAAGCAGCCCTTCGGGACGCCAGTTTTCTCCGGCATCTGCATGGGAGTTCCTTAGCGGCGATCCTCTGCCAGTCGCCGGAGTCTGCTAGCGCGTTTTTCGAAGCTGGAGGACTGTCAGCAATGTTGCGGCCAGAGATGCTACAAGCTAGAATACGATTAGCCCCGGCCGGGCTGCACGCATTGGACACGGTTCATCCTGCTGCCCTAGTCTGTGTCTTACAGGTCCTGGTAGCAATGCTTGGCGTGCTGCCGACCCACAACCTGGTTCTGCAAAGTACCTTGCAGTGGCTTGAGAGGCACATCCAGCCCCTGCTCGATGTCACCCAGTGGGTAACACGGCTTCCGATCACTACATCATCCGAGCCGAGGACCCGGACAGGTGGCAGAACGCCCAACACTGTGGTTGCAGCCTTGGCTGCCAGAACTGGCAGGAGCACTGGCAGGGAAGGCCCAGACGCAATGCTGGTTGTTTGCAGGTCCCCGCACAATCCCCTGACATCCACCAGCACTGTGCAAGACCAGTGCGTGGATGGGCTGGCATTCTGGCTAAGCGGGCGGCGATCCATGAGCAGCAACAGTGGTACCAGCACGGAGACAGACAAGTATGCTGATGGCATTGCGCTTTGCCATCGATGTCTCGCGCTGTTTGTGGAGATGTGGTCGCTAGTGCACTCTTCAGTAGCACGCAGGAGAAAATATGCGGCGGTTGACGTGTATCAGGCTCAGATACACAAGCTGGAACCGATGATCCACGCTGCACTTCCAGGACTCTTGACGCAAGTTGCGAGTGCCTCTGTCCCAGACGGGGACAACATGACAGACACGCACAGCAATGGGGGCAATGCGGGCAGCGCCTTGCAGCTTGATGCCTTGCGGCCATCAGAGCTGACCCAGCACAGAATCATCTCCAACATTCTGCAGGTTTGGAGATATGATAGCATCACGCAACAGATCAAGACGCTCGCCGTCAAACAGCCCCAGGCGTCGCAACCAGGCTCCCAAAGTGCGTGGTCGCTCTGGCAAGCGTCTGGGCCCTTCCTGCCGTTCCAGCCGTTCCAGCCATTCCAGCAGACCCCTGTCTCACAGGGGAACATGCCGAACATGCCCCAATCCATCATCCCGGAGGTGAAGTTGCGGTCCGGTGTCTTGTGCGCAGTCTTCGTGCATTCTTGCTGCAAGTTGCTGAGCCTCAGACTGGCCGACCCGCTTCCCATGCGCGGTGAAGGAGAGACCTTGGAACCCGATGGCCAGAGCGGCCATGGGGAACAGCTGAACTTCGACGGCGTGCCCTCTGCGTTCATACAGCTGCTGTACATTGTAGAGGTTTCGCTGCATCTCTTGTGCTTGCACTTAATGTTCTTGACAACTGTTTCGGAGCTTGACGGAGCATACGGGTCGCTCGGAGCGTACGGAGTGCCCACAACCCCAGTGACTCCTTCAAATCCGCCGCGGCTGGCCGTGGTGGGGCAATACCTGCGGTTGCTCATCGACTTTGCAGCCGCTGCCGGCGCCGGAGGATCCGTGGCGCTCGTCGCGCGGCACCCGAAGACCGGGAGCTTCGGCGCCGTCTCCTTGGCCAACCTTTCCTTCGCGGCCAGCGCCGCATCCACGGCCTCTTGGCACGAAACGCGTCTACAGTAGCTAGTGCACAAAGCTGATGCTGTGCCTATCGTGTTCTGTATGATGTGCTGTGTAGCTCAAGAGCCTATCTTGTGCCTTGATCGGCTAACGTAACGGAACTTACGCAACAGATTGCAATGGCAAGTTGCAGCACTTGTGGTGATCTTTGATGCAAGTGCGGATTGCCTAAGGCGGAGAAGCTGGTGGCTCAAATGCAGCTGCAACAGGGCGGGCTATGAAAAAAGGGCAGGCCTTCTGCTGGCTGGGGAAATGCTTGCAGGAGAACAGTAGCAAGGCAGCAAGCTAACTTACAGCGCAACGGACGCCTTCTTTCAGATACAGTTTCAGGACGTTGAGGCCACATGGCCGACAATATACAGTGTTGATTGCTTTGACTTGCGGGTTCAGGCTCCTACAGATTCTCAGATTTTACACTCGGCCTATCATCTCCCCAACTCAGGTCTTCTGTATGTTTAGTGCTGCTATAGGTATAGCCTGCGCCGAATCGCTGTTACAACACGCCCCCCCCCCACCCCCCCCCTCCCCCTTTATTTTTCTCGAAAGAAGGGTTTATCTGGTGCCACATCTAAACCCAAACAGCCTATGGGGCCGACACGACTGATGGGGGTTCGGATGGGAGGGTCTTGCGCAGGGGGCGGGGGGGAATGTGTCTTGACGGAGATGGACCCTTCCCCAAGGAGTCCAAGGCTAAGTTGTACATGGGCCGGGTTATTCGGGGTTTCCAGGGTTATCTTGTTGCGGAGCAGTTCTCAGATTCTTGAGAGGAACACGATGGAGCAACAACAACAACAACAGCAGCGGCAGCAGCAACAACAACAACAACAACAACAACAGCAGCAGCAGCAGCAGCAGCAGCAGCAGCAGCAGCAGCAGCAGCAGCAGCAGCAGCAGCAGCAGCAGCAGCAGCAGCAGCCGCAGCGGCAGCGGCAGCGGCAGCGGCAGCGGCAGCGGCAGCGGCAGCGGCAGTGGCAGCGGCAGCGGCAGCGGCAGCGGCAGCGGCGGCAACGGCAACGGCAACAGCAACGGCAGCGGCAGCGGCAACGGCAACGGCAACGGCAACAGCAACAGCAACAACCACAGCAACAGCAACAACAACAACAGCAGCAGCAGCAGCAGCAGCAGCAGCAGCAGCAGCAGCAGCAGCAGCAGCAGCAGCAGCAGCAGCAGCAGCAGCAGCAGCAGCAGCAGCAGCAGCAGCAGCAGCAGCAGCAGCACCAGCAGCACCAGCAGCACCAGCAGCACCAGCAGCACCAGCAGCACCAGCAGCGGCAACGGCAACGGCAACAGCAACAGCACTAGTCCTAGGTAGGATAAGGGGGACCCTTAAAAGGGAACCCCTTCTGAACCCTCTTCTGGCTCTCTTAAACAGGGACCTTATTCAGAGGGTCCATATCCCCAAGGGTCCCCCTAATCCCATCCCCTAACTAGCAACAGCAACAGCCACAGCAACAGCAACAGCAGCAGCAGCAGCAGCAACAACAACAACAACAACAGCAGCAACAGCAACAGCAACAGCAACAGCAAGCAGCAGCAGCAGCAGCAGCAGCAGCAGCAGCAGCAGCAGCAGCAGCAGCAGCAGCAGCAGCAGCAGCAGCAGCAGCAGCAGCAGCAGCAGCAGCAACAGCAACAGCCAGCAGCCACTGCCACTGCCACTGCCACTGCCACGACCACGACCACGACCACGACCACAACCACCAACCAACCAACAAACAACCACCAACAACCAACCACCAACAACCAGCAACCAACAACCAACAACCAACAACAACCAACACATCATCGCCACCACCAGCAGCAACAGTCAGTTCCTATACTGTACGCGGCATCTGCGAAGCATCAATCACATCATAGTTCCGGCTTTCAGGAATCCCGATGATTTTCTCATGTTCGTTCAGAGACAAGAGCTTCCAGTCTAAGTTTACGAGTCCATGTCATGTTACGGCGCCCCCTTGTAAGCCTGGGTATGAAACATCACCAAGCATGCTTCAACAACGGTGCGACAGGGCTCAACATGCAGCAAGGGAATCTGGCATGCTGGACTTCTTACCTGCTCGAAGACTCCGAACAGCCCGGACCCTTGTGCCTGACTCGACATGACTCGACTCAAAATGGCCTGTAAACTTGTTGTAAGACACTGTGGTGAAACCGAGAGACATGCAGCCTCGCACAACGCTTGACGCATGTGGCCATCAGACATCCAGTTTCAATGCAGTTCATGCGTTGCTTTACGCATTGTGGCAAGCATTCTCGGCAAGAGCCGGAGCTTCAGCGACATCATCGGGGCCATGACGCGCAGCCGATCAACTTCGCCTCACTTCGATCAACTTCGCCTCGCTTCGACCCTCCTCGTCCGGCGACAAAGTTGGGATATTCCATGGGGTGCAGATGGGTGCAGTGGGGTTGACGCTCTGTCCGTGTCTTGGCACAGGTCGCCGTTTTGGGCGCTACCATCCACGGGACGAGCTGGTGGTCCCCAACCCGGGCGATGAAGTGGTAGCTCTTGCTAACTTCCAACTGTCCAGATACAATACTTGTAGGTGTTGTGTAGAGGCTGGTTCAGGTCCGGGAAGTCTACGAGGCGAGTGCTGTTTTCCCTTGCGGTGTCAGCTCCGCGGCTTCCCCGCAGCTCTTGCCTCCTCTTTTTTCTTGCTTTTCTGCAGTCCTGCAGGGGCCCAAGATGAAGCAGCCATGCCCGCGCAAGGTAGGGACATGATGGTGCCCAGAGACAAAGCGCCGCGTTTGTGTTTGCGTGTGTGATTATAGGTTTTTCTCTGATTCAGGTGATTCGCGCATTCATCTCAATGATCCCGCTTGAGCTAGGCCGGGCGTCGAGCAGGAACGTGTTCTTTCACCCTCCTTGGTTTGCTCCATTGGCTTTTCTGCGCTGTTGACGTTGATGCCTTGGATTGCAAGGATGCCTTCCTCCAGACGTTTTGCTGCAGGCTTCGGCGCATCGCCGAGTCCCTAAGTTGTCACGACGGCTGGCCATCGGGGGTGTGCTCAGGTCATCAAAGGCGTGGAGTTGACACGTGACAGCGTCCGGGCTGCAGTGCTGGAAGCAGAAAGATTGCTGAGGCCGTTCTAAAAGGATTGTTCGCAATAGGGGCAACGTGATGCTGCAAATCACGGACAGGTGGTTGCCAGACCCGACGACGTGCTCAGGGATGTAAAAGCATCCCTCGTTTGAACCATCGGCCCCCCGCTATCTTGTGGTTTCGAGGGTGGGCATCGTCAGAAGCAAGCTTGTGAAGATATTTCACCGAGCTGCTCGGTAACGCTTAAGCCCCTGGAGTTCTGATTTTGTCTGATCGTTTCCTTTTCGGCCTGTCGCGGAGCCCATGTCAACAGCTAGACTCTTGGATTTTTTCATGCATCTTCTTCTGAAAGTCACGAGACCACGACAGGAACGAAAGCATCACAGTGCTTGCGTAGGAAGCCGCAACCAAGAGGTTTCGTCTTGCCCTTGCTTTTTTGCACGAAGTCAAGCTGGATTTACGGAGATCTTGGAAATGAAAATCTATCCTGGACTAAGACTGATCTTGGCGCGCATGATTTGCGCCTCATTGCAGCTTGGCATCGCCGCCAGAATGGCAGCAGAAACGGCCGCCACCGCTGTTGGTACGGCGGACTGACCAAGCGAGACAAAACCGAATTCAATTTGGCTAGGTGATTCTATCATAAATTCGACTTTTTCTCAAGTTTCCATGCTCGTATGGTGGCGCAAAGTTAAACCGTTCTGAGACGGACAGGGCATGAAAGTTTCAGCCATCTCGCAGTTGGATCTCAAGCTAAGCTCGACCGCCCAAGTATCTGGATGAAGTCTTCTGCTGGAATCTAGAGCAGCCTGAGATAATCCGAGGAGGACTCCCCAAATCCGGAACCGCTGCCGGGTGGCATGGCACGTGTGGACTGTGAGGCCACGACGCTGCGCAATTCGGGAGGTTTGCGCGGGGTGTTTGGAGGCATCACCCGCGTCGCCCGTGGTGTTGGGCTTCTGTGTGCTTGACATCGATTTCGATTGATCTCGTGGTAGATATGCCTGCTATTGTCCAGATGTAAGCGCAGGCAGCGACAGATTTCAAGCTTTGTTCAGTGGATGCGCTTCGCATGCTCGTGGTGGCGATGCATGGCAGGAGCCTCAAAAGCAGATCAAGAGTGCGGTGATTGCGTATGCCTAGTCAGACTGCCCTCACCACCCCTGCGCTCCGGAGTGTGAATCATGCGTTTTACTGATGCAGAGTGCGGCGTCCTAGCGATGATTCCACCTGCCATGAAGCGCCGGGGCTACAAGGCCCCAAGTCTAGAGGGTTGCGTGGGCCTCAGCGCGACCGGCGGCGCTCACCCGAAGAACTTCGTATGCCAGTTCTTTGATCGGTGCGTTGTGGGTGAGACAAGCAGACAGGACTTCTTCTAGGAGGCCCAAGTGGTGCCGCAGGGCGTGGTGGCCACGCTCGGTACGCCGACTTTAAGAGGTCGGCGCTTTGAGGGAAAGCCGCAGGAGGACGAGAAGTTGGCGCAGACGTCCGGCGAATCTCGCGTGCGTTGCCGCCGCGATGTCTCACATCGTTTACCGCGTCAGCAAGACGGATGCTGGCAAGAGGTGGATGTCGGACACTGGGATCCCACGGGACAACAAAGCCATCTGGAAAATCGCAGAGGAGCTCTTTCTGGAGTTCAGGTCCCAGGGCTGCCGTACCGCGCTTTGGGATGAGCAGGTGGGATGGGCTTCGTAGGCTTGGACAAGGTTTGCAATCTCACAGATCGCTCGTGGCAGCCGACGGAAAATCTGACTTGTGCTGTTGTGGACATGCTGGGAGAGTGTTGCCGTGCGCACGACGTGCATTATCATTGGGGCTTGAAATGAGCAAGAGGACAGGGCCAGTTGCTAGAGACGCGGGAAGGTTGCAGCTGCTGCTTGTGCAAGCTTGTTACATTAGATGTTGCAGATACTTGCTGAATGACGCGTGTAGCGGACTGCCCACATCTGTCAGGCCCATTCCTCCAACCACTAGGTAGCTGTGCCAGCTTAACACCAATGTCTGTGCAATCACACTCTGCGCACAGCTGTTGAATGTTCATGCTGCGCGTTACCTGTCTCTGTCCCGCCAGGAAAATGGAGTCTGTGTGCAACGTCCCTTCACAGGGCTGCAAGCTACGATAGACGCTGCCAGAGTCGGTCTGACGTCTTGCCTCCCTTCTGCGCCTGGAGGCCATGATGCGAGGTGCACTCCTCGCAGTCTCGTTGGATTCAGTAAGCAAGATGTGCGTCATCGCAGCTTCAGCCCTTCTCGAGAAGAAAACGAAGCTGGCATGTCGGAGAAACATCCCTTGCTGCATGTTGAGCCCTATCGCACCGTTGTTGAAGCATGCTTGGTGATGTTTCATACCCAGGCTTACAAAAGGGCGCCGTAACATCACATGGACTCGTACACTTAGACTGGAAGCTCTTGTCTCTGAACGAGCATGAGAAAATCATCGGGATTCCTGAAATCCGGCACTGTGATGTGATTGATGCTTCGCAGACGCGGCGTACAGTATAGAGCATTGCAGATAATCTTGTGTCGCGATTTCCTACCTTGTTGTTTGGTTGTTTAGGACAAATGCGCAAACTAAGAGCTCTCTGTGTTTGCCTTTCTCGTCTTCGCGTTATGTCGCTCAGACGAACCTCCCGGATGCTGTGAATTCGCAGCAGCGAGAAAGCTGTGCTGTTACAGCGCACGGGGGGGGGGGAGGACGGAGGGATTTCATTGGCTCATGGTAGAAGTTTGGACTCCGGCCGACCAGCGGCGGGGAACTCGCGAAGTGCGAGAAGCACCTGGGCACCTCCACCTTTGCGAACTCCTGCCCCTGCCATGTGCGATCTCTCATTGTTTGGGGATGCGAGGGCCAAGAAGTTAAACTGAGCATGCCGCTCAAGGCCTCCGCCATGCAGAGCTCCTGTTGGTAACGTTTGTCGGGCCAGGCTGCCAGACTCTTCAGACGTTCTAGGACTTTAGATGCCTCACACCTGTTCAGCCGGTCCTACTCTCAGAACTCGGGCCAATCGGAGTAACAGCTAGCTTCCGGAATGGCGACTGTCTGGTAGCAGTTGCTAGCATCCTGACTTGTGTGGACGGCTTGCAGTTGCGCACGAATATGTTGGAGGCTGACCAATGTGACCTCTTTTGCAGCTTGATGCAGCGTTCGTCATCCTGTATCACATGAGTGCTATGGTGCTGTGTGCGCTCACGCAGCGGCTAGAATGCGAGGCTAGGGGCAAGCTAACGTACCATGCATGCTTGAGTTGGGGCCATCAATTCAACGAAGAACCTCTGGATGATACCCTTGATTTGAGCCATCTTTAGCCCACGTCTTAGTGCTCCTTGCAGCTCTATAGTTCATACTTCAAAAATGAAGCTACGATAAATCAGTCAGCAGCCCACATGCATAGGCAATTAGGCAAGACGAGTGCACGTAGAATGGCAACTTGAATACGGGCAGAATCCACCTCGGTGCGGGTCGCGGGTCGGATGCTGAGTTCGCAAAGACAGAGCAGCATCAAGCAGCCGACTTCTTGCAAGCCTGCACTGCGTAGTGTGGTGCTTGCCGAGGAGTTGCTGGTACGGTTGCGCTGGAGCCTGCCTGGCCAGAACCTCTTACCGGTACTTGTTGTTGCTTGTTGTTCCTGCCTAGCTACTTCCCCTTTCCCTTCTGCTTGGAAAACAGTCAATGCCCGAGGCCATGGCGGCGGAAGTTGCGCCTGGGCAAGCTGGCTCAGCTCAATCCTGTGCCACGTATTTGGGTTTAGGGTTCGCACCCCCCTTGTCATGGTCTGTGGATCATGGTGGGTTTAGGGTTTGAGGTTTAGGCTTCAGGGTCCAGGGTTGTTTAGGCTTTGAGCTGTAGGGTTTAGGGTTTTCACTCTACTCGCAGCTGGCATCCGAATCATCGGACCGACGTGACAACAGATCACGTGCTTTTGGCGAACGCACTTGCCCCTGCAGTCGAAAGCATGTTCTTTGCCTCAGAGACATCCGATCATAAACAGCAAAAGTGCCGTGTCGCTTTCTAATTTTCCACGTGATTTTGAGACCCTGACCGCTCGCAGGGGGTCATGCAGGTTCTGAATCAGGGTCTGTGAGGTTGGTGACAAGCCCTACAAGCCCCCATGACCAAGCCAAGTAGAGCCCGGCCCTGAAAGTCCCACTGAGTCACCTGGGGCACAGTGTTTTGTTGCCAAACGGAGTGGTGGCCCCTGGCCAATTGTTAGCTAGCCATGTGCTGTGAAGAATTCCCCGTCAAAGGCCCTTACATCTTTCAGTGGCCAAGGATGACACCAGCCTCCTCGATACCGACGTCGAAAAACTCGGAGGCAAGATTTTCTGAGTGCAGCTTTCTGTCGTTGTGCAGTTGGGTGCTGGAATAGGTCCAGCCGATGGAAGGCATCACCGAGCCAGGTGCTTCTGTAGGAAAAGCTGCTTGAAAGACAAGGACTTCTATCTCACAACGTTTGGAGTTTGCCAGGGCACTTCTCTGCCCACAAAGTGGCCTTCTACGAGCTTCTGTTACGGCAGCTTCAGGACAGCATCTTTCTTCACACGAATATGCCTTTTTTGGGCTATTGGGTTCGCAGGATGATGGCTTCGAGGCTGAGGCAAGGAGAGGAGATGTTGGCAACTGCTCAGCTTGTCTCGGCATGTGCCCAGGTGCAGGCCTTGACATCACAGCTGCGGCTGCATCCAAACAACCGGGTGGACAAGGCCTTCTTTCGCTCTTTCCTGCTTTCGCTCTCCAAGTAGCCCCTATAAGGGGCTCGGCAGCCAGGACGCTCTCTTGGATGTCTATGCGAAGAGTTGGCCCTCGGCCTGCTCAATCCCGCTACAAATCTGCCAGCTTTTCCGTGTTGATGCCCATGACTTGTTGTTCAATGCCTCTGCCTCTCTCTCACTCTCCGAGGCTTGAAGTGGGCCTTCGGTGATGAGCCACGAGGGGAATGGCAGCCTCTGCACTGCATGCCTGCTCTTTGCTCAGCGTTCCTCAGCTTTCAATCCTCACGAGCCTCGCGAGACGGTGTCTCCTGACGCCCTCCAACTTGATCTTCAGGTGCCTCCGCTTGGCCCACAGGAGAAAGTGCTCGATCTTGAAGGGATGCCGATACCCACTGGTGCTGCACTCATCTTACATCCACCATCAGCCAATTTCACAAGTCATGACCGTTGCCCTACTACCTTGGGAGGTACTCTGCAGGCACCAGATCCAACAAAGAAGCCTCCAGAAGTCAGGTGGGGGCTTCGGATGGATGGATCCCGAGTGAAGGGATTCGAGAAACTTGGACTCCCAGAATGGACTCTTTTCAAGATTCTGCTCGGCTCTGCAGGCTGCTGTACACTGCCTCGCACAAATCCCACTGCCGATCTGTGGCATTCTCGACAGACGGCCGCTTCTGCCACACACTCGGCTGGTAGAGCAAAACTGAGTCTAGGTGAGTTTACACAGCTGCAGCTTGAGCCCAAAGCCTCTTCTGAAGTTCTGAGAATGTGGTGATGGCTGCGCTGTGTCAGGTGCCACAGGATGTTCAGATGGTAGCATCAAGATATTAGACACCGTAGCCAGCTCAGCACCATCTCAGCACTGCATAGCGCTGCTGGGGCTGAATGTGCGGCATAGCGACTCCTGAGGCCAAGATGCGAGTCTGCGCAGCCAGCACAGAGGGACCTGTCGGCCGGATGCGTGTGACTGAGGAGGACCTATGGACTTAGCCCCGCATCGCAAGACCAGAAGTTAGACCCCACGGGCCCCCACCCCACCGAGGCCCGATACATCGGAAGAACTTTTTGTGAGTTTGCTGGTCCCGATAGGCGTGCGTGATACGGTCTGACCCCCCCCCCTAACCCCCCCTTCCTGTGGCCTGATTCAACTTTGAACTCACAGTTCCAAGACTTGCCTCCTCCTTTCTGCCTGCTCGCTTTCGTCCGGGGCCCCCTCTCGTACTGGAACGGCAGGAGCTGATGAAGCCGATTGTCCGGACCCTCCAGGCTCAGATTCGCGGTTCTTGGCACACGCATCAGGGGCAGTTGCAGCTGCGGTGCCAGGATCACATCCAGGGCGTGACATGCCTAGCATTTCATCCGACGAATCCGACTCTGTTCTCCGGATCGATGGACAAGGCCCCTTGCACTCCAGGAGAGTCTCTCAATTTTCAAAGATGTTGAAAAGGCTACGCGATGTCAGGCGGTGAAGATTTTCGACTTAACCAGACCGCCGGGTCACAAGAAGGCTCGCCTTGCAGCCGCTTATCTTCCGGCATAGAAGGGCAGGACTCAATCATAACTTGCGGCATGGCCAGGCATTCTCCGTGCTTCAGGATGTGCATGCTGTGAACAGCATCTGCCAAAGGCTAAGGTTTTGCGGTTTCACTCTGTGTTGAAGTGGTTTCGGACATGCTTCAGACTGCTCAAGAACACATCAAGCATGGAGAGGCGTTTGTTCGAGCTGCAGCGAGGTATCCATCCATGTGGAGATTTTCTGTTCGTTGGAACTTCTCACCAGGCAAAGTCGGCCAAAACCCAACAAGCAGGTGGTAAACTACCTCTCTCTGTCTCTGTCTGTGTGTGTGTGTGTGTGTGCGTGCAGGCAGTGCGTCTGTACGACCTGCAGACTTTGAGCTGTTTCACGACGGCTCGCCAAGAGCAGCATCACACAGCAGGCTTCGCTTGTGCGAGCTTACCAGCTCAAGCTCTTCGCCCTTTTGCAAGTGCCATCGTGCAGGAATCAACGACGTTCGCTGCACAAGTGATGGTAAAGTGTTGGCATCCGCATCAGCTGTAGCCGACTGAGCATGCGTGTGAATGGAATGGTTTGTTGCACCTGCAGCGCGCAGCAAGTTTCAAAGGATGGTGGCATCAAGCTTTGGGACGCGGTCGGCAACAGTGTTATCAACACGCTCTCAAAGGCCAAAGGCCCAGAAAAGGTGCAAGCTGAAAGGTGCATCCGCTACCTCAATGCCAGTGCTTAAGGCTCACAGTGGATCTGCCGTGTGCTCCGTTCGGTGGAGCCGGGCCCTCACCTTCGCCTCTGTTTTTCTTTTCAGCAGAAACAGCTAAAAGAATTGCAGCTTTGGGACCTGACAAGCTACTTCGCATGTCCAACAGGCCGCAACCTGCGCTACTTGCTGAGCTGCGGTCAGGATGGCAGGCGCCCTCAAGAATCTGCAAGCCACTCTGCAGAGCCAAGAAGCCACAAGCCACAGGGTTTAGGGTTTAGGGTTTAGGGTTTAGGGTGAGCTTGAAAGGCACACGAAAGACAGCGCTTCGCAAGTCGTGTTTTGCACCCTGCAACCCTGCACCGTGGATCGCCGCGGTAAGCACGATGGGGTTTGCTTTGCTGGCCCACGTTGGCGAACATTGGCCAGCATGATCGCGCACGCAGGTCCGAAGCTTCTTTTCTAAGGCTTAGCAAGGGGGCTTCCGACAGGAAATAGGGTTTGGGCGCGAGGCGGAGTTCAAGGGGAGGGGCCCTCACAAGGAAGAGAAGAAGTGCACGAAGCAACAACAACAAGAACAGCAATGTACAACCAGGCACACTTGCTCAAACCAGAGCAAAGGCAGAGTCATGCTCGGTATCGGGCTTGGGCGGTTTGGTTCTCATGCCCATGACTTGAAATGTCAGAATGACCTTGGTCTGGGCATACGGTGCCGGGCCCCAAAACGAGGGCTCATCAACCGAATCACAGGGCAGTTCTGCTCGCGCTGCCGTGCTCTTAGCCGCCCAAATCCCGAATCCAAAAAGAACGGGACCGTGAGCCTTCGGAGTGGGCCTGGAGCCAGGGGTGCTGGTGAATTCTCCTTGGGGCCGGGGGTTGGAAGGGGCAATGACAGACTCCAACCCCACGCTTTTTCACGGGAAGCCGCCTGGTCAAGCGATCCCCAAGTCGAAGGGACAGAGCTGAGTTGAGATGTTCGGATTTTCGGAGGCAGAGACTGTGGGATGTGCGCATGGGGCGCGAGGCTCGCGCATCCTCCGGCAATGTTGGAACAAGGCGCTTGGAAGTTGGCTTGCGCATGCTTGCGCATGCGCAGGTCTTCTGCATGGGTTTTGGAGCGCGGTCTGCGGACACTGGAACCGCTGTGTTCCTCAATGGGGAGAGGCGCTCTCCTCTTGCACTGCCGATGGTGGAGTTCCATGTTGCGATAGCACTCGTGCAGGTACATCGCTGCTTGCAGCAGCAATGTCAGACTGAGTGATGTCAGTCTCTTCGACTCCACCACAGGCAGAATACTCTGGAAGTCCTGTATTCCTATGTAATCCTCATTGGGGTGCCTGCTGGCAGGTTCGCCTGTCTTTATGAAGCTGGGCATGCACAACGTCCCAGTTCATGCCCTCGAGGCTTCACCCGTTGACAGGAGATTGCTCAGACAGCTCAGCAAATGCAGCTCCTAAGGGGTGCTTCTGACACAGCAGGACGCTCATGACAGGGTGTGACGATGAGAAAGCAAGATACTTCAGCTTCGAGGCTGGCAGAATGCGTTGCGACCATGTGGCCCGGTTGAGCTGCTTTTTCGTGTGGCGGCGCAGGAGCGTCAGTAATGCCACGGCTGCGGGTGCACAACTGCAAGCCTGGAAAAAAGTTGGCATCCGCAACGCCGCAACGCAATCAATGAAACTACGGTACCATTTACCATCATTTACCCTTGTGCTGTGTTCACGCGTTGTAATGCGTTGTCCTAATGTTGGCTTCAGATACGTAGAACCATCGCCACCCCTTGACTTGTCGTTGCTTTAGGCCTCTTTTTTTCTTTCGGGGTTGGCCATGCATCATCCCATCAGCATCCCTACAGTACGCGAACCCTCCCCAGCGGCAGCGGGCAGTCGCGGAACCCTTGCATGCTTGGAAGCCCTTGAAGTGCCCAATGAAACAGAGTTTCCATGATGCCAAGGGTTGAGGGTTTAGGGTGTAGGGTTTAGGGTTTAGGGTTCAGTGTAGCTTTCATAGTATCCCGCAGAATGTCTGGAGTGCCCAATGCCCAGTCCCAGATGATCCCTACGGTGGCCTTCAACTTGCAGAGTCTTGCGAAAATCGGGAACTCGTTTATAAAATGGAATGGTTTCAGGACCCAAGGCCTCTCTGAACCTGAAAGGCCTGAAGTCGCTTTGGGGCTTTAGCGCTCTTTCTAGGGCTCTATTTCATGCTTTCAGGCTGAACTGCAATCTCCAAGAAGATGATACTCAACACATGAGTGTGTCCAGCTATGTCTTGCTCACGCAATTACAATGATCTGTAGACAGTAAGCTTCTAGTAGCAATGGAGCAGGGAGATAGCACCGCAGGGTTGCCTGGCAAAAGAGGACTTGCCTTGACTTTGACTTAGGACATCTGCGAACTTCCAGCGTCGCTACTGAACAGCAGCAAGATGCTACTAGGCGACAGAACGTACATGGGTTTCATTGCAACACCACACACAACTTGCGCTTGCAGTTGGCAAGTTGCCATTCTGTGAGCTGTGAGCGTATTGACATGGCTAGCTCCAAAGGAGCGGAGGAGCTTTTGAAACAGCTGCAAGCTCAGTTCGCTGCACAAGGGCAGAGTTTGGACAGGGACGATGTCCTGAATCTGGCTCGACAGCTCTACGTTGACGGTGCCCAGACCGATTGGTGTGAGGCCGCTGGGCAATCCGAGCCATTGACGACGCGGCTCAAGAACCTCCTGAAGGACTATCCAGCTGATGTTGGCCTCTTCAAGGAGATGGTGCAAAATGCAGATGATGCCGGAGCCACGCGGGTGCATTTTGTTTGGGACACCCGGCCGCAGAGGAAGGAGCGCCTCCTTTCTCCAGAGATGAAAGCCTGGCAAACCACGTGTCTCTGGTCATACAACGACGCGCCTGGAGATGTTCTTGAGGAAGTCTTTTCATTTTCTTGCTAAAAAGAAGAAGAAGAAGTGATCAACGAAGCGTAGTGACGTGCAACGATGTCTCCTTGGAAGCTGAGTAAGTTATCACATCTAAAAGCTTCAAAGAGCGCTTGAAGAGCAGATCTGAGGCCTTGTTTACGGAGGCGGACTTCGAAGCCATCTGCCGGCTCGGGGTCGGGGGCAAGAGGGAGAGGTCCGAACGCATTGGCCGGTTCGGCCTGGGCTTCAACTCCGTGTCTCGGTGTAGGCCCTCATTAAATAGGGGTATTTATTTTTACCATCTTCTCTATGTGTTATTTTATGTCCTTTGTTGGGTTAAAAAAGAGGCTCTTAAAGATTCAGGAATCTAGTTTTTTTTTTCAGAGGGTTTCATATAAAAGGGCCCTCCTAGGTGTACAACCTGACAGATGTTCCAAGCATTCTCAGTGACTCCCTGGTCCTGTTCCTTGACCCGCACGTGTCGCACTTGTCCAAGATGGGCGCGTCCACTCAGAAGCCTGGCATCAAGCTCCGCTTCTTGAAAGTCCGCGTCCTGGAGCGCTTCCCTGACCAGTTCGAGCCCTATCACAAGCTCTTGGGTTGTGATCTGGAGCCTCTGCTGGTCGGCTTCGGCTGGGGTAGCGGATGAAAGGGTTGGGTATATTCCCCCTGTAACGCTGCGTAACCATCCTTGACCCTACAGTTGCCTAACTCTTACTTGGGGAGATGGGGTCATTTTGGCTGCTTTGGCGCCACGCTCTGCATTTCGGACACCAAGGAGTCGGGCCAACCCTTTCAGGGCACCTTGATTCGAATTCCCTTCCGCACAAAGGAGTCTGCCGCCAGAAGCGAAATCAGCAAGATCATCGTGAATGATGAAATGGTGGCGGCACTGTCGCAGCAGTTTCAAGCTGAGGCGTACCAGTGGCTCTTGTTTTTACAAAACGTGCAGGAGGTATCTATGTCTCGCTTGCAAGTCCAAGATGGTGCTCCTGTGCTTCAGAACATGTTTTCGGTCTCCTTGGCGGGTCGTGCAGACAAGCTGACGAAGAGACCCAGTTTGGTGACATGCGGAAGCTCTGGTCGCAGTACTGCTGTCTCCACACAACTCGAGGTTGTGTGCAAAGGGCCTGATGGTCAGACACAGCTGCGCAGATATCAGCTTTTCACAGATGCACAGCATGGGTTCAAGACACGTGTGTGTTTGGCTGTTCCTCTCTTCCGGGAGCAAGATGGTTGCGATGGTTGGTACCACGATGAAGATGGGCGGGTATTCTGCTTCCTCCCTCTTCCACGCAACATTGACTTGGGGCTAAGGCTGCACGTCCATGCGCCACTGAACATGGCGCAGGACAGGCGTAGCATGCTGCTCGACAACCGCATCGGGGAGTCGGAGCAGGAGCTGGTGCGGCACAATTTGCTGCTGTTGGAGGACCTCATTCCGCCGGGCGCTTAGCCTGACAGCAGTGTCAGAACATCTCCTGAGCTCAGCATGATCTACTGTGCCCATTTCTCTCTGATGTTCTCTAATTAATTTCTTGCGACTTATGACTTGTTTTTGGAGACGGCGCCTCTAAGAGGCCGTGCGAGTAACCACAATTTCTGGGCTCGGGGTTGGGTTGGGGTAATCACGTGACTTGGGAAGCAACTCCAAAGGCTGAACCTCTAATCCCCAAAGGCCTAAACCCTTGCTGTTTAATTCGGGGTTTATAAGCAAAACGCGCCCGCGCCTAGGCGAGAGCGCAATTTCAAGCAAAAAGTGTGTCCGAAACTTCAAAACGACACCCCCGAGAAAAAAACACAACAAACAAACGATCCTTAAACCCAAAAGAATAGTCCAAGCAGTGCAAACCCAAATCCTGAAACCTGAACCCTGAACTTTGAACCTTGAACCCTGAAGAAGAATCAACTTGAGGCCACTTTCAGGATCCAGTGCACAAGTCTGTTGGGTTACAACCAAAGCACAATTCTAGAAAATCATGCCTGCGCTGTGGCGAGAGCACTATTTCGAACCTGAACTGCCGGAGCCATAACGCAGAAAAAACTTCCCGAACCGAAAATCGCCATTTGAAAGTTCAGGAATGAGCAAAACGTGCCCGCGCCTAGGCGAGAGCGCAAATTCGAGCAAAAAACGCGTCCAAAACTTCAAAAAAAAAGGACCCCCTGGAAAAAAACAACCAAAAAAACGATCAGGATTCGAGCGAAAATGCATTTTTCCGAAAAAATGACCTAACCCTTCAGTGTTTTCGAGCCCTGCAAATGCTGCGGTGATCACGAAAATGTGTGTTTCGCTTGGGTTTTTAGCCCCCGACGCGAAAAATGTAAACAAAAAATGTGTTCACTCACACGGCCTCTTACGGGCGCCGCCACCTTGTTTTTGAGTGACTCTCAGACACGGTGGCACGCTCTGGCTTCTCCAAGGTCCGCTCTCGTCTCCTGCCTTATGGACCTGGCGGTGAAACGAAATCAAATGCCCCCGTCCCACTTCTTTACATTGTTTCCAAGACTCTTTAATTGCAAGGGGAATCTTTCGCCTTCGGACCGCATCGCAAGAACCTTCTACGCGCGGCTCCTGGGCCTCGTCAGAGGAGAGTCATGCCCTTTACCGGTGGCCGCGACACAAAGTGCTCGGAGCCAAAGTCGCACCGAGGCCCCTCCAGGCTACTGGGTAAAGGTGCCGGATGCTGTTTTTGTCCCGACTGCTGGCACTCCGGGTGTGGAACAGGTTTCTCAGAGCTTGCTGGACAATGTTGTGGAGTGTTTGCTCCGCTGCAGCGTCCCGCTGGTGGATGTCCCCCAGCCTGTTTTGGAATCGATTGAACGAGTCCTAGAGCCACGACAGCCTGTCATCTTGACACCGGCGTGGCTCCGGCAGTATCTGCGGTCTGCAGCAGGCGGCAAGCAGACCCACATGCTCAAGAAGCAGCAGGCTTCGACGGTCTTTTCGGAGCTGACGCCAGAGAATGTGGCCAGCTTCCTGGAGTTCTGCATGGCTGATGGCAAGACTGCTGACTTGCAAGGTGTGCCCTTGCTGCTGTGCGATGATGAATTGACGGTGCATGTATTTTCCAGCGATGCGCAAGCCGTGTTTTTCCCTCAAAGTCAGCTGGAGCGCCGGCTTTTCCCGAACAAGGAAGGGCGGAAGCTACTTCTCTCTGTGAGGTTGGAGTCCCGACCTGTCGTTTGGGCAAAGCTGAGGGAACTTGTGCAGCGAGAGAGTTCATCTTTCCAGTGCAAGGTGGTGACTTTTGAGCTGCTCATTGCAGCTTTGCAGTCGCTCCTGCCTCGCACTTGGAATGATCCCGTACCTCAGGTTACTTCTTCGGACTACTCAGATTGGATCGAGGACTGGCTTCAGGCTATGTGGAAATGGCTAGATGCGAAAGAGATTCCTCTTTCACGGCTAGTTCACTGGCCCCTGATTCCGAGCCTATGCGATGGGTCCAAAGTAGACCTGTTCCGAATACCTGAAGCCCACAAAAAAGTCCTCTTCTCGGACAGCAGGCCTCGGAAACCACCGCCTCCACCCCCGCCAGGCCAACCGCCCAGCTTGGTTCCGGCCCAGCCATCCCAGCCATCCCAGCCTTCCCAGCCTTCCCAGCCTTCGCCTTCCAGTCCTCCAGAAAGACAGACGCCCGAGACGCCCGAGGCGCCTGTCGCACCTCAGCCAAGCACTTCGGAAGTTCAGCCGACACCCGTGCTCATGCAAGAGCTCCTTATGGCACTCCAGTGCCGTCCGGTCTGGGAGCCTGCATGGATACTGGATCATCACCAGAAGCAGCTTCGCACTTGTGTGCACGCTTCAACGTACGAGGGCTTTCTACGAAGCATCCACTATGCAGGCAGGCTTCTGTCTACTTCCAAGGGCGACCAAGGCGACAAGAGACTGATGAGGGCCGCACTTCACTCGTCCCTCTGCAAGGGCATTGGTACATTGGGTGGTGCATCCGGTACATGGCATGCTAGGGCTTTGCTGCTGGTAGCTGCAAACGTCCAGCGCGAGGGTTGCACGTGCGAAACAGCCACAGCTCCCAATTGGAAGCTACGATGCGATGCTTTGTCCGGGCTCCCCTTGTTCTGCAAGTTTAACCAGCCTTTGCAGCGACTCTGCTTGGACAGAGCACTGGTCCTGCCTCCTGAGACCTGTCCACAGGTGGTCTCTGCTTTGCGAGCTGCACAGACAGAGCTGGCTTGCGCCGAGATCCCCGAGGATGTGCTTTCTGCATTGACGGCCCCCGAGTCGGCGACGGTGTCGTCCCTTTTGCGGGATCTGAGCCTGCCAAGGCTGAAGTGGGCAGACTTGCTGCAGGCATGGTTCAACAGGGAATGGTCGTAATGTGGCCAGCACGTGGTGTGTTAACGCTTCTTCACTCATGGCAGCTGTGCATGCGGAGAGTGTGAGTGTGAGAGCATGCGAGGGCATGACTCATGTGAGGATGTGAAAATGGGTTCCCCTGCAGGAGCAAGTCTTCCCCTGGGCAACAAGCCCTTCCAACAACGTGGTCGTGCGCCAAGGCCTGATGAGGGCCTTGGTTTATCACTGGCGAGATATGGAATTGATGGGCCACCAAGCATGCTTGGAGGCACTGCAGCGCATTCCATTCGTAAGTACTGTCGGGGGAAGCATCATGTCGCCCGCTGATGTGCTGGATCCCACTGTGGAGAAGCTGCGCGCCTTGTATGGGCCCGGTGATTTTCCGGGACCTTTTCCAGACAGTCGCTGGCTGTCGGCAGAGTGCCGTGCAGTGCTCCACTACAGGACTGAGTTGAGTTACCAAGAGATCAGTGAGAGACTTGGCTTCCTCCACCAAATCGAAAAGCATCGACGCAGCGCAGTCCAACCAGTCCAGCAAGACCAAGAGAAAGGAATGAAAGGAACTGTTTCGCAGGAGGTTCGAGCAGTTGCCGCGGCTTTGGTGAGGTATGTCTGCGATGACGTGTGCCCTGCCTTGAGGGATGCGCAGGACACGAAGGACACGGATCATCGGAAACGGCCCCAGGAAAACCCGCGGCCTTCGGAAGGGGGATTTTGGCAGGCCCTGGACTTTGTAGGAATGCTCAGCGCAACTGCAGAAGCTGCGATAGCTGCGAAGCCGACGAAAGCTACCAAGCTCTCCTCCGATGAGCTCACGTCGATCCTGTCCAAACTGCAGCAATGCTTCTGGCTTGCACCCCTCCCGCGTCCAGATGGATGGCCTCTTGAGGCTCCCTGGAGGGGTTCGGAATGTGGCCTCTGCTCGGCGGAAGAGGTGCTCTCGGCCCCTCTCGGCCCCTCTTGCCTCTTTCTCTCACTCTCTCTCTCTCTCTCTCTCTTTCTCGCTGTCTCTTTCTCTCTCTCTGCCTCTCTCGCTCGCTCAGTCGTGCTCCAGTGCTCTATGTTACTTTGTCTGCACGTGTCGCGCTGCCAGGTGCGATTGGCGTCAGAGGAGTATCTGGTTGGCATGGTGGGCACATGATGGCACACCACTTAAGTCTGACTTGTAGGAATGTGATTCCTCTGCTTTGGTCCAGGTGCGTCCACTCATTGGCCTCGTCACGTCCTCATCTCCAGGCTCCCATGGTAATTACTGAGCTGGGAATCGCTTACCATCACTTAGTCACTGCAGTCACTACAACTCGTGTTGCGATGTTCCTGTGTCGCGTGCCTCACGCAGTCAATGTATGTCAAAGTCTTCTTGGCACCAGTAGCTCGCTGAGACACCCTGGTACACACGCAGCACCGTCATTGCAGATGGCCAGGCGGTGGTAGGCTCTCCCATCACTTCATCGCGAGGGTCTCAGAAATACCGCATCTAGCCATCAGCCACCACGGAGCCAGTTGCCTTGGTTTCGGGATGAAGGAGTGCCTTGGCCTGATGAACAAGCCAAGCGACGACTTGATGAAGAAGCAGCTCGAGAAGATACAGGCAAGGTCAGGGCAGTTGCATTGCAATGTGGAATAACAGGGGCGGGCATTTCCAAGGCGTTGATTCCTGTCAGCGGAGTGGTTGAGCGTAAGACGCGACCTCTGCAAGCCAAGTCATGTGCGAGCTGTGGCATGCTACACTCAGGAATGGGTGTCAACCCTTTCGGATGAGAAGAAAGAGGCACTCGGAGCCGATGTACACCAATGTGTTCATGAACAATCATACCATTGCAGCCCTTTGAGACCTCGCCTGCAAGGTGAACTCCCCATGGATTACTCGGTGCCTATATGACTATCTCTATCCCAACTTCTTGAGCGCTGCACGCGCAGAGGCCCATGAAGTGATTCAACCACAGCATTTGTTGTCCTTCTGCTTCTACAACCTTTCTCACAACCTTCTATGTCCCTCGTTCCCTGAGATCGACCAAACGTGACGCTCATGTCGGCACCATGTTGAGGCTTTTGCCCGCGACAGCAACGAGCAGCTGTGGGTGAGGACCCTGGAACAGGAGATATGTCATGAGAGTCATCTTTTATTACTGCTTGCAAAGAGAGGGATGAGCTATGATGAGCTTGCCTTCAGAGCTGCTTAGGTGCCACAGGGAGGCTTCCTGCCCATGTGCAGGATAGCACGGCAGCATATCGAGTTTCCGCCGCATTTGGTGAAGGCAGCCTCCTAAGGCAAAGGGCCAAAGGAGCCAAAGGTAAGTCACGTCTTGAGTTCTGGCTCAGGCCCCCCCGGAGTGGAGGGAGAAAATCCCTGCTCTATGGTCCAAAGTCAAGGAGAGCTTCGGAGTAAGAGACTGCAGTGAGGCGGGCGCCCTCTTCAGCAATTTTTGAGGACCTTGCAGTCCCCACGAAGTGCCACAAGATGTCCCATCAGGCCTTGTGCAGGATGGCCGATTCTGCAAAGCAGTCGGGCAGCGGCCCCAGTACCTCCCATTTCGAGATTCAACAGTGGTGGCACAGAAGAGCCCCGAATATCGCAGACTCAGCAGATTTCTTGGTCTTAGGACGGGAGTCCCTTGACCCTGAACCTCTGGACAGTGCTGTTCGCCTTGTCCTCGCCATCTCGGACATGTTGCAGCAGGAGTTGCAAGACACTGACATCGTACAACACGTGTGCAAGCTCTGTTCACTTTGCGTAACATCTGTGATTGTCAATGGCGCGGGAGTTGCAAAGGTGTACTTGCGGTTTCGCTTGGATGCAGACAGGGTGACCTGTGTTGGAGCGTGGCGTTGGCGGTGCTGAGGTGCGTGTTCAGTAACTCATCACCCCGTCGTGGCTTGGCAAGTGTCTAGTCAGGAACGTGTGAAGTGCCGAGTCACACAAGCGTCGTCATCATCGAGTCGCAACCCCGAACGTCGTACTGCCTCCCTACCATTCAAATTGGCTCAACCTAACCATGGAAAGAACACGTGAAATGGAAAAATTGGGCAGACTTGGCACAGATTAAACGGCGGCTACCTCTGCTCACAGGAGCTACCTTTCTGCAGGCGCTGAGGCATGCCCCCTCATCAGTCTGACTGAGTCATACTGAGCCAGAAATTCGACAGGCACTGCCGGTACGCCCATTCATATGCTGGCCGAAGCCTGCTGTCAGCAGACACAGCAGGAACGTGCTCGGAAGGTGCCGCGAGGGGTAATCCGCCACGTTCTCCCCGTCTAACCCAAATTGCAGCATTTCAAGAACTTAAAGTTCCAGACTACTTCCTCCAGCGGATCGCCGCTGCATCATTCGTCACCTGCGTACCGTTCAAGAAATTTCGCGTGCAACCAAACCAAGCCTGGGCGAGAAAACGGAGTTTTGGAGGGGGGACACAGGAACTCCAAAACCCGCGAAGTGCTGACTCTTCTGGAGCATCAGCAGATCCACCGATTGAATTGGCTGACCTGGGACCTAGTCATTTCCTTCGCTTGCAAACGGCCTGGCGAGAATTTGATGTCTCATGCCCGGAGCATCCGTTCTACATTAGCAGGCAGATCGCTTTGAAACGAGCGGCCTGCTTGAAAACGCTTAGCAAACCATTGAGCAACGTGGTTGAGTCGAGATCAAGGGCACTAAGCAAGCTGTTTTAACCTGTTTGCCCGGACCAAGACCGTGGTCTCGACCGTTTTATCATTGCATCTACTTGCTAACTTGAGCACTGACGTGCCAAACCCTTTGCGCCTCTCGGCTCCTCCAATTCGACAGCGGAACCGGCTTGTCGAATGCCGAAGCGGATGTCACGTATCTGTCGCTTGAGGGTTTCGCCCAAAATGTGACTTCTGGCTCGCGCTGGAGCGGATGTCATTCATTCAACCATTCCGACCCGTTTCTCTCGCATTTCTCTGCTCGATGTGGCCTTGATTTCTTGGTAAGGCTATCTACTATTAGTTGGATGCAGGAGAGGTTTTCCTCGTCAGCAGGGCAGTGTTATTCTCCGAGCGTCACGAGTTCGTAGCCCCATCCTGTTGCCAAACCAGTGCACAGTCGCTCAAGAAGTAGAACCAAAAGCAGGCGACACGAGCTGACTCAAAGTGAATCAACATACAGCATATTCAAATGCACTCTGTGCCAAATTAACTGGAACACGTGTGAGATTCCTCTGCAGTGTGTGAAGTGAAATGCTCTTCTTGTTCTTGTGAAAACAAGAACGATGCCACCCCCGCACTAAACGAGGCCCTTACAAGGGACCTCAGGGGCTATTTAGTGGTCATTTAGGGGGCGACTTCGGTACATAGGGATTATATAAGATATATATATATATATATGTAGGGGGTATATAGGGGAATAAGATTACGCGTCCCTTGTAGGGGTCCCTCATACCCCCTTAATACGAAGTCCGGAGCATGGCCGGCTGCTTTTATCGAGTTTCCCCCGTTCGATGGAGGAGCGCGCGGAGCACGCCGGCGCTGCGGCCCAACACAGCAAGCTCGACATCCTGATGCCGACAACGGATTTTCGGAATCATGGGTTTAGGGTTTAGGGTTTAGGGTTTGGGGTATGTTGCTGACTGCGTTCTGCAATCTCGCCCGTCCTTTGGCGTCATCAGTCGCCGACCAGCTTAGGAGTGTGCGCTGCGCTCTGCCCGCGACTGCGTCTTCAACAACATGACATGGCCTCTTGGCAGCATAAGCCGATCTTGGCGTCACACTTGGCTTTTGAGGAATTTTAACCAGCATCTGATTCAACAGGCTCCCAGACGTGGAGACAGCAGACCTGAACCTTGGAAGCTACGGCACGGTGCTTTCAATGCTGGCTGAATCTTGCTCCGCTTTTTTTTTTCTCCGCTGTTGTGTCGAGCAAAAAGGCCTTGTACATCAGAAGATCTCTCATGCGGTCGCCCACACCTGTGGCTGTCTGGAGCTTGGACCGTGAAATCAGTTCGCGATGTCTCAGTCACAGTGCTGCTGAGATGTTTGTGAGTGGCCTTCGGTCCGTTTTGTCCTAATTTCAACTACGTTTGGGCTTGTCAATAACCCCGTGCCATTGCGTCTGGTCTTGGCCTGATCCTGGCTACAGAGATGTTGGCTGGCTATCAAGTCGATGAAAAGCCAACCCCGGCTCCCGGAAGTGTCGATGTTGTTAAGGCAGAGGCCTCTCGCTGGTCTATGCCCGGGAGGAGCTGCTCTACATTCTGACAAGTTCTACTACGCCTCTTCACCGATTGATGGTATGGATGCCTGTGAGATAACGCATTTCCGTGAAGAGGCAACGGAGATGCACGGGGCAGATTGGTGCGAGGCGGCGGGCCAGAGTGAGCAAGGGCCTTGTGATTTTAATTTGTTCAACGCGCATTGCTGCCGCATGGGTGGTGGCCCAGGCCGATTACCACACGCCTGAAAAATTTGCTGAAGGAGACCATAGGTCGTCAACAGCTCCTTGCCACGTGACACATTCTACGCCTGCTCATGTGACGAGGACTACCCGGCAGATGTGAGCATGTTCAAAGAGATGGTGCAAAACGCAGATGATGCCAGCGCGACTGAGGCGAAGCAAATGAGGTCGTTAGTCGGTCTTCGCTCGTAGCTCGTTTCCGTCGTTTCCATGGGCCTGGTCAGCAGGTGCATTTCGTTTGGGACTGGCGCCAGCACAGGAGGTGCGCCCCTTGTACATGAAGAGTTGACGTTCGAATCATCGAAGTTTGTCATATGCGGAGCCCGTTGCCTGGGTGGATCATCAGAAGGTTAAGCTCCCAATTTCAAGCGTTTCCGCTGCTCTGCCCGACTTTTCTTAGCTTACCAAGCAGGTTACCGTGGTTACGAGTACGACTCACGGGGAAGGGAGGGAAAATATGAAAAGGTGGCGCTGGGGTGTGGGCACCATCGCAAATCGGTGCTCACCAGTGCCCTTACCTTGGATCTTTCAACCGAGCGCTTGAGACTGGAGCGCGCGCCGCACGGTTGTTCGGCCCTGTGAAGCACGCAGGGACCGACAGAGGCAGACAGAGAGGCAGAGCAACAGAGAGACCGAGAGAGAGACAACGTGAAACGACCAGGGGTGTACATAGCGGAACGCCGGGCAGTCTTGCCCACCCCTGTACGAGTCTTGGCTTCTGAAGTCGGCGTGGCCCAGGCCTTCTCTCCCCCACTCTCTCTCTCTCTCCCCCCAAACTGATGAAAGACTCGGCGAGACTGCGCGAAAAAGTTGAAAGACTAGACTCGACGTTCCACTATGTACACCCCTTGTTGGCTGTCAACGTTGTCTATGTCTCGGTCTCTCTAAAGAATAAATAGAAAGGGCGAGAAGGAAAACACAAATTCTGAACAGAAGAAGAAGAGGAGGAAAGACAAAGCAGAAGAAGGGGCAGAGTCCCTCACTGAGGGCGGGGAATCTAGACTGCGCAGCGCGCTTGTGAGAGAGTCTGCCCCGTGCAAACCTTCAGAATAAAAGAAGCCGCATTCTAGAAGAAAAGCAAGAGCTCGCGCGTGGGCCTGAAGGGGTACGTGCTGTGTTGTTCGAGGAGGGTCTAAGAATTGAGGAATGTCGGCCCTGTCGGTCCAATCAAGCCACGCTAGAGCCCCATTGTCTGCAGCGTGCCAGGCAATCCTTGCTAACCCCGGACATGGACCGCTGGTCTGGTGGCCAAGTACCCTTCCCTGTCTCTTTCTCTTTGTCCTTCTCGCTCCCTCTCTCACATTCCCTACCCACACTCTTTTTCTGCCTCTCTCTGACCTTCTAACATGAGGCAAGGGCCAGCGCTGTGGATCTTCAATGATGCACAGTTCTCGAGTAAAGACTTTGAGAGCATCTGCCGCCTCGGTGTTGGCGGAAAACGTGAGCAGAGCAGGACCACAAGCCTTCGAGTTGTGGAGCTGGTGCACATTTTGTAGTTTTTGTCGATCCTCGGTACAGCGTAGTGCACTTCTGTCTTGCTTCAGGAAGATTGGCAGGTTTGGATTGGGCTTCAATGCAGCCCTTTGTTCCCAAAAAGCAACAGTAGCGGTGGCATCGTTGTGTTTTGCTGTCCTTGCCACAGGTCATCACTGTGACATCTGAGGTGTACAACTTCACAGACTTGCCCAGCATTCTGAGCGATGATATGGTGACAACCCCAGTTCTGCTCCTGCAATCTCTTGCACAATCCTCCCTCATCCGTTCATTCCTCGATCCCAGACCATCACCCCCGGGTTCCCCCCCCCCCCCCCGCCCCAGCAAAAAGAAAACATGCGGGCGTCGCGTGTTTACTGTGGTCGGTGGAGAGCAATCGTCTTGGAGCCTCGTACTGTACCAGGAACTTGATGTGTCCTTTTTTCAGGTGCTGTTCCTGGATCCTCATGTGCATCACCTGTCCGCCATGGGGGCATCTGCCACGACCTGAGGTAGTGCAACTGTGACGGCAGCCCGCAGACTGTCACTGACGCAGGTGCAGAAACCGGGCATCAAACTTCGTTTTCTGAAGATCAAGGTGGGGCGCGCGTGGGCGGTCTGAGTGCAACAGATAGGCTTGTTTGGTGCTGCTGTCGCGTGGCCTGCACATTTGCTACCCCAGGTCTTGGAAAAATTCCGTGATCAGCCGCTCGGCAGCAAGCTTTCTTGTGCTTTCTTTCTGCTTGCAGTCGAGCCTGTGTTGGCACCAGATGGCACCAGCATGCCGGCAGGTTCCTGCCATACCATCAGCTCCTGGGGTGTGACCTGGCCTGCTCTCGGCCATTTCCGGGTACGCCAGGGACTCGTAGATGTCATTGGGACATTGTGTGTGAACTCGTGTGTGCACTTGGCTGACTTAGCTAGCATCCGACGGAGTCTGAGTGGTCAGCCGAATCTCGTTTCCACGCGACCCTCCCTGGTCAACGAACTTGTTGTTGGCATGTGCTCATCTACGTCGACATGTCGCGCAGTTACAGATGACGAGCTTGAACCATCCATGGACCGCGCAGCTCTGCACACTCCTTTCACGGTCTTCGACGAATCGAAGGCACCGTCTCAGGCCCGCCCCGTTCCTGGACGCTGGGCAACATGCCTCCGGGCCTCAGGGTACTCCAAGTTTCAAAAGCGCCCCTCCGCGTAGTGTCCCTACATCATTCAACTACGACATGCTTCGTTCGAAGTTTCTCGAACACCGGATGCTCTGTGCTGCCATCCCAAGCCTGGCTGCTGTTGCGATAAAACTCGAACTGAAGACTCCTCTTTGCATGCGAGTGCCTGTACTATCCGCGCGCGCGGGTTCTTCCGACGACTCTCTACCATGGCATCCTTGCCATTACACTGCCACGCACTCCATGCTCAGATGCTAATTTGAGCTGGGGCCCATCACCTTTTGCCACGCAGCAGGGGAAGCGAGGTTTGTGGTCCAGGGAGGCCTGAGCGAATCTCGGATGGAGTTGCCGTGGTGCCTACATCGAGGACAGAAACATCTACGCGTCGGCTGCATTCCATGTCGCTTCCCACTGCTTCCCATGAACAACTCTGAACCACCCTGAACCACCCTGAGCCACTCTGAACCACCATCCGCCGTTTGAGCATGTTTCAGCTGCTTGAGGTTGATGCGGGTGCCTTTCAGAACTGCGGAGGTGGCAAAGGCAAGCGAGGCAAACGCCTCAGCTAACACATCTTGAGGCTTGCAATGTGTCGTCGTGAAAGTGTCTGAGACACATCGAGGAAAACAGCTGCCCAGATTCATGAAGCTTCAATATGGTTGGAACACTTTCCCCTGTCAGAGGGGGGTTGTAGTCACATCCACACCTCCTCTGAGCCTTTTTTTTCAGGTGAGCAACATCCAGATGGACAAGGCCCTTGCCGCTGAGTGGCCAGCTTAGCTGCTGAAGCCTTCACCATTTCGGATCTGGGGCTTGGGCTGTTGCCGGCGGGAGAGGCTCACTTCTCAGTTCCGAGCAGAAGCCTTCCAATGGCTACTCTTTCTGCAGAATGTTGCCAGGACTGCGTCTTGCACTTACTCATCACTAAGCAGTTGGCCGTCCCGTTAGTCCTGCAGCATCCTGCAGCACAGCCCCCGCAGGATCCGGCTGTCGGAAATCCACGAGAACGGTGGGGAGGATGTCTCGATGACAACGATTTGCGAGGCACCTCTGCCTCTTCTGCTCCAAGTGGCTGTATGTCACTGTGCGGGATTGTCCTGCGCCTTGCCACTTACTTGGAGTGACGGGTGCTGTTCGGTGCATGAAGCTCAGCTTGCCAGGTGAAGATGGCACTGCCCCCAGCAATGCCTGGCGTGGCTGAGGAGTCGGAGGCGACTGCAGATGACGTGGCAGCGCCATCCGGCACAGCTGCCAAGCGCATTTCTGCCATCGGCTCTGATTGTGACGGGGCCCTAGACTTGCGACAGCGCGGCGCCTGCGAGCCTGTATGCCAAGCAACGGAGGTTGTAGCCGACATCACAGTTGATGCAACGGACGCCAGCTCTCCGGGACACCGCAGTCACCACTACAGGCATGGTGTGGTCTTACTTGTAGCAGCTGTGAGTGGCAGACTCTGGCCAACTCAACTCTGGCATGCGGGCTCTTGTAAAGAGTGACATGCCAGGCTCATTGGTGGGGCAGATTGTGGTGTCACCGAACAGGTGTGCATCGCTCTGCCTTTGGTCGCTTGACCCTCAGCAGAAGTGTCTGCGAGCACTGGCCGGGGCATCCGTTCGGCTGGCAACTTTGCAAGGAGCTTCCTCAAAGGCGAGATGATCAGGCGGCCAGCCGAGTGCAGCTGTCAAAGGAGGAGGCCAGCCCGTCTTGCACCTTTTGACATCAATAGAGTTGATTACTGTACGGCCTCTCGGGAATCAAGTCAGATTCGTGTCGTGTTGTCTATCAGAGCGGCCCAGATGTCAGGGCCGACTGTTCTGCTTCCTGCCGCTTCCAAAGAGTGCGATCTCGCTTCGACTCGCTGCTCACGTTCATGCGCCGCAACCACAGCATCATACAGTAGCAGTATGTTTCATGAGTCATGAGTGTGACAGGTGCAGCATCCAGGTCAGAATGCATGGCGATGCCGCTCTTGTTACGCTGTGCTTCAGGCCTTTGAACACCACGCAAGATCGTCGAAACGTTCTCATGGATGATCGAGTTGGCGAGAGGGAACTTATCACCAAGAACGCAGCTGTCCCGATCTGGCATGAAGATTTCCTGTCACACAGGCATGAGCGACAGCTTGGAGCAATTGATTTCAGGTTCGTCTGCTCGACGTTCGTATTCCGGAGTGTTCAGCTCAGACCACCGACACCACAAACTTACGACAGCAAGATGTGGATGATGCAGGTGCATTGCTCGCTGCGTACTAAACCTCGCGACAAGGGCCTCTGCACAGGAAGCACCTTGCTTCTTCTTCCGTGAGCTATTGTGTTATTGGTCACGCACATCACCTCGCAGGATTTCTTCAGCGTCTTCCCGATCTTGCATCCAACTGCTCGTGCTGGAGATGGTGCGCCGGTTAAATGCCTTCATGTGTCATGACATCCAGGATTGTTCGTTGCTTTCGTTCATTCCGTTCGCGGTATGGTGAGTCGCTGTGTCATGTTTGGTCATGTTTTGCTGCCCCTGCAGAAATCCCACTGCGCACTCACTTTGTTGCAGCTGTTTCAATGCCCTCCTTGCACCCGATCCGGAGGCAAGCAGGAGGCTGCCGAAAGCACCGTTGCAGATCGAGTCGCCGGGTGCTCGAACACCATGTTAAGACATCTCAAGCTCCGTAATTACTAATAGTATTCCCTTATGGTGCCTTTATAGCTATACTATAAGAATCCCCAAAGCCCTATTCGAATGATTAAGGCCCCTTATATCACTCTGAAGGTTGCCATGTGCCAATGGCAGCCACTGCGCTCAGGCACAGTCCTTCTACAAGCTGCTCATCCGGCGCTCGGAGTCGTTCTTCCCGACGGTGGCGCCATCCTCAGCCCGACTTGCCCCAACATGGCCAGATCGAAGTGGCATACTGGAGCCGGGATCTATCTAAGTCTATCTATCCATATATCGTTCATATACATATATACATATATACATATATACATATATACATATATACATATATATATACATATATATATGGATTATATATATATATATATACATACACACATACATGCATATGTGCACGCTTCAGATTTACATGTGGTTGATAATCGGAACCCTCCCCTCCACCCCCTCACCCCCTGTTTTTGCGGTGGAGAACCGAGTTCGGAGAGGTGGGCGGGGGTGGGGTGGCGGGTGGGGTGGGGGGGGGTGCGGGGTGTATGCTAAAGGTCGTGCCATCCAACCATGAAAATCCACGTGTCCAAACAGACCCAATCTCTCTCTCTCTCTCGCCATAGGTATGTCTGTATGCCAGACCCTAAACCCTAACCCTAAACCCAAATGTCTGTATGTGTATGCTTTTGACTCCGAAGCCCACTATTGTCACTGGAGGCACCTTCCGAGGGATTGGAGTGGAGAACCTGCGTCCCCTTCAGCGAGGCGGTCTTCTGCTCACCGCGCGAGGCCGCTCTGCCGAGCTTGTAGGGTTTAGGGTTTAGGGTTTAGGGAATAGGGACCACTAAAAACACAGTTGATGTTTCCAAAGCAGGGTGAAGTTGCCCCGGAAGTTTGTGCCGGGTAACTGATGCAAGTCTTGCAACCATAATTTTCCTCATGCAGGATGCAAGCTGGCAGGAGTGCGGCCTTTAGTGTAAGGCTAAACCAGTGCCTAGCAGCAGAGAAGAAGCTTGAGTTGAAGGCAAGGCACCCGACAAGAAGGCAAGAATGGAGAAGGGAACACCATGGCCACTGGCACAGTTGCGAGAACCAGAATCAAAGTGCAAGGCCAAATGTGACTGGTCCTGGAACGTCATGTGCGAAGATCATGCCACACGTTTTTGTAAGCTGGGGACGGCTATCACTAGCCGGGCATCTCCTTAGTCAGATTTTGTGACGCGTAAGGCGTAGGGCCTCACAAGGCAGTTCCATGAGTTGCGACATGTTGATAGATGTTGCATGCGCAGCTTTGCGCAGCATTGCACGCTGCACCTTTGGTATAGGCAAAGCTGAGCGGGGGTCCGGCGGACCAGGGCCCTGCGCTTCTGACGGCAGTGTGCCAATGCGCAGCCCCGAGCGATGCTTTGCAATGCTGCGGGCAATGCTCTGCGCAATTCTCTGCAAATGTCAATGTGTGATTGTGTGCTTCATGGTCTTGACGTTCCCAAGGCCTTGCGCGTTTCGGTGTTCACGTGGTCAAGATCCCGCTCCGTGTGCTTGAGTCCTTTGAGCAAGTGCTGCATCCAGCACAGCCACGCGTGTAGAGCCCTGAGTCAGACAGACCTTGCAATGGTGTCCTGCCCTAACTTCAGACTTCACTTGCACTCTGCGAGAGTCGAGTATGGAGGTTGACTCCAGCGTGGCTGCGCCAGTTCCTCCGAGCAGTTGCTGCAAGCAAGCCAAGCCAGGGGCCCAGGGGCCCAGGGGCCAAGCCAGGGGCCAGGGGGTGAGTGGCCGGATTGGACACGAAGCTCAGCTCCGTCAATTCTGAAATGTCCTGAACACTCGAATCACCCGAGGCTTCGTGGTTTCGGAGGACGCGAGGTATGCCCGGGCCGTGGCAGAACCTGACAGTGCAACGGCTGTGTTTTCAGAGGCTCGGATTCGAGTCTGCCAAACTCAGGATCCCAGTTCTGAGAAGCAAACGGAGGTGTCCATCGCGTCCTTGACTACAGAAGAGGCTCTCAGATGCATTGTGCAGAGTGTAGACAGTGTGGGCCCCATGATAGCACATGCATGGTACTGAGCCCATAGCTAGCATCGAATCCACCGGGACAGACTTCGGAGAGACCTTTTTTTGTAGACGTTCTTCGTCACACGAAGGCCGTGGCATTGTTGGACTATGCCATGGCGGACGGGGAGTTTTCGGACCTGGAGGGAGTCCCATTGCTGATCTTAGAGGCTGGGGATGGCTCCACCATTGCTTTTTATACTTCCGGCACAACTGTGCGCCGCACAATTGTGCAAAATGGCACAAGCAACGCAGCTCCAGCAGCTCAATGATCACAGGATTCAGCAGCCGGGACGGTGGCCTTCACTGCGAAGAAAAGCACCGGGATCTTCGTACCCGAGGACGCTTGAGGATGCGAATGGAAGCAACTTCCCCGACTCGCGCTGATCAGGACGATGAAGAGTACCAGCTGCTTCCACAGGCGAATGAGTCAGACAAAGTTCTCGAAACAAAAGAGGGCGGAGAGCCATCTTCGCTGATTGGCCTCAAATTAAGCTCCTCACATGTGCAAGAATCTCAAGGCACCGCGCCGGCTGCTTTCAAGGAAAGTCCGAGCTCTCCGGCCTTGGGCCACTGGCTTAGCCATGGAGTGATTCGCCTCAAAGCGGCTGTTTACCTTTGCTGCGCCTTTGCTTTTGCTCTCCATGTGACATAGCTGTGTCGGGCTGTAGGGGCTTCCGAAGGTTTTCTGTAGGGGCTTCCAAAAGTGTCTGCTCTTTCACAGTGGCTGAGAAAGACGGCTTGCGAATGCGCAAAGTATGGACAAGTGATAGGTTTCCAATAGTTGCAAAATCGCATCCTTCTGAAACACACAAGCAGGTTGAACATCTTCAACACAGTCTGGGACATCTTGAAAGGGGCATGATGTATGGCAGATTTCCACTTCTGGGATTATGGAATGTTGAGACTCCTGGTCTGGAGTTTTATCGCCATCTCGACGAGACGTCTTTGAGAAAACGACTGTGTGTTTTCTTTACTTCCACTTTCAAAATCCACTTCAACGGTTCGGCGAAGCATGGAAGGTTTAGCTGCGATTCATGAGATGGATGCCACGGATGCCAACATGAAGCCCACATGCTTTCTCGGCAATGCAGCAAGCAAGGCTCTCACGAAGAGAAGCGTACGGTGTAAAGGTCCTTGGGATAGAATGAACCTGGAAGATGTTCACCAAATCGGTCCTGAACAAGAGCTTCGGAAGTTTAACAATGGGAATTAGGCAGTTTGTTCCACAGACCTCGGTTCGCAGTGTAACTGAGGGACAGAACACACAAGTTTCTCAATGACCCATGGTGATTTGTAGGTGTGGCAGCACCTGCGACGTTTAGCTTCTGGCGACGTTCAGCAAGAGCAAAAACCCTCAGGCACGTCGGATTTGTGGAAGTCTTGGCTGGTCAGAGTGAACCTTGGGAGTTCTAGGCACTCCGACCCCCAGCTTCCAGCGGAAGCCCCAGAACAGGGTGTTCATCTTTGCGAGGATGGTGACATGTGTTAAACGGTGTTTTTTTTTGACAATCTTGACTGTTGCCTCCAGGCTCAAGAGGATGACGGTTGAGCCACTCATGGCTGCTCTACAGGCTGTTCACTGACGTGAGAATTGCCTTAAAGCTGCGCCCCAAATGGATTTGCTGAGGAGTTGCTGCCGAAGGGCTGGAACGTGAAGTCTCCGGAAGTGTCCCTCTCTGAATGGGAAGGTGCTGGCTAGCATCGATATGTCACAGCATGTTTCGCCACTCAGCAAGGCATGCATACTCCACGCAGTGAGAGTGCGGCGGTGCAGAGATAGGGAAGCCATGTCAATCCGTTTCCTGCTCACAGCTATATCCTTCTTGGGAATTATGTGTCATTTTTGTTCATATTAAACCCAAGAGGATGGTATTAAACATAGTATGTTTATTAAGGTTCTAGGGGGAGTATAGAGAATTGGTGCAGGCTGGGTGGAGACCTGGCTGTGCGCACTGATGCTCGGCAGCACTGTGACAATTCTGCACCATGGGAGAACACAATGCGGGTGGAAACGTGGACGTCGGAAGTGCAGTTTTGTGTCTTGCATGACAAGGTGGCGCTGGCTGAATCGAATGAGTGCTTAGAACTGAGCCAGGAGAACATGTGGAGCAAGCGCCACATGCAGCTATAACTGCTTCAAGTCACTCAGGTTCCAGCCCGGAACATGCTGCACTGGCCACTCGTGCCCAGCTTGCGACCAGTTCAGCGCCTTGGTCGTGACAACGGCAACGGCAGCATCACAAGAGACATCTTTGATAGTAATAGTAAGCCAATGCGAGCCAATGTGAAGCCATAATCTAAGGACTGAGCAAGGCAGCGAGGTGCTCGTTCTTGCGGTGTTCTTATGCATTCAGCAGTGGTCGGGCTGTTAGGGATCTCCTGTGGCAGGGCTCGACCTCCGACGAAAAGCAGTACCAGATCCGACTGCACAGGCCCATTGACTGGTCAGCACTAGCGCCTGCAGACGTGGCTTGCGTGCTCCAAGACTGTGCAGCTAATGCAGCATTCCTATGGAGCTGAAAATCTACGTCGGCCCAACTAAAGCAAAAAGCAACAGACCTTCAAGACTCTTGCGGACGTGCACTTCGAGGCAGTTGTGGCCGCGGCCGAACGTGCGTAAGCTTGCGACACCTCGTGGGCTCCTGGTTGCCCCATAGAAAACTCCATTCCGATAATCGCAAGGACGCATGTCGACGATCTCAAAAAAAACACATCATCAACATAGACTTAAAGAGTTCGCAGGGGCGTAGAAATAACAGGCGCGCCGAGGAGTGTGTTGACAGCAAGTTGAATCGAACCTGTCAAGGCTCGTGCCTGACAGCGTGCTCTTCAGCGCCACGTTGGACGAACAGGACTTGCCGGACGCTGGGAGGCATGTCTCCCCGCACAGAGACAGGTCAGAACATGTCAGGGGGCACACGCGCAGCACGGCCCCAGCTTTTAGCAGGGATGGTTTCCAACCATGCGCCTTGATGTGCTGGATGTGAGAGTCGTAGAGGATGACAGAGGATGTGTTGGATTGTAAGTTCTAAATGGTGAAGGCCGAACAGTGCAACCAATGGGATCTTGAGTGGGGAGCATGGAAAGCCCTTGGTCCTGGTCTTGGCAGCTGTTACACTGAGACATGCCGAGCAAACTGCCCCGCCGTGCGCTTTGAACTGAAGGTCGAGCTGCTTGAGAAGCGGTTGGGCTGCGTGCCGGCAATGCCCTTATTGTCAGGCATGATGCCTTCAGAAATAGGACCCTGTGCATTCTTCACAACTTCACGTCTGTTCCAGATTCCGAAGCATGGTGAGGTTTGGCTGCCGAAGTGGCTGATGGGAAATCGAGAACGTCAGCTGACCGGCTTCGTTCATCCCGCGACCGCCGACGGATTGATGAAGGCACTTCGGGGGGAGCTATGGGGACCTCTGGGGGCCCATATGGCCATCCCAAGCCTCAGGGGATCTCAGGGGGTCCATCGTCCGGTCTTCCGATCCTCTTTTCAGAGGCAGCCCACGCCCGATTGCGCTCATTGGCGAGCGACAAGCACACGCAGGCACTGCCCCGCTGTTTGACAACGTATTATGAAGTGTGGTATTATTGTCGGCTACAACGATAACTCCAAGGGGTGCATGGGTTCAGTTATCTCGAGTTACAGACAGGAGATTCTGCTGGCAACCGCCATGTCAAAGCCACATTGACATGCAGTTGTGAGTTTGTGTGAGGAGTCCTCTCTTGCTGCGGTCCTGGAGCTGCGCAAGTTGCCCCTTGTCCAAGATTGCATTTTCACCCTGCATTTCACCATGTTACGCCTTCTGTCACCAGTCTCTCCTGCGCGTTCTGAGCACTAGAATAGAAGGTTTCGCTCTGACATCTCGAAAGAAGAGCATGCAGCTCTGGCCGCGTGGCTTGTGCGGGCCAGCTTCGACAGTTGCGCTGGGAGCTCTGGTGTACCTGTGCGGCTGATTACATGTGACGCCTCCGCACTCTTGTGCAAGGACTGCGTGAAAGGGCGTGTGGAGACCATTGACGCAGCTGCAATTGGCGTCAGCGGCTCATTCGGTGTGTTTGAAGCAGACTCACGCCATCGGGACTCAGCACATAAGCAAATTCCACGAAGGCAACCGCAGGAGCAAAGGCGAAGGGAACCGAGGGATGGAGGCTCGTCATGGCACCCTCCGGGACACCTGCCGCTTGTGCGGTGTCTTGGGCAAGTAGCAGCGTTTGCTCAGTTAGCTCTCAGTTCGCATTGGTTCTTTTTTTCCTGCGGGTTTTCAATCTGCCAGGCTGAGATGTGGCATTGTGCGAGCTGCCCCGTTGTTCTGCCCTTTCGCTACGCCAACGGACGGGGGCGCTATAAACCACCTGTTCTCTGTAGCAAGCTTGAAACGTTCGTTGCCCCAAATTGAAGGAGCATGTTGCCCTTGTTGAGTTCGACCAGACCAAGCACAGAGGGCAAGACGGACAGCCCTCGCGTTCAAGCTGGTCCCTCCTTCCCGAGGCGGGTCTCACGCAATGTTGCTTGTTTTTGGGCGTGAGTAGGCTCCCTAAGCCTTAAACCCTAAACCCTAAACCCTAAACCCTAAAAAGTAGGCTGCATGACTCGGATGTGTGCTGAGCAGCACATGTACTTGCTGAGAGGCCTGCGTGGAAGTCGTGGCCGCTCTGCGGGTTGCTGAAGTTCCCATGCCCCACTCTCGGCTTCAAGAGCAACGAAGAGGTTTAGGGTTTAGGGTTTAGGGTTTAGGGTTTAGGGTTTAGGGTAGTCATCTCTGTCGCACTGTCAAAGACATTCAAAGACACAAACACTCTGCCCGAGCATCACGGTAGCTCTTGCTAACTTGTACCAACTTTGTACCAAAGAGCCCTTTTCTTTTTGAAATGGCGCGCAGAGTGAGTTCCCGGCCGAGGGCTGGATGTGTGGAGCCATCGTCAGACTGCATCGCCGCGCTCCTGCGCGAGCTGCAGATGCCTCGCCTCAGCTGGGCCGAGGCCCAGCCTAGCTGAACTCTCGACGCACCACTTATGCCATCTTCCACAGCTGCTGTCCGAAAGTTAGGGGTACCAGCCCTCTAAAATCGCAGAAACAAGTTGCGGGATGAAACGTGCTGCATCCTCATGAGGTGTTTTTTTGTGGCAGTGCCACTTCTGACAGTTCTTGTGGCGGGATTTCTCCTGCTTCGAAGGTCTTGCTGGAGCACGTGTTTCCATGGGTACCGGTCCTCGGGAAGCCACTGGAAGCCTCGAACGAACCGACATGTTGAAAGCTGAGCAACGAGGCGTCGAATGAAGTCGAGGTGGCCACCCGCCAAGGTCTCATGCTTGCCGTGGACCGGGGCTCAGCAGCTCCGAATGGAACAATTGGGCGCAGGAAGCAGCCGAATTCCACAACCGGCAATCTGAGACTGTCTAGACTAGAGGTGCAACGCTGGAGGGAGATGGATCTCGCCGGACACGAGAAGTGCATTCAGGTTGGGATGGGTTGGGGGATCGACCAGGTGTTTAATTCGAATATGAAGAGCATCCAGGCTTTGCAGCATGTGCCGTTCATCTCCACTGCCCAGACCTCAGTGATGTAGCAGACTCATGCATTGAAAGGAATTCTGGTGCTGCCGGAAGTTCTGCCGGAAGTTCTTTGCACCCCAAGGTGGATGGGAAGATGAGCAGTCCCGCAGCGCTGCTGGATCCAAGAAAAGAGGATGCCTTCCATGATCATGACATGCCAAACGGCTGTCAGGTTCCATGTGGGGTTTCCGAAATTAGGGGTACCTTTGGGGGTCCTTCTTAAAAGGGAATCCTACTGTTGGGGGGACTATCTTAGGGGTCCCTCATTTTCGTAAACCCGCATGTCAGTCAATCGATGTAGGAGCTGCGAAGCCTCTACATTGGAGACACGGGGCCGAGAGCTTGGTGCAGGTGTTGGCTTCCCTTCGGACACTTCGTGCAACCGGAAGTTGCTGCAGCAGTTGAGTCAGTTGATCAAAGGCCTTTTCCGGCGGCCGAAGTGCGAACAGCATCTCGGTGGCACAGATTTTCCCGAAAGAGCATCTGCAAAATGCACTTTGTTGTGCTATCTCAGAGGTGCTTCAGCCTTTGGTTCAACGGGGCCTTCTGCGATTCCGGCAGGAACTTTCGCTCGAGGAGACAAGGGCTACAGTACCATTGTCCAAGGGCTGCGAACAGAGTCTTCCTTGTGTTTGATGGTACAGTTTGGGGCAGCCTTTGTTGCCTTGCAGACGCAAGGGCTTTCGCGCCCACAGGCAATCAATCAATCAATCAATGTGTTTGATGAGTAGGCTTGACTCAGCGCGGCTCATTGGGAAAGTTGTGGTCTCCACGGCAGGAGCTGAACGAAAGACTTGCTTTCCTCGATGCCTTCGAGGGTAGCCTGCCACCCAGATCCCTGTCAGATGCTCGCAAGTAGGATTGCGTAGGACTTCGATCTTTGCCAAGTGTAAAAAATCATGTAAAAATCTGTGAGATCTGTGAGTGAACAGCTGAGGCAGCGCACCGGACCCTCGTGGTGAGACCGGGAAGGCTCCGCAGGAAGGTGACGAGTGGGACAAGGACCACAGGGCATTTTACTTGAGTCTTGCATGGCTTTGCATGGCTTCCCACATGGCTTTGCCTGCAAAATATTTGTCCTCCCAATCCGAGCCATTGCAGATCGTTGCAGGTGTACGCATGTGCTCAGAGCCTCTTACAGTATGTGGCTGTATCCGTCAATCCGAAGTGCGAGGAGGCTCAGCTCCCAGTGGATGTAGTGGAGTGCAGTGAGGAACCTCGAGTGCAGTGGAGATACGACTCCGTTCCCTCCGTTCCCTCTCCTTGCTCTCGTGTGAGGCCCAGAAAGCCGCTGCCAAAGCGCCGGCTTCAGATCCCAAGCCGGCGGCGAAGCAGGTCGGGCAGAAGTATGCAGAAGAGAAAGCGCGGGGAAGCTTCTTCTTGTGGCCATCAATCCTTCCGATCGGTGACTTCTTATCCTCCGGCACCACCTCTCCTGTTGAGCAGACGGAGCAGACTTCGGAGGTGCAAGAGAAGGCTGAGGAATGGGGCGAGATGGAGGTGGAGACTTTGAAATGCAATCTTCGTGTTCGCAGATGGATGCCCGCAGCCCGTGCGCCGAGAGAGTGGTTGGATGCGGTCCCTTGGACAGGACACGCACACAAGTTTTGGCGACCCTCTGAAATGGTACTGATGAATGACTTCTGGCTTTGTGGTGCCGCTCTCCCTGTGCTCAATTTGGACGCACAGCTCATGTTGTCGGGCGAGCGCAGATCCGCTGCAGAGGCCAGTTTGCTCATGCTCCTCGGCATTCCAAGCCAGTTGCCGAATGGCCAGAGGGTCAGCTGTGCATGGTCCCAGTTAAGCGCCATAAGACTCTGGTGGTCAACTCGCTCTCCGGAAGGGAAAGAAGATGCTGGTTCTGCTTGGGTCACGAATTGCCTGTACCACCATGTGTATCCCTTGCTCAACCAAGAGGAGGAAGAGGAGGCACATGGAACAGCGGTCATCACGGAGCTTTTTGTGGCCGGCGCCTTCGTGCCGCTGGAAGATTTGTCATCCAGCCAGGACTTTGGCATTGCTGGACTGCATCAAGTGCCAAAGGAGTTGCAGAGCAGTGCGCCCCAGCTCTGCAGTGCGATAAAGCAGAACTTCAAGGCGGCAGACTTGATCCGTGCGCTGAAGCGCTTGGCAGACACGGCAGACAAGCGGGAGACGCGGCAGCTCGCAACTACCGAAACAGAGACGGCTGTGAGGTTGGCGATGGCCTTGTCCGAGCGCATTCGAGGTCATGGTGAGACGATCAGCGATGTCATCCTCATGCCCACCAATCAAGGTACCCTGCGTCCTTCCAGGCAATGCGTCTTCAACAACATGCGATGGCTTTCAGAAGAAGAGCAGCAGAAGAGGAGCCGAGCTGTGACCAGCAGTGGCCTCGACTGGGTACACCAGAGTATCTCTAACGAGGTCGCACAATCACTTCAGGTGCAGGGCCTGAGCACACAGGTCGCAGCAGAAGCTCTAACCGAAGAGAAGGACCCAGAATGGTTTGAGGCAGCCGGGCAGCAAGAGCCCCTGACTTCACGCCTGCGCTCGCTGATTCGGGACATGCTTGACACCTCCGCCTCAGCAGCGCAGGACCTCGGGCTTTTCAAGGCATTGCTGCAGAATGCCGATGATGCGACAGCCACTGAAGTCAACTTTGTTTGGGACTGGCGAAGCTTCGGAGGTCAGTCGCTGATGTCACCCGAGATGGCACGCTGGCAGGGCCCCTGCCTGTGGGCTCATAACAATGCAACGTTTTCTCCCGAGGACTTTGAAAACATCACGCAGCTGGGTTCGATGCAGAAGAGCAGGTCTCAGAGCCGCAAAACGCAGATTGGTAGGTTTGGTCTTGGCTTCAACTCCGTCTACAGCATGACGGACTTGCCCAGCATCCTGAGTGACCTTCACCTCTGTCAGTGTTTTTTTATTGGTTTTCCCTTTTCGCATTTATAAGCCTTACTTGAGACCTTACTGACTGCCTCGTGTACAATCTTACGACGAGGCACCCCGGAAGAAGCATAGTGATCATGTCAGGATGACATCGTCTTGTTCCTCGACCCGCACGTCCATCATCTGCGTGGCATGGGGGCATCAGCTGTCAAGCCCGGCATCAAGCTGCGATTCCTGAAAATCGATGTCTTGGACAAATTCCGTGACCAGTTCGAACCATACCACGGTATGTTCGGCTGCGATTTGGCATCTTCAATGCCTTTTCAAGGGACTTTGATCCGCCTCCCATTTCGCACACCAGAATCGTCCAGACTGAGTGAAATTAGCAAGACAATGGTGTCCACAGAACACGCGACAGCCTACCTCCAGGCATTCAAGGAAGCTGCGGCTGAGTGCTTGGTGTTCCTGCAACATGTGCAGCGGGTTAACTTCTGCTGGATTGCCCCTGATGCTGGTCCACATGCTGTGCCTGCAGCCTTGCTGCAAGTCCAAATCATGCCATCAAGTGTGCCGGCTTCTCTGGGGCTCGCAGGCAGCCAGAATGGACACGACGTGCAGGTTTTCACGGATGAGCGCGCGCTGGAATACCGTCGAGTGTTCTCTTCGCGGTCGCTTCAGAAGAGCAAGGAGAAGCAGTCCTTTATCTCTGAGCTTCTAAGCCGCTTGGGCGTCCAGCCAACATCAGAAGATACAAGGCAGGTTCCGGGGACGGAGCTCATAAGCGTCCACATAGACGGCCAAAGAAGGGCCATAGGCAGTCATAGGGAGTCCATACGGGAATTTCATCGAGGGCCATGAGAACTCATACAGTTCTGCTGTAAAGCATAGAAAGGCCCATAAGGGGACCCCTGCCGAATGCCAACATTCGGAAGGTGTCCTTTCATATCCTTCTTGCTTGCACCCCACTGGCATACCATGGCCTTTGCTCCTGCCTGCGGGGTGTGTCCCACAACTACTTGTTGCCAGTCACAGGGGCTGGCGTCTAGTACGAAGAACGCCGTCGCTTGACGAACCTCTGCAGTTGCGAGGGTTGCACCGATGATGTGACGCAACCTCAGAAGGATGCCCCCCTTTTCTAGGTGCGTGTGCGAGGAGAATCTTCCAGTGGCAGCCAGAGACCCTCGTAAACATGTTTTAAGTGAGGTGACTCCAGGCCTGTGTGATCAGTGTGAATGAATACCCTTAAATACTGACCCCTACTGGTATCGCCTTCCGATCAATGTAAGTGCTTCTCTACTGCGCAGAGATCAGCGTGTCTGACTGCAAGTGAAATGAACGAAGGTTTGCATGTCTGCCTGTCCCCAGTCGGCAATAAAAGAAGCGAGTCAGTCTCAGTCTCAGACGTGAGGCCGTACGTCAGCTTCAACGTGGTCATATCCGTGCGCTGGACCTCACCGAGTGATTTGCAGAGCTCCGGAAAGGAACCTGTCGAGGTTTTGGAAGCTTGGCGGCTCTTCCTTCAGCATGACAATCCGGAAGACGAGCGCTGGAAGTCTGTGCTCGTCTCGGAGACTCAGACTGGCTTTGACTACGTCCCCTTTGCGGGCCTTGCCGTGTGCCTCTCCCGAGAGCTCCAAGGGCCACGAATCTGCTGCTTCCTGCCCTTGCCCATCACAAGCTCACTTCCATTTCTCATCAACGCCAACTTCTGCCTCACAGATCCCACAGCTCCCGGGCGCTTGGATCTGGCAGCCGGATCGGGCTTCGCTTCTGACTGGAACAGCATGCTCCTGCGTCACATCGTGGAGCCTCTCATCTGCACGTTGGTGAGAGAGCAGGCTGGAGCCCTCCATGCCATCCGGAGCCGACGCCCAAAGGGAGCGGAGGCTGCATATTGGGCCATTGGGAAGGAAGGGGTTTGTGCCTTGATGCCCTGCAAAAATCAGCTGCCGCAAAGTCTGCAGAAGCTTCTGAACCTTCCCTCCATCTACAAAGAGCTCTCAAACGCTCCTTTGTTCCCACCTTTGCTCTTTACGAGACCGAACCCAGCGGCTGCCGCAGCTTCGGAGCTCGTGGAAAGTGCACGCTCCTTTGCAGCTCAGATATTTCACGGCGAGATTGACACCAAGCCTTCTGCGAAGCTGTTGTCTTTTACAGATTCCGTGCAGCCTCTGGCTCCGATCGAGGGGAAAGGCAAGCAGCACCAGGTTGTTCACGAATACCTGAGTGGCTATTCTGGAACGGGAGGAAAAGCGTACAGGTTCTGTGACGTCGCCTGCAGCGTATCCGAAGAGTTTAAGTCGGCGAACTTGTGCCGGCACGCAGAGGTGAGCCCGGCCTTCTTGCTGTCGTGCCTGCAAGACGACACGCGCTGCAACGTCGACGCCTTGACTGCGATAGAGCTCTTGGGCTACGTGCTAAGCGAAGAGATTCCAACAGATGTGGTGACAGCACTGGGAGGCTTGAAGTTGGCCCCACTGTGCAGCGGAAAGGTCGCATCCTTTGGCACCGGCAACACGGGCGGCTCGATGCTCTACTATGCCTTTCCGAGTGGATCAGCTTCCAGCTCCCTGGCGCAGCAGGTGCTCAAGCAACTTGTCCCAGCTGTGACGCTGGACCTGTCCAAAGTGGGCGAGGATGGAGTCGCAAGGTTGGGCGCTAAAGCGCCCAGTCTGGGTATTGAAGATGTCAGAACATCGCAGCAGCTGGCCAGGGCTCTAATCGCCGGGTTTCCAGCTTTCCAAGCCGCGCCTCTTGAGTACTCCTCGCTGCAAGCGACAATTGAAGCTAGACTGGGAGGCCATGTGAGAACTATTGAGAACTCGCAGAGGCCGGTCTTCTGGTTTGTCTTGCCCTCTTCGCAGGTCCGCTGAGATCCGAATCGTTTCGCCGAGCTCCGGCCCAGTCGCGGGCCAAGGCGAGTATGGCGCAGCAGCAGGCCAACCGCACCAAGTTGCTGCATGGTTGAACAGGCCAAGCTGCCTGCACACAGCAAGTCGCAGCAAGGTCACTCAAGGCCTTTGGCGACGAAGCTGCGGCCCAGTCAACCCTTTGTGCCTTCTGGGAATTTGCCAAGTTGGCCAGGGCCCCAGATGCTCCAGACTCCGGATCAAGACAGCACCGGCCCACGTGTTTGACGGAGCATGCTTCCGGGGTCGCGCACGCTTTCCTGAAGCATTGCGCTCCGTGCTGCACTGAGGATGGGCTGTGTGAGGATTTCTTGGCTGCTTTTGATCGGTGCTGGGTGCTTCCAGCATGGGACCCGACCGAAGGGCCGTTCCGGCCTCAAGGTGTGGGAAGAGAGCAACTTGAGGGGTTTCTGAAAGTAGGGGTACCCCTATTGTTGGGGGTCCCTTTAAGGGAATTTCTATTCTATTTGGGGTCTTTTTGGGAAATACCCATTTAATTCAAATTTCGCTCAATATCCGATACTGCTGGATGCTCAGGTCAAGCTCTCCGATGGATCGCCAGCTCATGCTGCTGCCGCTTAGCAAGGAAGAGCCGCTGCTGTTGCCGCCGTCGGAGGACACTTTTGTCAGCCGTTCGCGATCACCAAAGCGTTGTGTGACAGTTGAAAGAATGGTTCGGAGTCATTGAAATTACTTGGCCCTTTGGAAAGGACGCTGAGACAGATCCGCTGCTAGCCGAAGTGGCCAGGGTGCTATTGCCAGATCGCTTTGCGCGGGCCTTGTGGCGCATATTGTAAGCTTCTGAAGCAGGCCTCTGAAGCAGGCTTCTGAGTTATGTCACGCTGAGGTCAATGCCAGTCACCCAGCCATGTCCATCCCTCAGATTCAGTGGGCAGGCGCATTCTCCAGCTTCCGTTGCCTCTTGTGCTTGAGGACGGCGAGTGTGGTTCACTTCCTGCAGCAGCAGGGAATCATCCTTCCGTTTGGCCGAGGCCAGAAAGACCCCAAAAAACCGCTTTCAGGATGCGGTGATGCACAGTGCGCACTGAGACCTGCATAGTCCTGCCAGGCAGCATGCTTACGGTGCTTGCTGCGTGGGCATCAGCTTTGGAGCAGTTGGGATCTTTGAGCATCCGTTGCCAACGCTTGCAACCGCGGCTTTGCCACTACCTGTGTGCGACACTCAGCCTGGAGTGCACGGCGGACGCAACTACGGAGCCATAATGAGCCACATGTACATCTGCATGTGGGTACCCATGTACATGATCTGCACATGTGCCGTCCCCAGGCTCGGAGCTGTGCCAGGCCATCTGCGACCCCATCGCTTCGTCAGATCTCAGGACGACCATTGAGAACCGAGCAAGTGTTGCACATGCCTGAGATTCCGGATATCAGGGCGAGTAATTCATGTATTTCATGCCATGCAACGACATGCCGTCCTGCGGTACACTGCGACGGTTCGACTTGAGAATCTGCGGCGTCCCGAAGGTCTGTCGGCTTCCGATTTTCCTCGCTGAGTCCGAGCGCCGAGGGGATGAACAGGCTCAGGCATGCAAGCTGCTGTTGCCAGCATTTGCCGTCTCTTCCTGAGCCGCGAGAGCTGAGCCAACTCCGTAAACCCTAAACCCTCAACCCTAAAACCCTAAAACCCTAAAACCCTAAAACCCTAAAACCCTAAAACCCTAAAACCCTAAAACCCTAAAACCCTAAAACCCTAAAACCCTAAAACCCTAAAACCCTAAAACACTAAAACCCTAAAACCCTAAAACCCTAAAACCCTAAAACCCTAAAACCCTAAAACCCTAAAACCCTAAAACCCTAAAACCCTAAAACCCTAAAACCCTAAAACCCTAAACCCTAAACCCTTTGCGGGCATCCAGAGGATGAGGAAGCTTGCTGCAGGCCTTTCGCGCCCTGGTGCACTTGGCCGTGGTGGAAGGTGAGCCTCTGCAGCTGGACGCGCCGCCCGTGAGGTGCCAGGCTCAGGGGCTCAGGGCCCTGACAGAAGCTGCTCTTACTTACAAAGATCTACAAAAAGGTCTCCCCTATCGGACCTTTCGGAACATGTATTATTATTATTATCATGATTATTATTGCTATGATGATGATTATTCATCATTATTGTGAATTTTATGATTATTACACGTACTATTATTCATTAGCATTGCCGGGTTCGAGTCTCGAGGCTGGACCTGGAGTCGAGCTTCCTGTTCTTGGCCTCGCCCAAGACGCCTCCGGAGGTTGCGAGGGCCCTCGCCTTGCCGGAGGCGCCTCCGCCTTCTAAGCGCCCTTAAGTTGTAGGGTTTATTTTGGGTTTTTGGGGTTTATAGGGTTTAAAGGGTTTGTAGGGTTTTTTGGGTTTATAGGGTTTATGGGGTTTATAGGGTTTGCAGGGTTATAGGGTTGATGGGGTTGATAGGGTTGATAGGGTTGATAGGGTTGATAGGGTTGAAAGGGGTTAGGGTAAGATCTCGGGGCTATTTTGTGGGGGGGGGGGGGGGGGCGCCGGGAACGCCCCCGAAAGCAGAGCGCTTGGACCCCAGAGGTCAAGGAGCCCCTGCTTCAGCAGCGCAAGTACTTCGATGCCAAGTCGTGGCTGCATCAGCAAGTGCTTCCGCATTTGGCGGACATGGCGGAGGGCGACCAGGCCAAAGATATCCAAAGATGCGGTAGGGTTTAGGGTTTGGGGTTTGGGGTTTAGGGTTGGGTTTAGGGGTACAGAACAGGGCCAGCTTTCAGCAATCCGGTTTAGACCCCGCCAGGTGCGATTCTTAGAAAGGTTGCTCCCGCTCATGGATGATCTCGAGGAAGCCAACTCGGAGCACCATCCTCATGCTTTCTCAGACCATTTTGGGTCCATGACTTCTCTCTCTATCTCTCGCTGTCTGCAAAACGTGCTCTTTGCAGTTTAGAAGGCCGTATCTCGTTCCGGCAGAAGTACAAGGCAGACTCATGAAGCCACCGTCGGGTTCCCCAGTTGCTTGCCGGGCCATCGCGTGCCTTGCAGTTGGGCCAGTTGGGCTTGCCCGGTTTAGACCTCCAGACAAGTTCCTACTTTGCTTGTCCACGCGCATGTTGCACTTTGCCAAGCAAGCCGCTGGGGTGTCAGAGCGGTCTTTCAGGTGCACCATCTTGGACCCGCAAGACTTCATGATCCAGGAAGTCTTTGGTGCGCGGGGGGATGCCTGGCCCAAGTTGGGAAGCCACCATCAGTTCCACTTCCCTTCCAAAGCAATGTCGGCGACGGTCCGGGCCTCGGATGCCTTTAGTAATAGTAATCATAATACATAGTACCAAAAAAAAGCAAAATAATAATAATAATAATAATAATACACGATACATAATGAACAATAGTAATCATAGTCAAAATAATCATACTATCTCCCAACTCTTCGGTTCCTCAGGTCCTCAGTCATCTCAGGCGCCTGGGCATGAGAAAGAGTGCCGGCGACGCGCGATGCCTGGCATACCTGGCACAGGCACGCTTGCCACGGCCCCTAGCATGCTGTTCTTGGCCGAGCAACCTCGGCAGGCGCTCCGCGAACAGCATCGAGACTTACCAGGCCTCGCGCGCCGTGCCTTCGCACCGACTCGGTCAAGAGAAAACCTCACTCTTCATGCTTTGCATGCCTGGAGCTGCTTAGAGCCTGAGACTTCTCATGCGAATGTTTGAATATTTGCACTGCGACCCACCCTGGTGGCCTCGATTCTATTCCTGAAGATAGGCCAGAGATATGGAGAAGTTCAGCGAAGTCTGATGCAGAGAATAGTGGAATCTTGGAGCTCATTCACCGGTCTGGCACTAAGAATGCTGGACGCATCGCGTGGCAGCTGCTCATGATTTTACGCAGCCAATGTGCGCAGCAACGTGCAAAATGATCTTCAAGATGAGCAGTGCAATGTGATATGACAGAGGCCCGCACCGGGACATGGTCCTTGACCAGGAGTTCGTGGACATCTCAGATGAAGCGGACGGTGGAGAACAGTGCCTCTGCTGCATCGGGAGGCTCCTTTCTTCAATTCTTCTCGTCGTTCCACGCACCGCCATCTTCATCAGCAGCAGCATCGCCAGCACCAGCGCCAGCTCCAGCACCAGCACCAGCAGCATCATCGCCACTGCCGCCGCCAGGGCCGCGGCCGCGGCCGCGGCCACCGTCTTCAGCACCACCATCATGTCACACCATCTTCCTCCTGGCCCCTCCTCATAAGCATCATTATCATCATCGTCGTTGTCAATAATAATAGTCATCGTCATCACCATCATCATCATCAACAGCTTCATCTTCACCTGCACCATCATCATCACCACCATACTTTCATCGTGCGAAAGGAGCGCTCGAATTCAGTGGTATGTTTGGGCGGCATGTGCTGTGTTCTCCTGCGGTTTCGGAATCTCTTCGACGCCAGGCCCGGCAGCCTCTTCGCTCTGCGACCTTTTCGAGAAGCACGCTCCACAGAGCGTCTCCTCAAGCTATCGGCTTTAGTGTCCCGAGCTCGTTCTCCGCTTGCAGCTTTCAGTTTCAGCTCGCTTCTTGTCTCCTTTGTTTTGCCAGTCAGCAGCATTGTGCTATATTGTGCTATGAGGTCTCGCGTGAGAGATACGGACCGCATGGCTGCCAAAGCGTTCAACTTTTAGATCTTAAGTCATGCCATGCAGCTACAGTGAAGCTTATCCGCAATGTGCCATGTGCCAATCAATGGAGGACCCCTATCTTTGCTGGACAAGCCTACCACTGTCTCCAAGAGGCTTTCCCGAGTTCGAGGGGTACCGCCGTCCCACGCTGGAGGAAGAGCAAGTGAATTGTGCTTTTCAGGGCGACTGCCAACTATTTGCGAACAAGCAATAACTAGCACTAACCGTGCTACGGGCAACTGTAACAGTAACACACTGAAAGAAATTGGATGCAACTCCAGGACGTCCTTGCGCATGCACGCTCGGTCGGTGGTCTTGCTGATGGAGCTGTTCCGTCTCATCTGTGGGAAGAGTTGAAGGAGAAGGCCATGTTCGTTGAAATCTGTGAAAGCAACGCTGCATTCACAGACTTCTTTCCGGTCTAGTGCCCACTGAGGTGGTTGGGCAGATTTGTCAGTTCTTGGCCGAGTCACCCTTCTTCCAGAACCTGGAGGTCTCCGATTGTAGATTTCCGATGGTAGATTTCAATGATCTTTCCTCTCACCTTTTTGCCATCTGCAGGCCATGCCTCTGGATGATGAGCAGATTGAACTTAGAACGCCCGAGACGATCGCCGCTCACTCTCAGAGAAGGGTGGATGCCCCAATAAAAAGCCAGGGACAGTTCGGGGGGCAGAGCCAGGGCAGGGTTGAAGCTCGAGGCTCGGATTTGCTCGCAGCTTCGGAAAGTCAAGTTCTTGGCTGTTCCGCTGGAGAGCGGCGTCGCCAGTCCGTCTTACTGGCAAGTGTGAAGTTGTCGGTCGTTTTCTTTGGCGCTCCTCGGCGTCCAAGTGAAGATGCCAGGCATACCTTGGTAGCCCCCTGGCGCATCTCCTTGGTGCTGAAGGAACATCGGCCGCCAATGCCAGCGGCCTGGGTGACCGTGTGAATGCTGAAGCATGGCACGTCATGCACGTGCCAAAAAGCAGCATGGCCAAGGTTTGCCTTGCCTGCCTATTTGTCAGAGCATGTTGCCCTCTCGGACATCACGCATTGCTCGTTGCTCCGCATGGCTCAGCTCGCTGCTCTGCATGGCTCTGCATATGACACCTGTTTCAGGTTACGGTGCTTCGGATGTTGGGCGTCCGTGATGCCTTGGAACTTCCACAAGAATCAGTCGGTGGTGCAGAGACAGACATGGCTCGCGCCTGCCCCCCATGAACCGTCTTGCATCTCGCTATCTTTGATGTGCCCTGCAGTTGCTATTCTGGGGCTTCTGCGACACAACATCGTTTCCAGCGCTTAAGGTTGCAGACGAAGCGATGACGTGGTTGTTCGCATCCCTGACGCACGTTGATTATTGCTTGGATGCAGCTCCGGCAAGCAAACTGTGCTGCCTGGCAGGAGAATGGTGCCGAAAGCTTTTCTGATGTGACGTTGCGCTGTGATGGCGGCTCGCTCTTCCTTCATCGCAACATTCTCATGGCCCGCAGCGAATACTTCAGAGCGATGTTCCAGGCGATGTCAACAATTTGTCAAAGTGTCAAGTGTTGTCGGCTGTGCATCCACCGCCATTCGGCCATCAATCCCACATCATCCCACCGCAGGGCGAGAGTGGGTTTCGAGAAAGCCAAGAAGGGGGAGCCGAGGCCCGTCCGGACTCAGCAATTGCATTCATAAAAAGCCACTACACAAACGAGTAAACTCGGCAAATATGTGTGAGCCCCGAATCGTAAGATAGATGAGGTCTGTCTCTACG